AAATCGATCATTGATCTTTGGCCTAGGGTGCTCTGGTACCACGTACACTTATGAACATCCTTATGTTCGAACATGGTGTTTGTTATGGACAATCCGTGACTGGCACAGAAGTCCAGTAACAAACACCCGTGGAATGTGACTCTCCAAGTGTAAATCTGAATCCATAATAACCCCCAGATTTCTGGCTTTATTTGATGTTTTCAGGGACAGAGAGTGAAGGTGTTGGGTTACTTTAAACATTTCTTTTTTAGCACCAAATACAATGATCTCAGTTTTGTCTTCATTTAGTTGTAGGACATTTTGACACATCCAGTCTTTGATTTGCTCAATGCACTGGCACAGAAGATCTATGGGGCGATAGTCGTTTGGTGATAGCGCTACATAGATTTGGGTGTCATCAGCGTAGCAATGGTGGTCAATCTTTTTGCATGATTTGTCCTAGTGGGAGCATGTAGATGTTGAATAAAGTCGGCCCTAAGATCGAACCTTGGGGGACTCCACAAGTTACGTCGGTTGTTTCTGATACGAAGTCACCAATGGAAACAAAATAGTTCCTGTCTTGTAGATATGACCTGAACCAACTTAAGACTGTGCCTGAGAGCCCCACCCAGTTTTCCAACCTGTCCAAAAGTATTGAGTAGTCGACAGTATCAAATACAGCACTGAGGTCTAATAGCATTAATATTGAAGTTTTGCCAGAGTCTGTGTTAAGACGGATGTCATTTACAACTTTAATAAGGGCCGTCTCGGTGCTATGAAGAGGTCGAAATCCTGACTGGAAGTTTTCGTGGCAGCCAGTTGAAGCCAGGAAGTGATTAAGTTGTTGTACAATGGGTGAAATGTTGCTGCCACCTTGAGGACAACCGGAGACACGAGCACATTAACACCTTCAGACATTATTGACTTGTGTGCACTTTTATACAGTTAACGTTAATGTTTTCTCTACTCCACCCCAAAATCTACAGTACATTCACAAGACATTTGCACAAGGCAATGGTCATTGTTATTATCGGGGATGTTTACTTTTGACAAGTTGTGAACGCTTAATGCTTAATGCTTAATTATCTGTGGTTTCCCAGGCCCTGGCTTGGCTTTCATTGCGTACCCTCAGGCCGTGGCCATGATGCCTCTGCCCCAACTGTGGTCCATCTGCTTCTTCCTCATGCTCATCCTCTTGGGTCTGGACACGCAAGTATGTGCTCTGTAAGATGTACTCTTGATTAACTCTTCGTCGAGGGAAGAAACCCACGTTTGTCCACTGTACTTGATGCGTCTCTTTTCCCCATTTCTGGCTAGTTTGTGGCCATGGAGGTGGTGATGACATCCATCATCGATATGTTTCCCAAAGTAATGCGCAGGTATGGCCGACGGGAACTCTTCCTCCTCCTCTTCTGCCTCACATGCTTCCTCTTTCAACTGGTCATGGTCACCGAGGTCAGTCTTTAGTACTATTTAAAGTACAACAACTTTCATATCATGATTTTATTTCATCATTATGACAAGATGCACGCATCTGAAATATGACGTGAAGTTGGTGAAACCATGTCAGAAACATGCGTTTGCTGTTGTGTGCAGGGAGGAATGTACGTGTTCCAGATGTTTGACTACTACGCCTGCAATGGAGCCTGCATCCTCTTCCTCTGCGTGTTTGAAACCGTGGCACTAGGATGGATATTTGGTAGGTGTACTGTTTTCTTTTTTAAGGGAGCAATTCAATATAGGACCTAAACAAAGTCGGCGGGGACCCACTGGGAACACAAAGCAGCAACGGCAGTTCTTAAAACTCATGGATTTCCCACAATGCAACAAAACCCCGATGACATCATTGGGCTGGTTTTAGAAAGCTGTTTTCACACATCGAGCAGTACGTCACGGTCATTGAGTGCTGATCATAAAAACATCATCTCCCACAAAGGGGCGCAGCGGCTGTGTGACATCATCAAGGACATGACCGGAGTGCACGCCAACCCGTTCTTTAAATTCAGCTGGCTTTACCTCACCCCTGTGGTCTTACTGGTGAGTCACCGTCAGTGACGGGTTTTCACGTGAGAGGTTGTTAAAGGTTAGAGGTTAAATGTGGACATAACTTGTGAATCCCCCCCTTTTTCCTGTTGTCTCAGATTTCTTTTATACGTTCTTTTGTGGAGTACCAGCCCCTGACCTTTAACCGCTGGTACGTGTATCCAGCGTGGGCATACGCGTGCGGCTGGGTGCTGACCTTCTCCTCCATCCTGCTGGTGCCGGGATGGGCGCTGTACAAACTGGCGATAGGGACTGGGAGCCTCAGTCAGGTGGGACAACTGTGGAACTGTTTTATTGTCATTCATTGAAGAAATGGCATGATGTGTTCGTCATATTAATACGTTGAGTCAATAATTATTATTAGAATTATCTGGCTATAACAGGAGAGTCTATAGGGTGTATAAATAAAATATTTTTCTTTAGTTTACGCAACTTATGAAGATCTTAAATACCAACACACAGTTTCAGAGTATTTGCTTCATATTGTGAATATGTCTCTATATATTCTCAGCGTTTCCATCAACTGTGCCAACCGGCTTCTGACTGCTCCCTGACTCATGGGAGAGAAACTGAGCTGCAAAACATCGGAGAGGAAGTTCAACACTGCCTCTCCTCCAGCTGACATCAGACATGAAACAATCCTGGAATCTTTTTTGGGCACACCTGTGTGTGCAACAACGTCCTTCTCAATGAATTTGTTTATTTCTTCCTCTTCCTCTTAATATCTATATATATATATATATATATAGTATTTTGTTTTGCGTAAAAAAAGATTGTATACCACTAAATGAAACCAAACCAAAGACAAACCTTTCCAACATAAAAAAATTCAAAATTCAAAAATGTATTTTAAGCTAATGTTGAAACGAAAATAGTTTTATTTTCTGTATGAAATATATTTGGTGATACATGAAAAATTATTATTACTTCATCTATAGGTCTGGTGCTTAGAATTTTGGAACCAGAGTTTACTGGACATAAACAAGCTGAAGATTGCGATGAATGAAGGGAACGCACACAGGGGGACAGCTGAGTGTGTGTGTCTGTGTGCGCGTGAGAGTGTGTATGCGTGTCTGGTGCCACGCCACATTTCACCTCATGCAAACAAACATTCTTTTTTGTTTATGTAAGGAGTAGAAAGTAAATGGAGCCAAATCCAGGTCAAAAGTTTGGATCATTTGAAAAACAAATGTGAACCTGAAAGTTTGTTGTTGAACATTGAAAAATACAACAATGTATTTAAAATAAAAATGAGTGCACAAAACCTCTTTTCGGGTTTAATATAGTTTGGACTCTTCAAATTTCTTTGAATACATTTTTTTTTTCAATATTACTTATATTCACTGTATTATATTTTTCAGATATTTTCAGATTCATATCTTGTATTTTCAGATTCAAAACTTCTATTTTCACTTACAGAGATTTTTTTTGCGTACAGATTTTTTTTTTCCTTCACATTAACACCTTTGACCCTGGTGTGGCGTAGGGGACGCGGCATCAAATGGGAGTGGCGTGTCATCAGAAAATATCTTCGTCTAGAAATTGTGCACACAGTGATGCAAAAGTTCAACAATCCGTCGAAGCTAAAACCAAACATGGAAATGGAGAAATCAAATCGCTGGAGAATTCAACGATGAATCTAATACAATTTCTCTTAGACAAACCAGCCAAATTCAGCAAAACATAAAAATAACAATGTGCAATAACCTCTGTAATACACTGTGTGTACATATACATATATTTATTTAGTTCCTAGTATATTTAGTTACTGTGGTTCTTTTTTGCACTCTTTTATTTATTTTTAGTATTATTATATTTTTACCTACTTACTGTGACAACTCGAAGAGACTGAAAAGAATAACTTCCTGTTTTATTCTTTTAACCACTTCCTGTCTTTGTTTGGTTTCCCACCCTTTTTCCACTCATCCATGTCAGGTTATCTATTGTCCTACCCGGAGTTGTATGTCTCAAGCCAGTGTTCCTAGTGCTTGTTTTTCGTCTTCCTGCTTTTTTATTGGCCTTGTTCTTTCTCCCTCTCCAGTGTGTTAAGTCTGCTTGTGCCTGTGCTACGTTTTGGTTTGTAAAGTTGATTTTGCCAGTAAAGATCCCAAAGCTGGTTGGAAGTATTTCGTAGTTTTCTTACTCTGCGCCTGAGTCTCAGTCCTGATCCCTTACGCTTACTTATTGCTGCTGCTCTTGTCTTGTTTGTTTTTTTTACCATGTATCTTGTGTGCGCTGTCCACTTTGCTGCCGCGATCCTGTGAATTTCACCATTGTGGAACTAATAAAGGAATATCTTCAATATAACAAAGCATTTTAAATCAAAATAATCATAAATGCCCCCTGCCTGTTCTGTTTTCAACAAAAATATTAATTGAATCTGCTGTTTCGGCAATGGAATACAGCCACCGTCTATGTTGTGCTCCCCAAGAGTTTTAAGGTATTTCACGCAGGTTTAGGGGGTTAGGGGGTAAAGGGGTAAGGGAGGGGGTTTGCAAGTGAAACGTCAAGTGTCATATTACACTCTACTCTTTTTGGCTGCTGAGTGGATGAGGGAGCCGTCGCTCGTTTTCTCGACATTCTAGTCGTATCCAGTCGGATCAGACGATTGAACAAAGGGGTTGAACCATGGACATCAGCCAAGCGGGGCAGACTTGTGAAAAAAAGTCTTATGTCAAACCACCGTGGTGGTGAATGATATGTTGCCACCAAGAAAATCTAAAGAACAAGAAATGGAAAAATATAGTGATATATATACATATATTCAGGGCCGGGTGGGGGGTTGTCACATTTTACAGTATGCCAGCAGGCTTCTTTACTGGCTATCCTTACCCTTCTTTGGCACGCAGCTTGAGACTGATACGTAGGTAAGTTCTTCCGCCCCAACAGGTTCAACCTGATCATCAATGAAGAATAACGTGTTCCCTACTAGTCAACATGTAGATGAAGACCAGGTGACAAAGAGGGACGTGCACGGGTCCTCTAAACTATCTGGTCCGAACAACAGCATCCAGTCTGCTGTCATAGCAACTCTTTACAAGGTGAAAGAACTCAGTCGACCAGTCCGACTGCATACTTTGATGGTGACGTGAGGACACACCCTCTCCGATGAAGAACAACAAGCTGTATCACTTCACTCCGTCTGATGGAAGCTGAAGTGAAGCACAGACCTCCGTTTCTACACAGACCTGATGAGGACAGAAGAGAGCTGCACTGAGAAACTTCATGTAAGTGGAGCTGTGATTGGTTGAATGACATCATTGATGGTTGTGAACGTGTGATTGTTTAAAGCTGGGAAACAAGATGGCGCCTGTGTTAGCAGGCGGAGAGAGGCTGCTGTTAGTCCGAAGCACAGTCTGATCTGGGGTCTGTGAGGACTGTTTCTGATAAGGAGAAGGTTGCAGACGGAGGGGCACTAGGACCCAGCAGGGACCAGAGAGCTCGCCTGGGCCTTTGTTCCTGCACTGAAACACACCTGTGAGACGCTCTGCTCTCACCTGCTGATTCAGTCCTTCAAGTCCACAAAGCTTCATGTTCATTTCTTCATCTGCTTTAAACACATTTAGTCACTTTTTAGAGTGTTTGAATGTGTTTGTGTTTCCTTTAGTGTTCAGGTGTCTTTTATCACCAGGTCGTAGTCGACCACCTGCTACAACTCAGTTGAGAAGAAAAACAGCTCTTAGATTCGTCACTGTGTAGCAGTTGTACTCTCTAACTAACTTTCAGGTTTAATGTTTATTTTCAAAAGATCAAAGCTTTTGGTCTGGGTTTGGCTCCATATACTTCCTGCTTCATGATTATTTGATTATGAATTGATTTTGTTTGTTAAATGCAAATGACACAGCATTACTGTTATTGCAGGTGAAGCTGTGAACCGCCTTCACGCTTCCCCAATATTCACAGATTCATCCAACTTGTGTCCACAAAGAGGACGCTGACTTCATCAGAGGTGCTTAGAAAGAGGGAGAAGAATTATATTTAATTTAAAGTATCAAGACTTTAAAACCAGCTGATTTTTGTTATTTAAATGCAGAGCAGTGGGTGATTTATTTGTGGGTCTTTAAAAAAGACAGATGGAGATGGTCAGGAAGGACATCCTCAACATTTTAAAGGAGCTTGAGGAGGAGGACTACAAAGAGTTCAAGTGGCACCTGCGGAACCATTCAAGCCCGGAAGACCCCCGATCAATCCCACCCTGTGACCTGGAGAACGCAGACAGGATGGACACGGTGGACCTGATGGAGCGGTGCTACGACACAGACTCGGTTCAAGTGGCCATGAAGGTTTTGGAAGAGATGCAAAAGAACGATCTGGCCAAAAAATTATCCAAAAGGAACTCTAACCCTACGGGTAAGTTGTTAAAAAGAGGAATTAGGTATATAATAATAGGTGTATAATAAAGATCACAACATATTATTAATGTCAATACAATTCTTAACAAATGTTAATAATAGCGGGACGCCAGCCTTGGATTATGGATTAAAAACCAAACAATAAATTGAGTCTCGTAATTGATATTCACTCAATATGAGGAGCTATTCCACATTACGTGCGAATTTAATTTAAGCACAGGCTAAATATACCAGCCATTATCACACTACAAATGCACAAAGTAATTACAGAAAACATCTTGTTTCAGGTGAACCGAATCCTGTGGGAGGAGATAGAGGTCAAGGTGAATAGACTTAATCCAAGGGAAATATTACACCATTAAAGTAGAGCATTAGCGTGTTTGTATCATCTCTTTTTCTTTGTTCATTCAGAGATTATTGACAACTGTCAGCGTGAACTCAAATCTAACTTGAAGAAGAAGTTCCAGTGTGTGTTTGAGGGGATTGCTAAAGCAGGAAACACAACCCTTCTGAATGAGATCTACACAGAGCTCTACATCACAGAGGGAGGGACTGCAGAGGTCAATGAAGAACATGAGGTCAGACAGATTGAAACATCATCCTGGAAACCAGACAAACCAGAAACAACCATCAGACAAGAAGACCTCTTCAAAGCCTCAGCTGGGAGGAAGAAACCAATCAGAACAGTGATGACTAAGGGAGTGGCTGGCATTGGGAAAACAGTCTTAACGCAGAAGTTCACTCTGGACTGGGCTGAAAACAAAGACCACCAGGACATACAGTTCACATTTCCATTCACCTTCAGAGAGCTGAATGTGCAGAGAGATAAGAAATACAGCTTGGTGGGACTTGTTCATCACTTCTTCAGTGACACCAAAGCAGCAGGAATCTGCAGGTTCGAGAAGTTCCAGGTCGTGTTCATCTTTGACGGTCTGGATGAGTGTCGACTCCCTCTGGACTTCCACAACAATGAGATCCTGACTAATGTCACAGAGTCGGCCTCAGTGGATGTGCTCCTCACAAACCTCATCACGGGGAAGCTGCTTCCCTCTGCTCGCCTCTGGATCACCACACGACCTGCAGCGGCCAATCAGATCCCTCCTGAGTGTGTTGGCATGGTGACAGAAGTCAGAGGGTTCACTGACCCCCAGAAGGAGGAGTACTTCAGGAAGAGGTTCAGAGTTGAGGAGCAGGCCAGCGCGATCATCTCTCACATCAAGATCTCACGAAGCCTCCACATCATGTGCCACATCCCAGTCTTCTGCTGGATCACTGCTGGAGTTCTGGAGGAGGTGTTGAAGGCCAGAGAGGGAGGAGAGTTGCCGAAGACCCTCACTGAGATGTACATCCACTTCCTGGTGGTTCAGTCCAAAGTGAAGAAGGTCAAGTACGATGGAGGAGCTGAGACGGATCCACACTGGAGTCCAGAGAGCAGGAAGATGATCGAGTCTCTGGGAAAACTGGCCTTTGATCAGCTGCAGAAAGGCAACCTGATCTTCTATGAGTCCGACCTGACAGAGTGTGGCATCAACATCAGAGAAGCCTCAGTGTACTCAGGAGTGTTCACTCAGATCTTTAGAGAGGAGAGCGGACTGTACCATGACAAAGTGTTCTGCTTCGTCCATCTGAGTGTTCAGGAGTTTCTGGCTGCTCTTCATGTCCATCTGACCTTCATCAGCTCTGGTGTCAATCTGATGTCAACCTCCGTGTTGACAGGTTTCCTAGCTGTCTTTGGAGCCAAACCTAAAACCAAACGTCTCTACAAGAGTGCTGTGGACAAGGCCTTACAGAGTCCTAATGGACACCTGGACTTGTTCCTCCGCTTCCTCTTGGGTCTTTCACTGGACACCAATCAGACACACCTACAAGGTTTGCTTAAACAGACAGGAAGTCTCTCACAGATCAATCGGAGAACAGTCCAGTACATCAAGAAGAAGATCAGCAAGAATGTGTCTCCAGAGAAAAACATCAATCTGTTCCACTGTCTGAATGAATTGAATGATGGTTCTCTTGTGGAGGAGATCCAACAGTCCCTTAGTTCAGGACGTCTCTCCACAGACAAACTGTCTCCTGCTCAGTGGTCAGCTCTGGCCTTCATCTTACTGTCATCACAAGAAAATCTGGAGGTGTTTGACCTGAAGAAATACTCTGCTTCAGAGGATGCTCTTCTGAGGCTGCTGCCAGTGGTCAAAGCCTCAAACAAAGCTCTGTAAGCACAGAGAGAGTTAGATTCATACATCATGACTTAAATATGCTGCCATTTTCTACTCTATGTTTATATTTTCCTCATTGTTGTTTCTTCAGACTGAGTGGCTGTAACCTCTCAGAGAGAAGCTGTGAAGCTCTGTCCTCCGTTCTCAGCTCCCAGTCCTCTAGTCTGAGAGAGTTGGATCTGAGTAACAACAACCTGCGGGATTCAGGAGCGAAGCGGCTGTCTGCTGGACTGGAGAGTCCACACTGTGAACTGGAGACTCTCAGGTCAACTAATGTCCCTTAGTGTCTTTATTTACATCCATGGTACATTTCTGACTTTCATAAGATTCTTTCTGCTTGCATGATTTAAATCAAATATGTATTTTCCAAATATTTCCATAAAAATGTGTTGTGTGTATTTAGTTTATTTTCAATATAATGTTACAAATTGAAATATTGGAGATTAATCTTAGAGTTAGCAGTAATGCTATCAGTTTGTTGATAGACATTAGTAGGTGTTTGGTTGTGACTGAAAACTGTGGTGGAAATTTGTGGATTAAGCTCTTGTGAGAAATCAAAATCGCTTTGTGATTAAGTATTTATTACTAACTAGAATATAGAAAAATGATAAAGAATACAGAAATCATCAACACAAGTCGTAAGTACAGACAGAGGTCAAATCACTACAAGCTGAAAAGGGGCAGATTGTTCCTTTCCCCAAAAGGAGCAGGTAGATCTGACCAAGTTTCTAAGTGAGAACATTTATACACTTCAGGGTGGGTCAAGAGGAGTGTATGGAAAAGTACCAGACGACATAGGGGAGACACCGTGACCCTCCCTTAATGGGACCCAGTCAATCAATAACACTTTGAAGATCAGTCAGGGCGCGTATGGGTTCCACCCGTTGAACCCTTATCTCACCCTGGACTGCCTTTAGGTCACAGGCTCACTTAAAATGTCACATTCCTGAGAGACTCACATTATTCATAAATTCTCCCCCGACAGAAACCAGTCAGTAACAATGTCAATGTGACCCCTCAGTAGCCGACAGTATCGCAGTGACCCTCCAGGACTCACAGCTCCCTCAGATCATGTGACATGTGTGTTTTATGTGTTTGCAGGCTGTCAGGCTGTTGGATCACAGAGGAAGGATGTGCTGCTCTGGTCTCAACTCTGAGCTCCAACCCCTCTCATCTGAGAGAGCTGGACCTGAGCTACAATCATCCAGGAGACTCAGGAGTGAAGCTGCTGTCTACTAGGCTGGACGATCCACAATGGAGACTGGAAAGTCTGAGGTAAGAAGAGGCCCTCTGCAGCCACAGACCATCAGCGTTGACTGTTGCTAGGAGACGGGATGTGAACAGCAGTGTCACAGTTAGACCCTTTAGACCTCCAACCGACCCCCGACCTCCATCAGAGGGTTTGTGGTGCTGTCGTGATTTCAGGCTACTTTCTTCTTCACTTCAGAGAGACAACAGTCATTGTTACACAAACACGCGGGACGACCGGGGGTCTCAGGAGTTACTGTGAGACCTTAATGCATCACACGTATCATGGTAATAAAAACGACATCAGTGCACTCATGTGTTCTTACGTGAGTAGATTCTGCAGCAGCTCACTCTTTTCTGCTACACCGTTTGTTCTGCCCTCAGGACAGGGGAGGTGGCGCCCCCTCCTGGGCCCTTTAAGGTGTGTTGTTAGTTCGCACTATGATAGTCTCACTGCAGCGTCTGCAGAACATCTGTCTGAGTAGCCATCAGCAGTAAAAGGTACCGTTGAGAGAGTGATCTCCTGAGCCAGTTTCTGATATATTTATATTTCATAAAGCGTCAGTCGGGCGTCACAGCAGCGACACTCGTTGCTTCACAAGCAGCTCAGAGAGAGAAAACAGCAGAGTGAACTAAATAAACAAACTAGTGCGTTTCTTCTGTTTCTTTGTGTTCATAGTACATGTGTTGTTTGTTCATTTTTCATTTTGAAACATAAAAACATGGACATGTTTGTGTAAATACTGAATGGTCGTTATCTGCTTTATTTTATATTTATTAAATATTTGGTTATTAAACAGTTTAATGTTAATGTTCCTTTGCACACGTCCCCTGAAGCTTGATCTGTAGCATGACGTCATTTCTCACATTTTAATTCACATTTGGTGAAAATAGAGTGCCGGGTACATTTATTATTTATTCTACATTTATCTACTTTATTTCATAAATATATTCCACCACCTTGTCGGTGCTGAACGAGCGTCGCTGTGTGACGCCTGACTGACGGTCTGCCTGACGACAGTCTGCGTGTCTGTAAGTAGTGGTAGAAGAAGAAGAGGTGGTCCATATGGACATGAAGGACAAAGCTGTGAGTGTGAGTGTGATGTCCATGTCTCCATGCTGCTCTGACCCCCCCCCTCCTCCGTTCAGGGTGGAGCCTGCTGGAGTCCGATGGTTGAGACCAGGTCTGAGGAAGTGTAAGTGTGCTTTGAGTTTGATTCATGAAGATTCAACCATCAACCTCTGTGATGTCATCACCAAAGTGTCAGTACATGAACACATGATTAATAACTGCAGCTGTATTGTGTCTTGTTCTCTCCATCAGATTCCTGTGAACTCACAATCGACACAAACACAGTAAACAGAAAACTCAAACTGTCCCACAACAACAGGAAGGTGACACTTGGGATGAACAAGGATGAGTCATATCCTGATCATCCAGAAAGATTTGACTACAGGCCTCAGCTGATGTGTAGAACTGGTCTGACTTGTCGCTGTTACTGGGAGGTCGAGTGGAGAGAAGACGTTGATGTATCAGTGAGTTACAGAGGAATCAGGAGGAAAGGAGGCAGTGATGACTGTTGGTTTGGAATGAATGATCAGTCCTGGAGTCTGAGATGCTCTGATGAAGGTTACTCTGTGTGTCACAATAAGAAAAAATCACCCATCACCTCCTCCTCATCCTCCTCCTCCTCTGGTAGAGTAGCAGTGTATGTGGATTTTCTTGCTGGCTCTCTGTCCTTCTACAGAGTCTCCTCTGACACACTGATCCACCTCCACACCTTCAACACCACATTCACTGAACCTCTTTATCCTGGGTTTGGGCTCATGCTCTATTCTGGTTCCTCAGTGTCTCTGTGTTCTCTGTAGGAGGGAGAGTCTCCTCCTGGTGGAGAACCTTCCTCTCTGCTCACCACATAGTTCAGTCTGTACAGGACGTCACACAGCTGATGGTGGTTCATGTGGGTGTAGATGCAGGTGGAGCGTGTGAGGGGTACCTGAGCTGGTCTGGGGGGTCCACAGCTCTCTGGGACTGGAATTGTGAAAGAGCTCAGCTTAATGCTTCTGAGCTCGTTGAATCAATGGATTATGGGTTAGATATTAGCTCCTAATTATGGTTTATTCTTAATCTTTATATGTCATGTCAAGACATTTTATGAAAAGATAAATGTGTCCTTATGGGTGTGTGTCTTTCATTTGCATTCATACTAATAAAAACAAGGTGAATAAGGAAAATATGTACGCGTAATTCTTCTTGAGCAGATTTTAACTTCAAATTGATCTGATCAAAATCTGATCAGTGAAATCAAATCTAATTCACATTTCAATTAGGTTTGTTCTGAACAAAAACCTTTTGAAAGCTTCAGCAAACCTCTCAAGAAAACATTTAATATCTCTTTTTTTTACGTTTTTAGTACATAATTCACTCCACATATTACTTACTATTATTACTAGGAATATAATTGTATGTTTCTAATGTTAATACATTTATGGGAAACAACTGAACATTTTTAAACATGTCATAATATAAGCATGCTGTATTATTTATTTTGCATAAAATACTATGATCCTTCTTAAACATGCTGTACTATTCACTATGATATTTTTCGTAATATATGTATTTATTCTACAGCCCTATTGCAATAGCATAGAAAACATTCGGTACAGGTTGTTGAAAAAGGCAGTGAAACGTTTTTTGTAAGTAAATAAAGAAATATGTAATGAATAACTTAACGTTTATTAACCTTATTAACCTTAAACGCAAAGTCGTCTCCAACAACACAAACTGCTGAGCTCGGTTTCACTGCCACCTTTCCGTACGTCATGCTGCTCATTCTTCTGATCCGCGGACTCTCTCTTCCCGGGGCTCTGCAAGGAGTACTGTATTACCTTCTGCCGGATCCCTCGAGGCTCACGGACCCTCAGGTAAGGGATTCCTGACATGCTGCTACAGTGTGAAATCCATGGATGAATCACGGCTGCTTGGTTACAACACCTACAACAACAACTGCTACAGGTGAGCGGCCCTCAATGTCTGACTGCAGGGAGCTGTGCAATATTTATAACGCATCCACTCCCTGCTCACGGATTCACAGGGTGCGTTGTGTTTTGCAGAGACTAATTACAAGAAACACCTCAATAAAAATAGAGCAATAAAACATCGCCGTACAATTAAAACGAGGGCCCCCGGGGGCCTTTTACTTTCCGACTGCAGGACTTGTCATTGAATACTTTTAAACGGTTGTTTCAGTGTGTCACGGTCATTGAGTGTCGATCATAAAAACATCATCTCCCACAAAGAGGCGGAGCGGCTGTGTGACATCATCAAGGACATGACCGGAGTGCACGCCAGCCCCTGACCTTTAACCGCTGGTACGTGTACCCAGCGTGGGCATACGCGTGCGGTTGGGTGCTGACCTTCTCCTCCATCCTGCTGGTGCCGGGATGGGCGCTGTACAAACTGGCGATCGGGACTGGGAGCCTCAGTCAGGTGGGACAACTGTGGAACTGTTTTATTGTCATTCATTGAAGAAATGGCATGATGTGTTCGTCATATTAATACATTGAGTCAATAACCAGGAAAAATATTTTTTATTAATAAAATAGTGTAAAAGCTACATTTTCTTTAGTTTACGCAACTTATGAAGGATCTTAAATACCAACACACAGTTTCAGAGTATTTGCTTCATATTGTGAAGATGTCTCTATATATTCTCAGCGTTTCCATCACCTGTGCCAACCGGCTCCTGACTGCTCCCTGACTCATGGGAGAGAAACTGAGCTGCAAAACATCGGAGAGGAAGTTCAACACTGCCTCTCCTCCAGCAGTGTCTCTTTTGGGCACACCTGTGTGTGCAACAACGTCCTTCTCAATGAATTTGTTTATTTCTTCCCCTTCCTCTTAATTTCTCATAGTATTTGTTTTTGAACGATGCGATTTGAATAAAGTTAAAAGGTTGTGTACAAAGACGGCTGATTAGAATATAATGTTCTCGTCTTTTAAGTCTAGAATACAAAAATCCGGGACAAGCCACATGTTTATTTTATGTCTAGGATGTATGTTCCCTCTAAATGTTACGTTACTTTAATATTATGTAAAAGAAAAAATATAATTCTATTTTATTTGATTGTTAAACAGATTCTAATCCAATTCTAATCCAAACAAGCATTAACATTTCCTCAATATAACCATCTACAATATATTCATACATAAATTGATTAGCTGTGCAAAATGCTGTTGATATTGTGTAGAAATACGTATTAAAAATACATTGCTTTAAACACTTACTACTTCAACAGTCTCTGTGAAAACAACACCTGTTTTCATAACAATCACTGCTTTGATTCTTTGAGGCTCCGGTAGTTTTCTGTTGCCATGGAGCTCAACGGATGAACTGCGACAGACAGATTAAAGGTCACCGACTCATAAAATACAATTGCAAAGGATGTTCCTCATAATGCTTTATTTAAATACCTTGAAATTATGAAAAATACACTGAAACACTTTGGAAAAAGCTGTCCGTCATACATGGAAAACATGAGAAATGGATCAACGGATGTTTCCTGTGTTTGTTGATATATGATATGATATGAGAAACGAGAATGACGAGAATGAGAATGACGAGCCCTGTTGATGCAGAACACATCAGGTGAAAACAGAGCGAGCAAGGCCTGGTGCACACGGCAGTCCAGTCTGTGGTACCACACAGCGCAGGTTTAAGTGCTACATTCTTTTCCTAAAAAAAGGCACCGGGCTTGGATTGGCTTCTCTTTTCCCCGTGCAGGTCACCAGAAAGCATTTCCATCCTTTCACTGATTTAAGGCGGTCGGGATTTTTGCCACCCGAGTTTAGGCAAATTCACTTTGTCTCCTCGGGGAAACACATTATTTTCCACGTAGATGTCGAACACTCAAACCCGATGACATCCGACAACTGGAAACAAAACACAAACTGAAATATACAATAAATACGAGTGATTGTTGGCTTCTCGTTGACCCAGAGAGACATTTTGGGTAATCCCTGTAAAAAAACAAGTTTAAATAACCAGGGATGAACCATTAAAGCCACACATGAAATCCCCAAAGTAGCCCTGAGTGCTCGCTCTGCCTCCGAAGGCGCAGCAGGTGGTGCTAACCGGTGGAGCTGTCGGGAGGCGTGAAGCGGTCTTTCTCCGCCGGCGGGCCTCGGGCCCGGAGAAGACCGGCCGACGGCACCTCGGAATCGCTGGAATCTGGAATTTGAAAGTTTCTCAGGATTTCTATGCCGGGGTAGCTGCCCGACTCGGCCATGGCTTGGTGCAGCTGCTCCGGGGTCGCGCCGGGGTCGCTGACGGCCCGGCACAGCAGCTCCGTGTGCCGGCGGAGCTGGGCCACGTCCCGCGCCGTGGCGTTGCTCTGCCGCAGCAGCTCCTTCGTTCGCAGCGTTATGTCCAACAGACCCGACTGCCTCAAGATTTCCGCGGTGTCGTGAAACCGGAGCTGGCGAGTTCTGGTGGAGCCGTTTCCGTGCGGTCCTCTGGTTTTGAGGACGGAGGAGGCGGCGGAACCGGGCGGGGTGCTTTGGCTTACGGGCCCCGTGGTGGGACTGGAGGAGGACGGGCGATCGGGAGAGCTGGAGGCTGCAGATCGGGGCCGCTCACAGAGGCGGTAAGTGCCATTTATTTTCCTCCCTGTGATGATGGAACTCGGGAAGAACCCGTGGACCTGGCGAGTGGCCGGCGCCAGGATCACACGAGCAGCGGCAGAACCTCCGTCCTCCATGCAGACGCTCCTCTGGGGGCACTGATCTCGGTTCTGGATCACGTCCTGGTGACGTCCCTGGTGGGACAGGAAGGAGACAGGTAGCAAGATTTAACACCGAGGGACAATGTGCTTGTCTCCCGATTCGAAACAAGAACAACAACAATTTAACCGAAATCACACTTTTATTTTGAAAAATATTTAAATTAATGAATGAATACGATTTTACATAATAAGCATTTATGTAGTCAGACGTCCTCAGGTCAAATCAAGTCATCGTTAGGAGTTATGGAGCAATGCTTCGACATCACCTTAAGCAGGAGAAATATGGGATTTTAACTTAGAATATCTCAAGTCAAGAGTTTATTTAATTGTAGCAAAGGAAGCCCTCAACTCAAATGCATCATTGTAAGCTTTTTTTTCCTCAGCAATAAAAAACACACACATGCAACCCGTCTGATCCTTTTTGCAAAAATAACCCAATCAACCTGATTTCCACAGCCTTTGTCAACATCTTAAGACTGGCGCATGTTTCTGCGTCTGCGTACTCGCACTCGTTTCAATTCATGGTTCTGCGTGTGTTGCAGAGCAATTCTCTGTCAGAACAACAGGCAGAGTGACGTGTTTTGTTGAAGACGACCTGGAGAGTCCCGTCTATTTATTTATTTATTTATCATAGGCTTTATTGCCCCGTGCATCGCCACTGCTGCTTTTCATCGCGGACACATTTGTCCCGTATTTTCCTCCACGACTTTGTTGCGTTTGCGGCGATCTCCCTCCGTGAATCCAACCCGCTTCTACAACCCGCCAATGACGGCTTGTATTAGCGGTCATATTTACGCATTTCTTCCGACAAAGGTTCTCCAATCTGCTCCGTTTCTCTCGTAAACATTCTTCGTTTTGATAATGGCGCTATCGGGTTATGAAAGCGGAAATGTGAGACTCAATCGGACCAATCGCAGCCTGGTGCGCTGCGGGAGGCGTGCGTCGCTTGCGTCGAAAGCGACGCACGCCTATGAAAATGGCTCGACACACGCAAGGACGCAAGGAGGTGTGAAAACGCACGCAAGGGGGTCTGAAAACGCAGAAGCATAAACTAGGGTTTATTTCATACTGGACCGCGCCGTCTCCTTTGTCTGCCTTTCTTTCCTCCCTCACGGTCTGAGCTCATCCGATCTCACCTGCTGGATCACGATGTTGTTGATGATGTAGATGGGCGGGAGCTCGCCGCCTGCTGGCGTTGGGCTCGGTCTCCCAGGATTCCCGCGCCCAAGACCTTCGTTGCGTCCCGTCTGCGCAGGTCCCGCCCGCTCGCCTCCTCTGCGCTGGCTTTTGTCCTGGTCCTCCACGTCGATCTGCTGCCCGTCTGTCGGAAGAAATGGTGACTGACAGAACGAAGCCCGAAGACACTTCTTTTGGGACGTACGCCGGCAGCGCTACAAAGTGATTTGGGTTTTTTTTCTTCACACCACCGTGTATGAAAATATGCAAACATTTGCTTTATTTTCACAGATAGAAGGTGAAGAACGTTTTATGATTGATTACTTGGATGGAAAGTCCTTCGACCTGCAACTCGTCCAGCTTAGCAGGTACTATTCTGCATGATCTGTCAATGAGTCAGACGCTTCAGACTCCCTTCATACTTTATCTGATGTGGACGTAACCGCAATCAAGATGAACTTGACAGTCGGCCCAATTACCCTGTCTTCATGGTTTAATTACAAATAAAGAATGTCCCATTGTTCCGTTTTTTCCATTCCGCTTTTATTACTTCCACTTACTGAGCTTTCTGAGGAAAGAGGGTGTGGATGATAAAAGCGCCGTAGAGAACAAAACATAGCAAATTGTCTCGCTCTGGTTACATATTTACCAGATTCACTCACCAGAGTATCCGGAGTCTTTTTCCGAACTGCACCGGAAGGACGTCCCGCTGGAGGCGTCTTTGTCTCTGGCGTCACGCATTGCCAGCAGAGTTGTGCGGTTGCTCTTATTTTTAGCATTCTTGCTGGATGAAGCACAAGAACCGTGTTGCTGTTCCTTCGGCATGTTGGACCCTAAAGACACAAAGCAGGATATTTAGTCTGAGCATGAGAATAACATAAAAATGTGTTGTCACGGTGATGGACCTTCCAGGGTTGTACGATAAATAACACCCACTGGATTTTGGACTCTTTGTTTTTTGGATCACTTTATTTTTAATCTAATCTGAAGCAATGCACATTCTGAGTGCAGGGTTATAAAAAAGGCCATAGATGATAAACACAGAAGTGAATAAATATGCATCAACAGCACACTATGCAATAAAAACAAACTCATTCTGATGGCTTTTTAAAACAATTAACGTTGCTAAAGCACCTCTTCTGTAATGTTGGACAGTGAGGAACATTCAAACACCATTTCAACGGCGTCTTCGTGGGAAAACAATATGTGCTGATGGTTGTAGTTCCGTCTTTGGAGTTGTGACCAAGTAACTTCGGCACACAATAGCGACACCATACGCATACCCAGAAATATGAACCAATAGATGGTTCAGATGTAGTTTCACGTTAGGTGTTGATATGAGTGACATCGTGTAGACCTTTGGAGAAATCTACAGATCAATCCATTCCCACGGTTTTTGTGCAGCGTACATGTATTTACATGGAGACAAAGGAACGGGTCATGTGTTTTGAGTACACAAAGAGGGAAAAAAGTGAAACGCAGAGAACTTCCTTGAAGCTTTTGCATCGAGTTACAGAAAGTTGTCAGGATTTTTCTCTTTTCATTGTTTGGCCCTGTTGCTTTTTGGTGTCCACGTGAGCCTGGATTACTGTAACCGAGGATCAAAGTGCAAATCCAAAAGAACACATTGTACCTGGTTGGCTGAGTGAGTTTATGAGTCTCAAAAACAATCCAGCCATGAACTTCATATTCAGTTTCACTCCTCAGAGTTTAGCACCAGCTGTTCTCCCATTCATAGAAACATGAGCTCTGTCGTGGAAGTTTATGTAAAACATCTTTGGTTTCTGTCCCTTGTGCACGACCCTCCCCCGTGTCTCAAATATCGGAGGTGCCAGCGGGTCCCTGAAGGCAGCACGTCTCGGCTGAAACGGCAGCACCCTCCTCCTCCTCCCACTCCCATTATGTAACACGCTTCCTCTCACCGGCCGCACACAAAATAAAAACGAAAACTCACGCGTCGAGAGGTTTGTCGACGTGTGAACGACACGTTGAAAGCAGGCCGAGAGTCTCGTGCGAGATGAGAAAGTTGTAAAAGAGTGAGAACTTCCATTGAGTCTTTTCTCAAAGCCCGAGCGTTCGCCGTCTCACCTGCATGTGATCTGTCAGAAGCGGACAAACTTACCTTCAAATGTGAGGGAGGGGGAGAGAGAGGTGGGGGGGGGGCAATTATATCCGATAACTGCCGCTTTCTCGCCGCCACGCGCTCCCGGAGCACTGAGAAACGCTGACGTGGAGCCGCAGTGTCATATTTAGGGTTGAAATGTTATCCGTCAGTTACACGGAAGGAGGAAGGATTTGTTTTTTCACCCTTTGTGAAATAAGCCGCGAGATAAGAGCGAGCCGGGCGGTTGAGTCGGGCTCACGTAAGACCAGTTACATCAAGCAGGAAATGGAAATTCGGTTTCAAAATAAAATATACGAGCACAAAATAATTTGTTTTATAGAACAAACACTTCGGTCGCATTATATTTAGTGTAATTCTCGAACCTCTTCATTGTAATCTTCTCAACCAGTACTTACCTGGCCGTTTATCCAAAAGTAGCAGCTTGCCCGCGTTTGTTTTGAAACCGCGTCGGCTAAATCCAAGGCAGCTTGACGCAGCCGTTAGACGGGACCGCAGAGCGCAAAAACATTAAAAATGAATTTTAAAAAGAGCCTCAGAACAAATATCGAAATTACCCTGTCGAATGGCGTAAGACAACAAACGCGTGGTTAGTCAATGACTCAATTAAACTCCCGGTGGTGGAGGGGTCAACTGAGGTAACCGCGTCAACTGAGGTAACCGCTTTACCTCGGTTGACCCCTCTGAGGCGGGCGCTGACAGTAGAGCGCCAGACCCGACAAAGCGATCCCCGAGCACGATGCCATCGAACCGCTGAGAGGAGCCGCGAGACAGGAGGGACATCAACAGAGACGTTCTCATTCTGGAGCCATTTACTGTTCGCATGTAGGGATTTATAAGAAGTATTATTTTCAGTTTGATTGTATAACATATTACAAAAGTAAACTGTACAACATGTGATTTCATTTAAGTATACGTTTTGGTTAGTTTGCCAATTAGTTGGTAAATGACAAGTGGAGGATATTTATGTAGGACCAGGATGCACCGCGTTAGTCCAATAGTGTAGGAGAAGGAATAAGAGTCATCTTTGGTTTGTGGGTTTGATCTGCTGAAAACCTGGGCAATCTTCTCCCAGCCAGAAGGGGGCTCTGTTGTTTTGTATAACTGTACAAATTGCAGCTTAGTGCAAAATAAACAGCGGAAAACTTTTAAACTTGGCAGCAGACACTTTATTTTTACATTAAAATTTTTATAATAACTTGATAGACAGCCCACATCCTTTTCACAAATGACAAGATAAGGACACATCAATACAATTCAAATATTTTCTAAATCGGCTGCAAGATAAGATCATAAAACAGGTGTGCCACTGGGTTAGCTAAATCACATACAATCCTTTGTCAAACAACGTTTCGTACTAACATCTCTCACACTTCTTCCTCACCCGATTCCACGGTAACTCTTCAGGATCCACAGCAACGAGTTTACATCCCTGGTTCAGAGGCCTGGACCGCGCCGGAGTCGAGACCTCAAGCCATCCGGGTCTGGGATCTCTAACTTTGAAGCTTTAAGCGTATAATCAAGTTCCTGCGATTCAGGAATGTCAAGTGCATAAACCCAGCAGACCAGCGGCGGTCTTCAGACCAGGGTGTCTGCTGACCTGCATGGTCTCTGGGGAGGAGAATTTAATAAAAGTAGCGCAGGTCTCTCTGGTGTGGGCCTTGGATGCAGCACTGGCCAGAATGTGCATGATCTGGACCATGGCGGCCTCACTGCAAAAAAAAAACACAAAGTGCACATATTAAAAGACGGCACAAAGAATGCAGACTCCCACGCATGCAAAGTTCCTGCAAATGTCACATCAAAGCCAGAGCTCTGCAACTAGGATTTTAAAAAGATGGACCACATTGGATAAGGGTGCATCCTAAAAAGACTCACCTGCCGACATTGACACTGGCGGCCAGACACCACGCGGCCTCCCCTCCCGGCGTTGGGGGCTCCTGCAGAACTTGGCGGGACAGGAAGAGGGCCGCCCCCGCCAGCTGCACAGGCAGAAACACCACACACTGGCCCTCCAGGAGAGACAGCTCCAGCAGATAGCGAGCCATCCACACCGCCTGGGTAAGGAGGTAGAAGGGGGTCAGGCAACACTTCACACTGCGGAGTAAGCGGATAAAAGAGCGAGCGGGGCTCTACCTTGGCACTGCAGCGAGCCACCGAGGCGAGGAGGAGGAGGAAGTGCAGAGGAGGGCAGTAGGACAAATCAAACTTGAGCCCGAAAAGGACCTTGCGCTCCATCCGCAGCAGCTGGTGCTTAGTGTAGGTGTGGTCCATCAAGTAGCAGAGTCCGGACACCTGGAAGAGGAAGAGCAGCCTCACAACCAGGCTCAACAGTGTGGCTCTATGGTCAGGGGGGCGGGCGCTGAGCCAGCTAACCTCAGGAAGGAGACACTCTTCCTTCTTCGCGGCGAGAAAGAGGCAAACCATGCCGAGAAGCTGCAGGTTGACCGTGGAGACCTTGACCTCACGCAGGGAGCGGTTGAGGAGGTGTATGCCCAGGTAGAGGGTCTCTTCCTGAAAATGCATCATCTCCTTGGAGGAAGAAACCAGTCACATTTTAACATTCTCCTACGACTCAACTATCAAGCTTCAAGGTGCTTTGGACACAGTCCAGCTGTGGCGCAATACTTATTGTAGGAAAAAATTGAATCAAATTTTTAAAAGGGTCATGATGTTGCCCACTTTTTCCTGACAGGCAATCTGTGTATTACTTTTGACAACCAAAGCGAATCAGGTTTGCCAGCTGTGTGTTGAGGAAGAGGATCACGTACATGTACTTGAATGAGCCAGTCTACCAGGACAGAACGAGTGGCGTCTGTGAAATGAGACAGCAGGTCCGCGTTGGGAAATGAGTTTCGTGTCTGAGTTCTCTGCCGGGTGGAATAAAAAAAAAAACGAACACACAAACAGGAGGCACGTGCTAAATATTTAAAAGAGATTCAGTGCAAATTAGAGCCAATCTGCCCCTCAACCATACGAGCTCCCTCACCATCATGTCCAAGAACATATCCCAGGCGTACGCCCGGTCCCAGGTGAAGTCCAGTTGCTCCATTGCCGTCTCCACCTCGTGGCGCAGCAAGTTGGGCACCAGCGCCTGGAGGCTGTGGAGACCCTGCAGCCCGTGAGGGAAGAGCAGCATGCGCTCCTCCACACACCCATCTGCCACGCAGGACGGGAAAGGAGGCCGAGGAGGAGACGAGGCCACATGCACGCAAAATCCTTTATCACAGACAATTGGGTGGGGGGTGGGGGGGGACTATTTTGAAAATCTTTGGTGTACACTACCAGCTGATTGTGTTAAACTGTCGTCATGGAAGCCCATGAGGATGCCGTCGCTCGTCTGCGCCGATAACCTCCTTTCCTGCAGAATAAGACAAGGCCTTGCACACGGTTGGAAGTGGAAGTTGCAACAATCAGGAGGGGAAGAAATACTTGAAGCTCTGGACCACAGTGGTCGCAACTTGTCCACTTTTAGAGGAGAGAGGGAGAAAAGCTGGAGACACTGTAGAATGTGTTGGGGTGAGGACGACGAGCAGGAAAGAAGATGTACCCATCTGCGCTCCGGCTCCATTTTGACGGGGGCCGCCTTGGACTCTTCTACTTCGACGGGCTGGCAGCGATCGACGGGCCCACAGGCATTGGACCAGGTTCTGAGCGGGGCTCGCCTCTCATCCGCCTGCCAACAGAAAGCCTAATTGACGCAGACGTGATCCAGACTGCTACGGTTTATGCTCTGCGTGGACACCGGTTATCGTTGCACGAGGAATGTGCTCAAACGTTCTAAATCACCACCTGGGATCAGGACAGGTGAAGGCAATTACGTTGCAACATGAACCTGAAACCAGGAAGCAATTTGATGAAAACATTAAGTAAAGGATGATCATTACTTTAACTTAAAAAGGAGTTTCCTTTTGGGAGGTTTAATGAATGAAAAACCGGTTTCAATTAACAAGTTGTCTCCCAGCTCAATAAATACCATCTACAATCGGCCTTTAATTAATTCAATTATAAGGAATTATTAGAATTAAATAGGGCGAGGTGAGCTGAAGCTTTAGGTCCGGGTCTGCAGAGCCCGCTTACCTTCTTGTGAAAGTCCAGCAGGGGTTTGGACTCGCAGAACCCGGTCCGCGCCATGGTCACAGCCGGAGGAGGAGGTGCCGTGCTGTGCCGTGCCGGGCCGCTGCAGCTACTTACCCTCAGGGGGGGGGGGTCGGTGGAGGGGAAGGGGGGGTCGGGCGAGGCCTGGCGCAGAGAGGACAGCGGCCCCGCACTGCCGGCCGCTAATGAAGACGCACAGGTGGGCCTCGCTGATTGGGGCCGTCAAGGTGAACAGCGTAAGATCGGGACTTCCGGTCGCGGTGTTCAAAAAATAAAATCAGAGAATATTTTACGTTGAAGTGACCTAAAGTTCAGGCTAATGGTAGAAAAATACAGCGACGTTTTCTTTACTGGAAATTAAATGTATTTACAGGAAAAAACACGCCATTGAGGGAGTTCATGTTTATTCAATCAGCAGTCCAATATAATCCACAAGTTATTTGAAGATTATGTAGCTCATATTCTAAATAGTGTATTCCAATCAACGCTAAAAACAATACTACGGTTTATTTAGAGTTATTCAAGAGGTAATTCACCTCTAAAACATCAGCTCTTTGGAATATTACAAACAGGTTTGGTTTCCAGTAATATTTTCTAGATTAATTTGACTGCAAATGAATCCTTTAAATGTTAACTTCCCTCAACAATTCCTTCAAAAGAATAAACTGCTTTAACATAAATAGATAAAAGGCAGTGCAATGTTCATCTCAAAGTTGATTTGACAGAAAATCCAGGTGACCTCTGTGACCTCAACGATTCCTCTAATTGATCGAGGCTGTTGAATGGAGGCCGGGACGCTATTGCACGGGCACGATGCAACTGGAGCTGCGGTGTTGAGAGGGTTACTGCCGAGCTACAAATAAAGGGACGGTGTCGGCGCAGGTGCTCTTTAGTTGAACTCGCTCGATCTGAAGTATTTCACCACATGACATCTCTGAGCTCTCGTGTTACATTGAACATTGCTTCACTACTAAGTCCTGCACAATATGGCAGAGCTGCTGACTGGGTGCAGAGTAATGAAACACACACACAAAGCTTTATTTCAGTAAAAATGTTTACTGGCACATTATAGTTGCAAATGTTATAAGCTACCGTTTTGTAGCAGGTATCACCCGTTACATTGCAAAGTCTTGCAAAGGGAAAGGGGGCGGCGGGGGGCGGCTGAAACGGTCTACCAGGACAATGACCTCCTGTTAAAAATAGCGTTTTTTTCCCCTCTACTAAAAGCAACTAGCAACAGAAAAAAAAGAAAGAAAGTTACATCTGCATCAGGTGTGACATTCGTGACTGTTGATCACATTCAAATACACAGAGAAGCAAGGTAACCGATGTAAAGCTGCAAATCAATACTACAAGCCTGCAGTCGTCCCCTCTCTACCGATGCTGCATCCACCAAGCGATTTTTTTTTCTCTTTTTTTATTTTGGTATTTACACTATATTGAGGAGGCACTTGTTGTGCCCGTGTTTGCCTACAGGAGAGGTCAGGGGTATCCACTTGCATGTTTTCAGCTGTGAAGCATTGCTTAAAGCGTGGCCAGCAGCGAGGTACAGAGTATGGCTTCACAACCGATATTTAAAAAGTTCAGCAGCACCCCCGTATGGCCGTGACAGCAACGAAGGCAAATCCACAGTGGAGTCCATCAGTGCAGTGGTTCTGATGTCCGATCCTGCCTTTTTTTTTTTTTTTTCTCCCTTGAAGCAGGACGCGAGGCGAGAGCGTGACGGCGATGCCTGAGCCGGCGAGAAGAGGTGCTGGAGTTGTGAACTGCAAATCAAAGCCATTCGATCGCATCATCATCATCCTCATCATCTGCGGGAGCTGGGAGCCACCTGCTGCCCGACGACAAAGAGTCCAGAAACCTGCTGCGTTTCCGAGTCCTCGTCAACGCGTTCACTCCAAACGTCTCAAACGCTCACTCACACAAAGTTAACAAAAACAAAAGAGTGTAGGGCGGGAGGGGAATCCTGGAGAATGCTGATAGAATGGCAGACAGCTGTCCGTTTCCTTATACTTGATGGTACCGTGCACATCAGACAGGTTTGATCTAGTTTCTTAAAACGTTGTCTGGAAAAGTTTTTTCAAAAAGGAGGAAAACATTTGAATGGGTTCTGCTAAATGTAGTCGTGTTCTAACTCAAAAAGGATCAAATTATTATGAATTACTCCTAATTATACTTACTAATGCTCTGCAAACTGAGAACAGTGTATTCAGTGTAGTAAAGCAAACCAATGTAGCTGCCACTAATCAAAGGGAGTTAGAATGTGAGCTAACTGAGCATTCGTCCAATGGAAACCCCTTGAAATGAAGAACATAACAAAAAAGAAAGCAGTTTAAAAACTTTTAATATATAATTTTTTTTATATAATGTGTACTTAAACAAGACAATGTGTCTTCCAAAATTTGAGAAATAGATGGACAAAAAAAGGATAAAAATCAACGAATGAAAACAAAACAAAGACAAACGAAACGAGATCATGATGTTTCTCGAGGGACGCTCAAAGAGCAACCAACGCCTCCTCCAGCGACGTGGAACAGAAAATGCTTGCATTCATATGAGCAAGTATCTGTGGTCTCATGTGCCGTCACGACTCACAGTATGCAGATTTTCATTTCAACTCAACAAAGCGTCTGCTGATGTTTTGATTGGTTTTCCTCCCCCCCATCTGCGGGTTGAAGGTTGGTCGACCAGCTCGTGCAGCATTTAATTGGATTGTCAACCTGCAGGTCGTTGCTCCAGATATACAACTACGCAGATTGAAGTGACTCAACACAGAATTACAAGAAACACAAACAAAGAGGTCCTAAACATCACATGTGGAATCATTGGAAGTGTTAAAAGTCCACCACAAGTAGGCCAACTTCCGGCCTCATCGTGAAGACTCAACAATTTAACTCTCATTCTTTAAATATGGGACCATTAAAACGAGAAAGAAAATATCTTTAAAACTTACATTGATATTACAAACAGAAAACGAACAAAAGATTTGGTGCCTAACTCTCTTCAGCTAAAAAGTGAGAATGACTGGATAGAGGACAGCTGTGTGCGTCTACATTGCTCGGTGTGAAGCGTCTACGCTCGATCCTCCCTCCTTCCTTCCTTTCCTCAACGCACAGGGACTGGCCTTCATGAGAACTTACTCTCACACCTCCAACCAGCAGCAGCTGGTCGGTAAGTCAGTCTGGATTCTACGAACTCGGCGGCTGCATCGCTTTAAATGAATGAATGCAGCTTTTAAAGCAAAGCGTAGCCATGCAGAGATCCCAGTTTCTATTCCTGACCGAGTCTTCAGCGCCAACTGGTCACGGCAATCATAAATTACATGCTTGTTCCCTTTAAAAAACAGAAAATAAAAAGGCCATTGAGTTTGTTGTGAAGTGTCCTCTTACGATATTCCAGCAATAGTTCAGAGTTTAAAAACATGCATGAAAAGTGACACAAATGGATGGTTGAGAATCAAAATGGTTGTTCATACTCCTGCACACTAGTGCGCACACACATACATTCACACGTCCACGCGTTGATTCGCTCTCACACACACACACACACACACACACACACACACACACACACACGTACACACACACACACACACACACACACACACACACGTACACACACGCACACACAAATGGCACCCCCCCTCCTCCCCAATTCCTCGACTGTAGGAACAGTCCCACACTTGATTTGTAACAGCAAGTTCCAGAAAGAGCACTTGTTAAAAAAAAAACGAGAAAAAAAACTCACAAAAAATGCAGAAATATGGCTTGACCTTTAAAACCGTAACAATCAATGTAACAATTTTTTTTTTGCCCAAATCTTTTGTTTTCCTAATTTTGATTATGCTCTTTAAAATTCTATCAAGTACGTTGCATGTATGTATATATATATATAAATGTATATGCAGTCTATGCATGGTTGGTGCGTGTGCAGCACAGGTACAGCTGGTAACGAGGTGGTACTTGCTGGCATAAACTGGTTTTCAAAGGTTCAAGGCTCTGACGTGGTATTCCAGTGAAGTGCAGCAAAGGTCCTGCAGGGAAACCCAAAGCCCCCCCCCCCCACCTCCGACCTCCACCCCCCCTCGAGAGGACGCACAGACAAAGCTGCAAGTCAACCCACACACACACACCTGCTTCACCTCATACTCAATGATCCCGCCTTTTCTGAATAGCCAGGATATATATGTGTGTGTGTGTGTGTGTGTGTGCGTGTGCATGTGAGTGTGTGCCTGTGTGCGCACGTGCGTTAAAGACTGAATGAATATGTGTCTTGTGCCAGTTTTGGTTTGTGTCGTTCCCCAGCAGTGCAAGTGTGTACGTGGGATGCGTGCGTTAGCCGCCCTGGGTGTTCATGAGTCGCAGTGATCATTCCCGTATGCTGGCAGAGTACGAGAACTGAGGAGAGTGCGTGCGCTGATCTGAGTCTTCGGCATTTAAACTTTCTTCTGGAGTAAAGAGGGGGGGGGGGGGGGGGGGAGAAAAAACACAAACGCATCCACCAGTTCAGACGTGAATGTGTAAAAAATCCCTAATTTAAAAACCTTAATACTGGCAGTGCTGGATATACTCACACTTGTCCGGGGGCGTTATTGTGATGGTTTGTGCTGTGAACTCGTCATCGAAGTAACGCGTGTCCGTCTCCGATGTTACCTGCGGCTTGAAGGGCGGAACGAGCTGAGGAGAAGAAAAGTCCTTTTACATTCTGAAACCCTTATTTTAAATGTTTTTTTTATTTGCCGGTACCTCACCTTTTTTTCAAGAACATCCTGCCAGTTGATGGAGGTGAAGAACTTGTGGATCATCACTTCTTTGGCGTCGTCTGGTCCGCCTCCGAGCCTGCGAACAAAACAAAAACACCATCATCTTTTTCATCAGACCGGTAATTGTGCAAACACATACAACAAGTGCCCATGTTGTGTTGTTCCGTTTTGTAATTACCAATTTCTAGACAAATTTAGTGCTCATCGCCTGCTTACGGTGCATGTTTCGGTGAGCCAGGCGGAGCTCAATGTGCTGATAATAGCAGCTCCTCGGGTGTTCCCACACACAGCGGGGGGTCGACCAAAACAACAATCAATTACGTCCTCTTTTTAAGGGCCAATAACCGGTACGAAAACCGATCAAAGAGGAACAAAGGCTTAATAATGGAGTTACTTATTTATAGCTGAATGTGTGGTGCCCCCGAGCACGGTGGAAGGTTCAGGAAACTAATCGAGTGCTGCAGACGCAGCGGAAGAAGAGGTTTTTCCTCGAGCTGCAGTGCAGCATCTTTAGGAGCCCAACATGGGGAGAAAGCGTTTATCTGATCTTAGATTAATTGTTTTAGCATTAAACTTTTGTCCCACAGTCGTTTTGTGATGCTGCCATCTTAATATTTCAAAAGTGGGAGAACTTTTAACTAATAATTGATAATGAGTGACACTCGCCATCGGTAACCCAATAACCATTAAAAGACCCAACTTCATTCCATGATCATGTTCTTACTTTGATCCTGATTCTTGATCAGGATCAGGATTCAATTACTTGAATCATTTCTGTCATAGGAATTGCATGTATTATACATTGTTCATTCTGTACACATGGCATCCATTGTAGTCTGTCCATCCCGGGAGTGGGATCCCTCCTCTGACGTTCTCCCTAAGGTTTCTTCCCTTTTTTCCCTCTTGTAAGGGTTTTTTCATTTTTTGGGGAGTTTTTCCTGTGCCGATGGTGGGTTTCGGGGCAGAGGATGTCGTATGTGTACAGACTGTAAAGCCCTCTGAGGCAAATTTGTAATTTGCGATTCTGGGCTATACAAAATAAAATGACTTGACTTGACTTGACTTGATTCTCTTTCATGTAGGGCTGCAACTAACGATTATTTCAATAATCGATTAATCGGTCAATTATCTTATTATAACATTTGCAATCGATAAAAAAACAGCATTAAAAAGTTTTAATTTCCAACCCCTAAACCCTCTAAAACAGAACTGCAAATTCACGATGCAAAAATACAGGTTGCTCCTTGAACATAATAATAATTTATTAAAAAAAAAAAAGTAAAATAGAAATCAGAAAATTTGACAGGATTTGTTTTGAGGTCAGAACTATACTACACTCACAGACGCACACACTCAAACTCACACTCAGACACACTGCGAAACACACACCCATGTTCACTTGAAGCTTATTCATAAAATTATTACTATTATTATTATCAGTGTAGTGCAAGTTAAGTAAATGTATACACATCTAAGTACACCTAAAAATTAACCAAGTGCTATGAAATTAATTTAAAATGGCATTTGTAAATAAACTGACGGCTCCGCGCGCATCTCCGCAACTCATTGAGTGACATAATAATTGTGCGACACAACAACTTGATAATGAAATTCGTTGCCAGCGCTTTGAACAATCGAATTTTATCGACTTTATCGATTCGTTGTCCCAGCCCTACTTTCATGTATTAAATCAGTGCCTGGTTATACAGATATACAGTGAAGTTGCAATAATTCATAATTGTACCCCGACACCGTCGACAAAGCACCGACCTTTGTTTGGGGTCCTTCTTGAGCAGGCCGGCCAGCAGGGCCTTGGCTTCGGGAGCCAGGTTCTTGGGGAAGCGGATCTCCTCCATGAGAATGAGCTCAAAGAGGCGCTCGTGGTCCTGGTTGTAGAAAGGCAAGCGGCCGCACATCATCTCATACATGACCACGCCCAGCCCCCACCAGTCCACGGCCCGGCCGTAGTCATTGTCCTCCAGCACCTGAGCGGACGACCAAAGAGGTGAGCCGGAAACAGAGCGAGAGTTGATGATCGTCAAATGACTGGATCCTACCGAGCCTCCGGTATCACAATGGTTAAGGAGCGTAGCACATAACAGCAACGTGCCTACACTGACTGCCACATACAGGCAAAAACAAAACAAAAAGACGTTGTTGATTTTGCCAAGCAAAATAGTTTTGCAGCAGGTGACATTCGTACTACATGGATATAGTTATGTTGTAAGACGTTTAGGTTAGTAATAGAATTTGAGAGTGCTTTCCCATTATAGTTACTTCAACATCGATTCAACATGTAAACAAATGTCATATTACAACGTACCAAGATCTAAGATGTCTAGTCTAAAATCGAGAAATCAATATGATATATAGAAAATGTAAAACTACCAACTTATCAAAGATAAGTTTCCCTGGTGGACTCGTCCGGCCCGTTAGCACCAGTTGTTATTCACAACACATCGATGTCATCAGTCACCTCGGGCGCCAGGTACTCCGGAGTTCCACAGAAGGTCTTCATGGTGGCCCCGTCTGTGATCCCCTCTTTACACAACCCGAAGTCCGTGATCTTTATGTGGCCGTCCTTGTCTAACATGAGGTTCTCCAGCTGTGCCGGGAAAATACCCTAATTAGTTCTAAATTGTGCGAAAGCATGTCAAGGAATATCCCTCCGGGTTATTCACAAAGAAAGGGATCCTTTACTGTCACAGTAAGCAGGCGCCTCACCTTTAAATCCCTGTAAACTACATTGCGTGAGTGGAGGTACTCCAGCGCCGACACGATCTCCGCCCCATAGAACCGGGCTCGGTCTTCTGAGAACACTCTGTCCCGCGATAAGTGAAAGAAGAGCTGAAAAAGAGTCGGAAAAAAAAGAATAAGAGACAGAGAGCTTTTGAGGACATCAAAAGTTATTGTTCTTCTGGTTGTTTTTATGATTATGAGGAAAAATCGGATTGGAAGCATTTTTTAAATGCTTAGGTTAAAAAATAGGAATCATTCAATATTCCAGGAGTTATTATTGAGGGATGGCTTCATTCACTTCAGATAGATATTATAGTGATTTACGTTTTATAATTATAAAAAGGGGGCGGGGGGTCTTTGTCAAGTTGTTTATCGCCTCCTACGTTTGATTGACAGCATTCACACCTGCCAAAAAGAATCGCTCTAACTGGACAGATGCACGAGTCTCTATTTTAACCAGAGCAAACATGGGAGGTGTCACGCCATCCTTAAACTGATGCATCACAAGGTGTTGGGTTTCTTTCTGACCCCCCCCCCCCCGCTCCCGCGGCTACATTTAGCCATCAACGGCTTTCCAGGTAACTTCCAGGCAATTGTAGGCCAGATGAGAAAAAAGGAAAACGCACCTCTCCCCCGTTTGCATACTCCATCACGAAGCATAGCCGGTCGTTCGTTTGAAATGCATATTTTAGTGTCTGTGGAGGGAAAACAAATATTAGCGACGGTATTTCACTCAATAAATGGCCCCTTAATTTAGGAATAGCACAAACTGAGGCCACAACGAGGACAACAGGAACTCACCGTTAGAAAGGGATGTCGCGTATTTTGAAGAACTCTGCTTTCTGTGACCGTGTGGGCCACCTCATCCTACAGAACACACACACATACAATATGCAATTAGAGCAGGACCACGTAATAAATAAACATGAAGGTGTTCCAAAACAATTCAACGTCCGAATATCGCTGCACTGACTTTAGCAATGATGACTTCTTTGCGGAGGATTTTCATGGCGTAGTACATCCCGGTGGCCTTCTCCTTCACCAGGATCACTTTGCCAAATGTCCCTTTTCCCAGCAGCTTCAGGTAGTCAAAATCACTCATGTTCTAAAGGAAAGAGATCAGAAGGAAATGTGTTGTGTATAATATAAAGATACATGACGGCCTGTCTTTGAAATGTACTGGGTTTTACTGTCCCCTGTGCTGACGTTGTTGCGCTCCACATGATGTATGATAAAACACACAAAGCCATTCGTCTCGAACAAGTGAGACATGCTGAGAATATTTGTACTCTTATAAGATAGAACTTTAGATCGACACTCATCGAGCAGAAGCCTTAGGGTGCCCACCGCGTAGGTGCAACTGCCCTCAGCACCGAGTCCTATTGACCCCCCCGTCCCCCCCGAACTCTTTCGTCCTTGTCTTTCTTAGCTAGAACTGTTGTTAAAAGAACAGTTGCAGACAGGTGAACAGCAAACATAAAAGTACGCAGACATGCAGTGTGTATAACGGTTTCATACACTGCATTTCTACATACTTTTTTCACTCTGCGTCACAAAGCCAGCAGACAGCAGAAAAAAATTCAGTCTGTAGAAACAGACCCATCGAAAATCCCTAAAGAGAATCAGCAGCTGATAAAATGCACGCACGCAAATGTTGCCCTCGACTCATTTTAGGGTTGCCTCACTAAAAAAGGCTTTGAGAAAGAGGCTTAAGGTTTAAACAACTTGCTCAATAAAGATGAGCTTAGCTGGACAAACACAGGCACCGCTTGTGCAAATACTGACCACTTTTGTGCGGGATTTGGACACAGCAATCTCCATCTCCTCGGATCCACTGATGTCACTTGGTGAGCCAAATTTAATCTCCATGGGCTCCTCATCGTGCTGCTGGCTCTTCAGGCTGTTTGCCACCGCCTGGATCGATCGCATCCACTCCTCCCTGACGCAGAAGACAGCACACATTACCGCTATCGAATCTACATCACTGGCTCTATTCTATAAACATTTGAATTGGCAGAAGTTCTGCCTCGGGGTACAAGTTGTACCGAGTGGTGACATATTTTTGTAAACTCTTTTTACTCAGACAAAGGGTTCAGATGCTGTTCCAAAAATATATCTTCCGGGGAAAACGGTAGTCTAGCAACCACAGCGTGGAAGGTAGGGGATAACCTGAGGGGCTGCTGGGATTTGACGCATGGCAGAGTCGATGTAAACAAAGCTCCATGACGATTGCTTGGGTTAGGGGTAAATAATAAGGGCCAATCCAGCACTAACTTGTATTTAAAGCATGAAGTCTTTCCTTCCTTTTCCGACTTCACTGCTTTTAGTGAACAAAGGACCTCTATTGGGCTCCTGGGGTGTGTCTGTGCTTACAATACAAGTTAAGATTAACTCATGTGAAACTAATTATCACACCGTTACACTTTTCCCCCTTCAAGACACTTTAAAATACTTTAGATTTATCCGTTCTAATCTACAATAGACTCCAGCTAAAATATGTGCACACTAACTAATCTGGCTAAATCTGAAAGGCATTTCTTTTCGTCTAGTTATGCTTTCTACTCACACAAAACCGGTGTGTTGCATGCTCACAAATCATTTGTAGAGTTGACATATCCGCGTTGACCCTTTAAATGTTATTTTTAACCCATATGTAGGTTTATGCTGCGGTCAAACACAAATTACGGGACACATAATTTGACATTTCAGTGCAAAGGTGCCTGAAAAAGCTCAGATATGTAACTGTTTGGGTAGAAAATCCTAACAAAACATGAACTTCTTTAAACTCAGATGTTTAACAAAAACAGAAATAAGAACAACTTGATAAGTTTGGCGGTTCTGAAACACCTCTCTGCAAATGATGATGGGAGCAGGAGGCGGCAGAACAAAATGTACTAGGCGTGGACACCGCAGAGTAACAAGTCTTTCTCTCGCGTGAACAGATTTGTTGTTAGTTTTGAGGAGGAAGAAGAGATTTTGCTTTAATTTGTTCAGCTGTTTCAGTGTAGACAGACTTTGCTTGATGATGTCTGTTTGTCAGATGCATTGGCCAACAGCCCACTGCTAACAGCCTATACATTTGCACACAGTCCCTTTCAACCAAAGAGGCCGGTAATTTTAAATACAACAAAACCCATGGAATGAATGTGTTCTACCTCTCCTCGTTGCTGTCCACGTGGAAGGTGCGCTCAATAACAGAGGTCCACTGCAGGCAACGAATAACAAATGTGTTGGGCCTCGGCCGCTCCGTCTTCATGAGCTGGCATTCTGTGGGAGCGAAAGAAACATCAGCCAACACTGAAAAAAACAAAGTCGCAAAGAATAAAACATCTTAAAAGTTTAATCTGACCTGCGACGGAGAAGTTGTTGAGCGGCGGGAGGCTGTGGTCACTGGACACCTCGGGCTTCTCTTTGTAGCCGATGAAGGAGCCATCGCTCTTCAAGATGAAGTAGCGAGGCCGCCATGTTTTAATGTATTCACCTGTAAAACAGACTTAACGTTTGTCTTTGATGCGTCACGCTGCTACGACAGTGGAAATCTTCGGGAAGTGACCGAAGTAACCTGAGCATAGCTGTTCTCCATTAATGAGGAACCGAACCTGACAGACACCGTAAAAGCCTAAAGTATAAGTATTTGATACTCAGATTTTGGCATGGATTTTAATGTAGAATCCAATGATTGATTGATAAACACAAGAGGGCCGCTTACCTCTCTTGTGGAGCCATCCCTCTCTCACAACACTGACTTCATTCATGCTGGGGCAGAAGACTGTCTGGGTCGGGAGGGGGCTGCAGACAAGCTACTGGAAGTTGTGCAAACTGCTCCTTTTGGTCAAGTCCCTTGCAGTGGCTGAGAGAAATAGAAACGATCATGCAATACCTGATGGAAAAAAAACAGAAAGAAATACTGTTAATGCAGAACATAAAATGTGCGTGAAACTGCCCATAAAATGCAAAAGCAATGCTCATTGTAGCCGCGTGTAGCGTTAACATGTGGAGATCACAAAGTCCATTCAGATGAGAGGGAATGTAAACCATTGGTTTTGACGGGGTAAAAAAAACACATAAAAGTGACAGAATGTCAGTTTGATCTTAATAGCAGGGTAACTTTTTGTTAAATATTAAAAAGAAGCTTGACATTTGGCCTAGACGAAGTAAATCCAGAGGTACAGCAGAGGAGAAAGTGAACGTTCTGTGTGTGTCGCTCTTGATGGCTATCAAAGTGTTGTCACCACACTGCGCTCCGGCACCCTGTTGCCTTGAAACACAACTCAACAACAAAGAAAAGTGCATGTCAGCTTACCACCTGTATCTGATCATCTGACACATCCAAAACGGACTAGCAGAACTAGAAAATAAGATTTTTTTAAAAACAGGTAACATCTCATGATGTGTTTCTCTGATGTGAACTTCTCTGAACTCTGATGTGTTTCAGCCGTATGAAATATGTAAATACGGTGGATATTGTCACTGTACTGATTAGAAATCCCCAATCAAATGCGCCATTGATCCAACATTTAACCGAATGGCTGCAGGGCTTTGTAATAATGCCAAATTAAATAGTCCCTCGAAGCTCTTGCAGAATGTCTGTAGAGGCCCTGGAGATTCAGGGTCAACCTTGAATCAGCAGATACTGTTAGAATTTCAAAGTATTTCAGTGAGAGTGATGTGGTTTCATATTACAGTGCACACCTTCGCCAGAAAGCCTGTTTAAACTGCTTTGTTTACAAAGACAAAAACAACAGATAAGGATTCCCACGACTTCAGACTTTGTTATGGCCATCGGAGGTTGTAGTTGTACACCTTTAGTTAGCCAACAATTCAAATGGAAGGAGTAATACTTACTGTATTTTACTGTTTTTTTTTCTAGCTTAGTAATAATAAAACAACTTTTCGCTGCACTTTGTAACTTCCAGCAGTTTGACGTGTAATGGTCTCACAACTAGGCCATCTGCCGCTACTCTTGTTTAAACGTCACAGTGTTAGCGCCACATAAATAAAGAATAAAAAGCGCAGTTATTCAACGTCTGACGGCAACGTCACCCAGCACGACCACGAGCGGTCCAGAGTAAACAACAACGCAGCGTTTCCATATCCTCTTCCTCCCAGCGCAACGTTACCCAGCTAACTGGCGCAAAGTCGACGCATGTTGCCCTAACCTTCTAATCACAAGCGGGGGGTCGTCAGCGTCCCCGCAGATAAATTGCTAAAACAGTTGTATTTTTAGGGGGGTGGGGGGGGGAAGAGGAGGTAGAGACAAGTGGCTCGACGGAGAACTGCGAGGACACTGACCACGCAGCGCACTACGACCAAACAAGGCAGCTAAGCTACAATAGCTTTCCGAGCTACCAGCTAGCTAGCACGTCAGTTAGCCATTTGCGCCCCCCTCCCTCCTTCCCCCCCTCCCCGGCTTCTCTCACCTCGACTTAACCGACGAAAATGGTTCCCAGCTGGTCTTTTCTTTGTGCATACAAAAAAAAATGGTGGTCTCCCACCGGCTGCCCCCCGTTCGCTTGTGTGTATTGAACCCTGTCAATGATCACACCGCCTCGGCTGCTCTTTCTTCACAACAAAACGGCAAGCGGCGTGCTGCCGATGCGGTGGTCCACCGACGCGAACTGCGAAGCCCCGCGGGAGGGATAAAGTCCACCCGGCTCCGACTGGATGGATGGGTGTTTCGAAATCGAGTGCAAATAATTTCCAAATCCTCGACGGGAAAAGAAAAAAAGAAAGAAAGAAAAGAAAACCCGCCTCTTTAGGGCTTTGTTGACGTGTTTTAGTCGAGCTGCTCAGCTTGCTCGGGAAGCGCTCCGTCCCGGCCAGACAGAACAAGCAGCCCCGCAGACGCACGCAACCGGAAGTGACGTCACGGGAGAGCGGGTCCACTGCGCCCGGTCGGTCGGCGCGAGTACATCCTGTACTGTGTTGTGACCTCAAAACTGGCTGCGTAGAGATGGCGTACAGAGTAATATATATATATATATATATATATATATATATATATATATATAGCATGTTCCTACTTACTTAAAGGTTTTATTTTATTCTACTCATTTCCTTAGGAGTCAAGTCGTGACAAAAAACCCATAAAACCAAACTACCACAAAAGGAAGAGGAGGGAACACAAAAGAGCAAGGCAACCATATTTTTCATTATAAATGTAACAAATATTTATTATTCAGAGATAATTTTCTATACATCGTTGTTCTGTCAAGGAGCTTTATTTTGTTGCCTTTGTTGCTTTCGTTGCAGGTAGCGAGCTCGAGCATCGCAGACATCGGTCTCGTTGTTACGCTTCTCCAGCTTCTTCATGACATCCTCGGTAGAAACCTCTGCACAGAAACGCATATAGTGGTTAGTTATATATAACTTAATATTATTATTATTATTATTATAAAGTTCATGCCCAAATGGCCTTTTAATCCAAGTATGAACATTTCATACATGCACTATTAACCATTATGCGGCATAACATTAACATCTCTAAATTATAAATAATGAACTCTGGAAACCTGGTTGTCTTTTGGCTGCTTCCCTGGTCTCCCATTTCTTCATCTCCTCATCCGTCACTTCTTCTCTTGCCACACTGCTCAGCTCATAGACGTCCACCTCGTGTAGTTTGGGTAACAAGTCCTTCACCCACTCGTATCGAATAGGACACGCGGTCCTGACGTATACCTTTGAGGTCACCAGCACATCGTGGAAGATGATCCAGTTCAGCTTGCCCTCGTGGTCAAACAGCTTGGAGCAACAGGGGAGTGCGATCAGAGATGAAGAAGCAAAACAAAAGTTTCGTATTGTGTTCTCCGTTTTGAGAATGCATTTACCGAGGAGGACGGGTGAATGTGGATCATGGAGCCGTGGCCATCCATCGTGCAAAACACCTTTCCGACAGACCTGTGTGATGAGAGGGAAAAAAAACCCAAAAACTGAACAATGATTCAAAACCAACAAGCAGTACCAAGAGAATAGAAAGAAATGCCAAAAGAGTTGAATACAAGCAATTTTAAATGAACTTTGGTGATACCTTCTGGCAACATTGGTGAAGTATCCTGTGCACAGACATCGTCTGAAGAGTTCACTCTTCTCGCCATCGTACGTGTCCACAGGAAAATCTCTCTTCTAAAATGGAAAGAGGTTTTTTTTTCAAATTAATTATCCCACAAGTGTGTCAAAAAGTAAAATAGACCTCTGATAAATAATAAATAAACATCTGACCACAGTAATCTGCAAAGAGGTCCTTTACATTCAACGTACAACATTATTACAGCATGACCTAATAATAGTAATACATTTTGTACGGTTGGTAGTTTACATCAATACAAGTCTGTTAACAGGGCATCGATACACCACACGCTGAGCTTTGTAAACTGCTGGACCTGTTGGAGGCGGAGGAGGATCTCGCGCAACTGAGTCTCCACACTGAAGGCGGACTTCAGCGCCCTCCAGTGGACCCAATGATCTTTGCACCACGCCGACGGCCTGCCGCTGCAGGGAGCAGGAGGAAGGCTCACACTTAGTTGTGATAAATCACGTTACAGTCATGAACACACGGCAAGTGATAAACCAACACAAGCAAGTAGAAGTATGATCAATGCATCGATCCGTTAAGTTCTTTACCTGGATTTACATAACTGAAACACAGCGAGGAGAGTGGCAAAGTCGTTCATGCTGCCGCTCTTTGTGGCCAGCGCCTTGTGCTTTTCATCCGCCTCCTTCTGCTTCTCAGGGTGGCCTGAAGGCAGCAAGACGTCAGTATTCACACCGCACAGCTCTGCATGTGTTATGCATATGACACAATCAAACCAACACGACAGTAAACAACGTAGTTGGCCCTCTATATTTCAGGGACATTTTAGTATCTCTGCTACTAAAATCTCCAAAAATCCTCCTCACAGTTTGGTTAATTGAACATCCTCTTTGTCCTTGAGCTGAATCGCTTACCTGGCCTAATGAAAATGTTCTCTACCGACAGCATGGCGGCCACAGGCAGCAGCAGGTCCTGACAGCCCAGCGAGGCGGCTTTGAGCACGGCCCTGGTGAGGCCTGGGTGCAGGGGGAACTCCACCATCAGCTCCCCCAGCCGGGTCACCCTCCCTCTCCTACGGGCAACACGGTAGTACTTAAGCCCACTGCTGCCGCTGTGCTGTCAAGTCCTCGGGGCAATGGGGATCATTTCTCACCTGTCGATGGCATCAAATTGGTAGAGTTGTTTCAAAGCCTCAAGAATAAACCTTTCCTCCGGACAGTCCAGATAAGGGAACCTGAAGAGAAAAAGACTATTAATAAATATAGTGAAATACAGGGGTGTCAAACTCATTTCAGGTTGGGGCCGGATACTGCCCCTCTTTGATCAAAAGCGTGTACCTGATGACGTCATGAACGCCCAGGCACTTGAGTGTGAGCACCACTGCAGTCAAGCTCGTCCTCTGGATCTCTGGAACGGTGTACTCGGGCATGTTCTTCTCCCAGAATTCCTTGGTGTAGATTCGAAAGCATTTCCCGGCCGACGTTCTTCCAGCTCGACCCGCTCTCTGCTCAGCCTCGCTCCTGATCACAGAACCGAACGCCCCCAAAATTATTTTAGCCTAGATCTCTGCGGCCAAGCTTTCCTAAAAATGTCACAGGAATCGGCAGGAAAACTATTCTAACAAACAAAGTTGCTGGTTAGAAACGACTCACTTTGAGATGGGCACCACTTCCAAGATATCCATGCCCACTCTTGAGTTGTGGTTGAGTTGCTTCACAAATCCGCTGTCTATGATGTATCTGTATGAGGGGGGGAATATATGCTTGAGGTCAACGGTTTGATTACAAAAAAAGTTAGCGTTGTGTATCCGTGATGCAGCCTAGCGGTCAGTCAACGAACCACAGGCCTCACCCACTTTATGCCGTTGATGGTGAGAGACGTCGCTGCGATGTTCGTTGCCACGACACACTTCCTTATTCCTGAAGGTGGGGGCTGAAAGATCTGCCTCTGTTGATCTGCGACAAGAACAACAACCTTTTCAGTTTTCTTTTGCAGCATCGTCAATGAAATATCGACTTTTATTGCAAAAAAAAACTACAATCTTAATCTTGTGATGAATGAGGCGCGACAGCGGTTTGCATTTACCTGTGGGCATGGATCCATAAAGGGGCAAAATAAGAAGGCCCTCCACGGTTTGGTCCTCCACGTCATAGCGGTAGTCTATGGACTCTGCTTTTTCATACAGCAAGTCACACGCACGCTCAATCTCCACCTGACCTGTCAAACAAGGAGGGTTGAAGGGACAGATTCTGTGAGCTTCAAGACAAACTGGCAGCTCGGTGACTTACCGGTCAGAAACACAAGAATATCTCCGGCCTTTTCACTAGTGTGCACATCGAGGGCCACTTTCACCACCTGTGAAGCAAAACGAAGAGAAAAAAAAAAAAACTTCTTACTTGAGCATTAAAAACGATGATGAATTTTCATTTTGTGCAAGAATCTTAAAGAAACTCAGTACCTCTTTTACATAACCAGAGCTCTCGATGTCTTTAGGTCCAACAGCAAACCCGAATGTGGAGGTGACGGGAAAAGTCCTCCCGGGAATAGTGAAGACGGGGCAGTCGCCGAGAAAGGATGAAAGTTTGTCCGTTTCCAAGGTAGCGGACATCACCACCACCTTCAAAGGGAAAGATCTGCCCTCGGCGGCCTTACCAGGCTTGGAGAACATTTTCTTCAATAGGCCCAGGAGAATATCCTGCAAAAAAATAAAACATGTGCATTCAAAGATCGACGTAAATAAATGCATTAACTGAGAATGCAGAAGCTACAAATGTCGATATTGGTCCATCGCCCTATCGACTCACCGTGTTGAGGCTGCGTTCGTGGACCTCGTCCAAGATGACCACGCTGTACTGAGAGAGCACGGGATCTGCCAGGATCTCTCTGAGCAAACAGCCGTCCGTCATGTACTTCACCGCCGTGCTCTGGCCCCAGAAACACACCTCGTGTCAGGCAGCAGACATTCTCAGCACCAGACATTGGAATGATGATGAGGAGTTGTCCTCTCACCTGTGACGTGCAGTCATCAAAGCGCACTTGGTAGCCAACCTCTTTACCCAGAGTGCAGTGCATCTCCTGGGCCACCCGTTGGGCCACCGTGATGGCGGCCACCCGGCGGGGCTGAGTGATTCCAATTTTGCCATCTTTACAGAAACCTACTCAACAACAACAACAACATCAGGAAGTAGTTGATTTGTATCCTGACTGGCCGGCTCTTTTCTTTGCGAACCCATCGCTTACCTGCTCGATGGAGATACTTTGGAAGTTGCGTGGTTTTCCCGCTGCCGGTCTCGCCGGTGACCAGCAGGAAAGTGCTGTCTTTGACCGCCCGGATCAGCTCGGCTTTGTGCCGGTAAATCGGTAGTTGTTTGGATTGTTGAGACTCACTTTCTTTAGAGTCCGTTGATTTGGACATAGCTGATGAGTAAGTAACGCGATATCTACCCGCGATGAGCTGAACGGATTGAATTCATAATATTCACGCGGAACACGGTTTAGATGGTGTTTGTACTATAAACGTAATAAAACAGCTACTTGTAGCACAATTCTAGTTTTTTTGTCCCGAAGGCAACACGCTCGCTCAAAGACTTCCGCAAACTTGCCAATTCGGCGTTTCTATTGGTCGAGCAGCGGGCACGTGACCAAAATCCCCCACGTTTGAAAAAGGTTCAATCAAGCTTTATTGAAACATACTTTTGTCAACAGCTAGTAATCGCATATTAGTTATTAAGTATAGTTCTTCAGACGTTTATATCTATAAAACCAAAAATCTGAATAATGAGTAAAATAAGCTAAGCAATTTCATATTTGTGGATGAGAAATATTATCAGTGTTAATTGTATGTCTTATCACCCGTTGCCAAAATGAGTCAGGAAATTGAAAATATTAATAAAATAAATGCATCAAAATTCCCTGTCCTTCTGCTTTTAGTGTGTTGTCTTGGCATTATGCTGCACATTTAGTAAATGAGATAAATCAATGTTTTGCATAATAATCAAGCGTAATTTACGTAATCACTAATAATAATCTTTTTACGGTTTTCTTTTACAGTTGAAGCATACGCAGCATTACACTAATATTATACCACAATACACCTCACTGCCATGTAGCTCAGCTTAAGACCTACCTTTCATTTCAATAATTCAATTAAAATGAAACAAAATTAAAATCTAAATTTGTAAACAGTAAAACTGGCTTTAAATGATGTCTGTCTGTATCTCTTTCTCTCTCTTCATTAAACATGACACATGTCAGTAAACAGCTGGACAAGACTTTAAATCGCGGATTTCGTGAGTTTTGGGTTTGTTTATTTTTTAGGAAACGTCGGACCAGGTGCAACGTAATGTTTCCAGCGGCGCTAATGACGTGGTTATTTATCACTAAACAACGCCGGGGGATTCCACGAACTCCGTCATTACCTGTTGGTCTGATGCTGCAGCCGCTTGTGGAGGAGGAGGAGGAGGAGGGGGGGGAGGAGGAGGAGGTGGGGGGGAGGGGGAGGGGCTTGTGTGGGTCGAGGTTCTCACAAGAACTCAAATAAGTAAAATAAATGCCCCGTCTGATATCAAAACACATTTGGGTGGAATTGATGACAGAGTATTTCTTATCCTTAAATATTGATGAATGAAGAAAAGAATTGGGCTCCAGAAGAAGAAGAGAAGGGGCACTTTTCTCATCCAGGGCAAAAGGGCAGGTGCTTGAGCACCACCAGGGGGTCTATCTGTGCACGTGCTCAGATGTGCCCATGGGCTAAATGACATACAATCTTCCAAAAACTAACAAATAAGTGTCAGCGCAGTGAAGGGTGCAATGCTGTTAAAGTAAATTGGATTTATTTTTATTCTAAATCCCAGACAGAAATTGACTGAACTGTTCACAATTGTGCTTCCAAACATCAACTGAGATTGTGGTCCCTTTTCTGATTTGTTTACAGTAAATACAGGAGAGGTCCACCTGAAACTAGACTGTAGTGAACCTCCCGTCCTGGTCCCGGTTTGATTCGCCTTAATCTACGCTCTCCTGCAAGACATGGCAAGACAGACCCACAGCGTTACACACAAGCCTGTGCGTATCAATAACACAAGAGGAGTTTGTTAGACGTCATAGGAGGGTCAATATAGGCTGCAGCGCCACGTACCGTTGCTGCAGGACTGCAGGCAATCTGGTCCTTTACAGATCGTCACATCACAGTGGAAATATACCTGTAGGAGAGGATCCTGTTTTAAAAGAGCTAATACCAGTGAAATTCATACAATATCTATCTATTTTCTTCTTATACTTTGTCATACCAGGTATTTCCATGTTGGGGGCTTCTCAAATGAGAACAGCTTGACCACAAACCATTTGTGAAGAGAGGGATATTTCAGTTCCGAGGGGGAAACTGGCAACACAACAGTTCTGTGGCCATCGCCACTGAAAGGACACCTGGGCCGGAAACGAAGACGAGCGTTGGTTCATCAGAGTGCGGGCTCGGGCCTCGAATGTTAACTTGGGCACAAACAAAGTCTGTTTATTCCGTGTGAATTCACCCTTTGACGAGCAGCGTCCATCTCGGTCGGTCGTGAGGGTTTTCGGATGCAGTCGCCCAGCAGTCCTCCAACAGCAGCACCAGATCCTCGTCCTGGCGGTTCAGAGCGAACGCCTCCACGTGCACGGGCTGGCCGAGCTCAGTGACTATTTGAGGGTCCCGAGAGGAGTAGAACGACTCGTAATTGGAGTCTGTTGTTGAAAGATTAGAGAGAGAAAAAAGGAACTTTATTTATGAGGGCTCCACTGGTTGAAACTGTTAAAGATAAATTATTTTTTCAAGCCACGTATGGACATATTCTGATGATTTACAAGCCTACTTCCCATTGTTTTTTTAGACATTTTTGTGTTTTAAGTAAAAAAGCAAAAACTTGACCAACGTGACCTTTGGCGAACCTCATTTCAGTCCTCAGTTTTCCCTCACTCTTCCGCCTTGACGGGTTCCCAGATTCTTCTCCCCGGACCTCAATGCCCAGCTGAGTAATCTGAGCCAGTGCAAAACTACAATGCACCGTACGGCTACAAAATAAAAGGAAATTGGTTCTAGGGAGTGCTCTTCCATTCTCAAAGCAGGATACATGAAACATTTGGATTTCTTACTGGAAAGGAGCGTCATGAAATACGAGGCTTTTTTGCCGATGTTGCCTCACCTCGACGGCGACCCAGTGGGTTATAATCCCGTCCGCTATCTGCAGGACACAACAAAGCCGTCATGATACCACCTGACCCGTCCAAAGACCGATGGGGGGGGTCATTTATGTGCATTTACCACAGACTGAGTACCACAATCCGTGAAGGAAAAGCTGAAAGTGACGGCATCCTCGGCTGTTTTTTGGGGTCTACAGTGTCGGTGGTTTTGGCCGGAGGGGATCCAGACCGCATCCAGGTTCAGAGGTGGGACGGTGGCATTCTGAAGGATGGTGATGTGGAACCCGTCCCTGTTGCAGATTCCACGTGTTGAAATTTGTGGATTATCATCTTTGCTCTCGTCTGCAGAAAACGCGCTGAGAATTAAAAAAATAACTAAATTCTGAAAACACAACGTCATGATATTTATGGGTACTTGCAGAACTAATACCGTCCCGTTTCCTTTCACAGACGAGCGACATCGACGCGGCAATTTCAACGCTTCCCTCGTCTGCAAGCGCCATGATGACAACAGTCAGATGCGTCACATACTTCTGTTGAACAGAGTGATTAGAATATGAAAACAATGTGTTTAAATGCACAGAAACAAACAGACGGCCTTGCTCAAGAGACTGTTCAGCTTACTTCTCTCCTCACAAAGCATCCGCCGCCTGAGACGGTGAAGAGAGTAAAGCTTTCGGCTTCTCCAAAGAAGTAGAGGCACTGTTCCGCCACCGCGATGGCTTGGTAATATCCGCCGCGTCCGTCTGCGTGTATATTTTGGACAACAGTGGTTGACACCTCCAAAGCTATTTGTCGCTATCGGGCTTAACGCGTCCTTTTGGCGCCTGACTCACCTTTGACATAAATGGTGTGAGGCAGATCCGCGTACTGGGCCTTTGACAGCTTTACAGACATGAACCCCTCGTGGCACATCGACGCGCCGCTGTCCAGGGCGTCGGACGCCGGCTCCCCGGATGGTTTCGCGGCAGCTCTTACTTCACGTTTCAAAAGAATCGGCGATAACAAAACACATGTCACCAAAAGGGAGTGTGCTCCGTGGGCCTTCATCTTGGGATTGTGACTCTCGGGCCACCCGCGTGGAGCAGCTGCTTCTCATTTGGCCTGATTGGCGGTAAGAAAAGTCACTGTAGAGGTTTCACGGTACGAAGGGTCCCGTGCTGGGAATCCGCTGGCTCCCTGGAGTTTGTGCTCGCCGTGTCCTCACACAGTTAAAGAAATGCAGGGTGGACATGAGACATGAGATGTGAGTGATGTTTTTATTTAATCAGCAGGTCAAACCGAGAGCATACAAGCCATGCACATGAAGAGACAGCTTCTTGTACAGGAAATGCAGTATATCAGAATTTAAAAAAATCAACTTTACATGCTTTGTATGTTCATAAACACACAAATACAAGAAAACACGTGTCAAGTCGGGATGTCATAAGTACATTAAACAGTCAAAGGACTTTGACTGTTTAATGTGAAACTGAGAAAAGCAGTTTAAGGGCTCCGTCGCTCGTTACAGGAGGTTGAGCTGCTCTGTGCTCTGGTTGTAAATCGGGTTTCGGATTTCACCATCTGACATTGAAAAGAAGTAGGATAGCAGTTGAGCCACAGTATTAATTCATCTCCATCATGCAGAGGAAGTCAGCGCTCACTTTTCTTGGCTTTCTTCTTCTTTCCAAAACGTGCCTCAACTGCTGCTGCCGCTGCAGAAATAAAAAGAATCAGTGATTTGTTTAAACAATAAGCTGCAAGGATGCATTTCTTCCGAGGTCAAATAAATAAAGTCAAAGTACCGCTGCTAGGATTGTCTGCCTGAGTGGACGTGGCTTGTTGTTGCTTCCATATTTCACTTTGGTTAGCTGTGTGAACAAAATAAACGAATGAGGGAAAAAAAGTCCTGAAGGCACTAAAATGATGAATGAAGGAACAAAAATAAAAGGTGCGTTCTTTACCGTAATACTGCCGACCCATACTTGCATTCCGTAATCTGTTGAAGAGCTCTGTGAAAGCGAGGCCGAGTTACTCCAGTGTGTCGTGACAACATGATAAAAGGCTCACGGACAATACGAGAAATGTGGTAATTCGACTGTACGTGACGCACCTCGCTGAAACCCTTGTTTTGCTCTCTGACTTCCTCCCCCCTCCAACTGGCCCGGGTGAACACCGCCGGTGTCCCGGGTGGGCGCACGCCTGTCTGGATCGGGCCGATCTATTGGATGGCAGTAATTCCTGTTGAAGTGATCCTGCAGGTTGGACGGGTCTTGGTCGTCGTTTTCTAAGATGTGAAAAAAAAAAACAGGTTTTTTTTTTTTTTTTAAGACAATCGTGATGTTGAAATAACAAAGACGTTTTGCGTCTCCCTGGATGGAAGAACGGATGCGAAGGAAAGAAAAGAAAACCACGTGAACGCACCATAAACAAGATGGTTGTCGCCCTCACCTGCGGGAAAAGAAAACACGTTGAGTACAGTGTGAGAAGATAACACCTGACACCCTGTGTGTGTGCGTGTGTGTGTGTGTGTGTGTGTGTGTGTGCGCTTACCGCTCTGCTGTTGACCTGTCGGCCCTCTGCTTGTTCCCTCTTGCGGAGCCTTGGCGACTGCAGTGGGACATTACGTGGGACATTACTCAATAAAGGACTAGTTGGACATTTTGGGGAAACAAGCTTGTTTGCTTTCGTTCCTCGAGGAGATTGAGATCTATTAAATACCCCTCGTGATCTTCTTGACAGACAGACAGGACAGATGTGCATTGCTGGAGATTTCTCTCTATTCTGTATCTTTCTGTTGTCCTGTGCAAAATACTTCATTTTAAATAACTCAACAAGAGGAAACCTTTCATAGCATTAGATTCCTTGGCTGTAATAAACCTCACTCTTATTCCTGTGAACTGTAACGTAAATGTCAAATCATGATGCTCACCTTCAGGAATCTCATCTCCAGGGTTGTTTGTATTGTCCTCTGTTCTGTCGCAACAGCACGCTGAAAATGTTTTTTTAAAAAGGTTTTCAAAAAAAACAAATGAAAGTAGACTTTCCTTCCAGGCTCGACAAGTACTCACACATGCACTTCATGCAACAGTAGCCAGCGATGCACAGCAGGGCGAAAGCAGCCACGCCAACGCAGGTGTAGATCAGCACCGTCTCCTCTCCGCTCGCAGCGCCTGCACGGTGAGTTGTGGTTATACGAAGACGCTTTCGACAGGAAACTCTCGCTCACCGGTCCCCCCCCTCGTGCGTTCGGCCTACGAGGTTTGCGCCCGTGGAGAGGAAGGAGAGGCCACGCCTCGCGTCGAGGCCCCTCGCGTCGAGGCCCCTCGAGCTCAGTGCGGGAGGAAGCACTGCCTCAACGGCCGCAGAAATTATTATTTTTTTTACCTTTCTCAGCGAGCAGCTCCACTTCCACACAGCCACTTTGTCCCTGCGAGCAGCGATAACGGCCCAGGTCGGAGCCCCGAAGCTCGTCGATGCGGAGGGAGTAGTTCCCCAGCGAGCCCTGGTTCGGAAAGGCCTTCAGGCGACCGAACCTGTGGTCCAGGAACTTGATGCGACCCTCAGATTTGAGGTGGACCAGGTGCGCCTCGGGCCCGTGGGCCCACATCACCCAGTCCACATTGTTTGGTGGCAAGATGCACGGGAGGAGCACGGAGGAGCCGAGATGGGCAGAGCGAGTCTGCTTCTTACAAACGTCGGAATACGCCTGAGAGGAGTTTAGGACGTTCGGCTCGTCTTAACGGGAAAAGAGGAACACAAGAATAAGATTCCATTTTTGGTTGGTTATCTCAATAAACCATGAAACCAACAGTCCTGGTCCCTATTACTGGAGATATTCCCAAAAATATCATGTGTATATCAAGACATTTTCGAATGCACTCACAGAAAATTGTAGGGCTATTATTAAGATGTATGTATTTCAATTGCATATAAGGTTTCCAACCATTAGGAATACATAGTTTTAACATGAACACGCTAATAAAGTTTATGTGATATATATTTGTGAGTCAAACGAATGAAAAAAGTAAGATTGAAACTTATGTAAAAATACTAATAAACATAATATGTTTGGAATACGTATACAACAGGTTTATGCGTATTGCAAACATATTGTGTTTATTAAAAATAAGTAGTATATACACCGTTAGTCAGATTAAAATATATTGCTAACGTTATAGTAGATAGGATATTCTAAGCACAACATTTTTAAAATCAAGTCATTTAAATTGAGAGAACACTTAAAATAAATATATAATAAATAAAAGTATGTGAAGTTCTATTCATGGAACATTTTTAAGAGACACAAAAGACACCTCTTCAGACTATACCTTGACTAAAAAACACTTTTGTAGCACTTAAATTGTACTTATAATGACTCTTATCTATAGCTATAAGTTGTAAATCGGCTTATTTTATGAAATTGCACTTTCTTGTTTCTTGTTCTTCTGGATGGTTGAAATGCACTTATCGTAAGTCGCTTTGGACAAAAGCGTCAGCTAAATGACACGTAATGTAATATTATATTATATTAATACTTCCCATCAGGACTTACCATTTGAAGACACGCGCATTAAGCGCAGGGCCGAGAGGAGAAGCCACCCGTGAGCGTTCATCGTCTGGCAGGCAAAACGTAGATGTGACAGAGCTGTGTGCGAACACCTCCAAACATCATGGGACAAACCCACCACAAAGACCCTCACAGCTCATACGCGGAAGGCCTTCGATGCCTTTCACTTTCACACGAGAGACAGTCAAACATCTGACACCACACGTTTGCTTTATTCAAGCCCGTGAGCTTGTTCGGTCAAACAGAAAACTCAAAAACAATCTTTTACTTGGTAGAGTATCAGGTAGGGTATCGTGAAATAAAAGGCCTGAAACGGCAGTCTCGTCCAGACCACTTCCTGTTGATGCTCACAGGAAACATCCTCCGCTCCCTTCTGTGGGAGTGTTCGGCCCGCGAGGTTTGCGGCCGTGGAAAGGAAAGGAGGCCGCAAGCGCAGGCGGCTCTCTGTGGAGGAAGCATTACCGGAAAACCTCCAGACAGTAGCACATGAACCCGACCCCACGCGGACCTGCCAACGGCGTGCCAGCACGCCAGCATTCCTGCACATTTGAGGAGCGTAGTAAGACTTTGGGATTTTGTGTTGCATGTTGTTTCAGGTGTTGGATTCTGCTGCTAAAGCGCCACCTGGTGGCCACGTGGCGCGCTTACTATGGCATCACTCCCACTTTGTGGTGGGTGTAGAAGTGTGTGGTTCATTATGCCACTCAGCTTCATTGTGCATCCACCGTCACATCACATCTCAGTCCAGTTGCAGGATGGCCGGGAGCTGCTCCCAAGGATGCTTGTTTTCCTTTTTCGAATACAAAACGGCAGAATACGTCGCCACCAAAAATAAGACAGTTGGAGTTTTGTACAGACTTCTTCAGTTGTTAATCATCAGTTACATTATCGGGTAAGTCGCTGGACTTTACTTCCATTACTTCTATTACCCTAATATTAATACAAAAAAGCAGACTTGTGAGAATTTTATGTAGACCTATATTCTCAGTGCAGAGTATTTATTTTAAATAGCCTTAAGGAATAAATGCAGATAGCCCGATTGCTTGTGGATCTATTATTTTGTGCCAGCTTTGTATCAGCTGTGCAGGCTGAGCGTGATGGTGATTACAAATGAATGGGCTCTTATGTCGGTTCTGAAAATTGAGAGAACAGATTTTAATACACGAACATTTTTCAAACTAAGTTTTTAGTCCTGCAGCAAAAATTCAACAATAGAAAAAGCTGTAATTAGCCTAATTTAGTAAGTCAATTTGACTTTGTGACATGTGATTATTAATTAGAACGAAAGGCATCAAATGGAGTTAATATATCAAAGGCTACTTTTAACCCCATATAAGGTTATTTTGATCATAGTGACTGCAAAAAACCCCACACAACATACCTTTTTGAAGAAACTGAAATATCACCTGTTTTGATTGTTGAATACCACAAAGACACGATTGATTCTGTAGTTTATTTAATTTTTTAAAGAAAATTTAAAAAGACAAGCTGAACAGGATTCTTTAAACACATCCTTCATTCGTTATATTTCCCCCTTCCGCCCTCAGGTGGGTCTTTGTAAGCCGGAAGAGCTACCAGGAGACGGACGAGGCCGTCCAGAGCTCCGTCGTCACTAAAGTGAAGGGAGTCTCGGTGACTAACACCACGGACTCCGGTCTGCTGTTGTGGGGCCCCGAGGACTACGTCATTCCACCACAGGTGAGGACAGTGGTTGAGTGGTTGAGTTAAAGGACGAGTCTCTCGTTCTGAGAACTGGATGAGAGGACGACGACACTCAGGTTACAGGGCCGGAAGCACTGCGACCACAAACACACATACAGTGTAGTGAGCAGGTTTTTTTGTGGGGAAAGTTGCAGTTTTGACACTGAGGACTCGAGGTAGAGCGTTTAAGGCTGGGGAGGGAGCCCATTGCTTACCATGAAATGATGTCATCATAATGACCAATTCAAGGGGTTCTCTCTGCATCCAGGGGGAAGATGTTCTGTTTGTTGTAACCAATTTCTTGGAGACGCCGAACCAGACGCTGGGATACTGTGCTGAGGTAAGAAGACGGATCTCATAGATCAAACATCAAAATCCATCTGAAGAACCCAAGAAAAGGTACGAGTAAGTAAGAGTACTTTCAGTGCAGCGTACCCTGCGTCCCGCCTCCTGAGCCTCCAGGGTGCCGTTAGACCTCTCGGGACAATCAAGTCGGCCTCCCCCCGAGCCACACAGATCCATGAGTAACAATCAACAAGCCTCCCAACGGACTGAGCGCTATAAATGGACAGGTGTAATTTACCTATGGGGAAATTCCATGTAACTGCCAGCAGTTTGTTTTACAAACTGTGAGTTTGGTTATGGTTTATTTATCTTGAAAAGAGGAACTTCTCTTTTTTGTTTATTAGTTTCACCCATACCGACCCTTCCTAGTGCTCACAGCAACTGTGTTCTTAAAGTTCTCATACCCATAAAAATGCTATATTAATGCTCTGAATGTTAAAGACAGCTCAACAACACAAAGAGACACTTAAAATGTTGCGTCTGTCGCCAGGATATTTTACATTGAATTTTGAGACAACCATGTTGGCGTCTAACTTTAGGGATGTTCTGAGCATTAGCTAGCTGGAGGCCGTGATGTGCCGTTTGGGTGCTCACTGTAATATGTTTAAGTGTCATAATATTTCTCCTAGGAAAATTAAAATTTAAAATCAGCCAATTCTGAGCTTAACTAAAAATTCTTGATACTAAATTCAAATTATGAGCGATTACGTCATAAGAATGAGTAATGTGAAAATATTAATTATTAAATCTTTTAAATGAATTATGTAAAGAATACAAGACACAAATGTTATAAATAATCTATATTATATGTTTACTATATTATTTGTGACTTAGTGACTCATAATATTGACTTTGGCAGAAGTACTTTTTTTTCCTTCCTAACTTATTATTTCTAACTTGTATCTGATTCGTTGTCTTTGGTCTTTAGAGCGTCAAAGTGCTTGATGGTCGATGTCGAGGCGACGATGACTGTGAGGAGGGGAAGATGGTGACGGCTGGCAACGGTAAGATAGAGTCAGCATTTAATACGTCTCCTCGGTGCCTTTTCTGAAATATGATTCAACAAGGTTATTTTCTGTATTTTCTGGTGTTTTATTTGCATTTGTAAACAAATACAAACGTATGGTGGAAAACACTGGTAATTCGTATTCATCTGTTCATGTCTATGGCACTGTATGAAATTAATTGCAGGATTTCTATTTACAATCTTTGCAAACAGATAATCAAAAATATAGTCCTTTCTTATGTGTAAAGCATTGATTTCTTCTGAAGGGATCATGAGCGGCCGATGCTTGACAAAAGGTGGAAACTCTACTGGTTCCTGTGAAGTCTTCAGCTGGTGTCCCATCGAGAAGGAATACAAACACCAGTAAGGATCAATGCAGTCACATAAAACCTCCTCAAGGGTTCATCTAAATCCTGAAGGCAGATTCCCAACCGCACAGACCGCATGTGTGGCGTATAACCACAATGTCTTCTCTGCAGAGACCCTCTGCTGACAAATGCTGAAAACTTCACCATCTACATCAAGAATTTCATCCATTACTCCAAGTTCAACTTTTCTAAGTATGTCCACTTCTTCAACCCTCTCCGTAATCTCTCCACTGCTCCGTAAGCTAGAAGAAGTGAGCGGTGCGCTCTCATGCACACTCTTGTTTGTTTACTCTGAGGTCCAACGTTTTACAAACCACCAACAAGTCCTATCTGAAGGGATGCCGATATGACGAGGAGCTCCACCCCTACTGCCCCATCTTTCGCCTGGGCGACATCACCAGACGAGCTGGACACAACTTCCAGGACGTGGCCACACTTGTAAGTTAAGAAAATAAGACAAAAAGTGTAAAAAACAAAAAAGGGAGAGAGAAATCAGGAGGATGAGACGAGGGTGAAGGAGGTTCTGCTTCTTCAGGGTGGCTCCATCGGCATAATGATCGAGTGGAACTGTGACCTCGACAAAGGCGCCTCCAACTGCAATCCACAGTACAGCTTCACCCGCCTGGACGTCACCGACTCCAACGACGCCATCGAGGCAGGGTTCAACTTCAGGTGACACGGCCTCCTTCTGCGTTGTAATGTCAGACACACAAATAGTTCTATTTGATTTATTTACAGTTCAAAATAAATGATTTTAAAGGCGAAAATGATCCCAACATTTTTAATTGTGTTTTGTATAATTGTATTCTCGTTTCTCCGTCTTTCCTCCCATCAGACACACTCGCTATTTTAAAACTGCCGCCGGTGAGAGCTATCGATCTCTATTCAAAGTCTACGGCATCCGATTTAACATCATGGTGCACGGAGAGGTGAACACATATCTAAAAGGGCGAATGCTTGAAATAATGTCAGTATTATGTGGATGATTTAAGCGACCACATTAGAAGAAGAAGAACTTTTTTGATAATTCTTTGATTTGCCAAAAAGTATTTATGCTGTTATTTATAGGCCGGCAAGTTCAGCATCATCCCAACACTCCTAAACGTTGCTTCGGGAATGACTTTGACGGGTGCCGTGAGTACCATTAATAATAAAGTGTTGAATAAATGCTTTTAAAAGAGATGCCCGGTTCACTAATTAAAGCTACATTCAACAGGGGGCTTTCTTGTGTGACATTGTCTTTTTCTATCTAAAGAAGAGGAGCGACTCATATCAAGCGAGGAAGTCCAAAAGATCCAAGTAAGAAAAGCAGCACACGGGATCAGAGGTGGAGTTTTATTCTAAATACTAATCTGTCGCCATTCCACAGAAATGAGGAGACAGCTTCTGAAGAGAACCGTGTGGAGGACGGAGAGGAGCAGGACAATCTGACTTTGTAGTAATAATAGTAATAAGGTAGTTCAGCAGATTTAGTCAAAATTCCATGAGAATCGTTCACTCTGTGGTACAAGCACCAAATTTGGCACAAAGTACTATTTCAGAAAAGCCCGGTGTCCACTGGAAACTCCCAGAGGTTGGCAATATTTCAAAATTGCTGTCAAAATGTTTTTCAGTGTAGAACCGGAATGGCTTGACATATTTAGTTGATCTCAACAGCAAAATATTTGTACTTTAACACACAAAATGCAATGGTGCCAATAAAAATCCAATATGGCAGCTATTTTTTAAGATAGTGGCCATTTGTCACTCATAATTCACATGTTTTGTTGTTCTTGGATCAGAGATAAAGCTTCTGATGAATTACGTAAAGGTAGCTTTCTGCGAGATAATGACAACAAGACTGAACTTTTTGGTAGTGGTAACCAAACGGCGTAAAGCGTAAAACAGGTCGATGGTTAGCTAAATGTGTTCATTAGTTAGCAAGGAGCACTTATTGCATTAGCATTAGTTTTCCGTTAGCTTGCGCGGTCGATCGCGTATGCGCAATGTCGGGTGTTTTTTTTACTCAATGGCAGGCGATTTACTGGCACTGCCTCCGCAATCGACCATGATTTGACGTGAAGACTATGAAGAGGCTGACAGCAGAATCTTCCTGCATGCAGTTAGGCGACAGATGAAATCTGTATTGATCAAGGCTTGTGATACCGACCTTCTTGTTGCTGCAGTCAGTGTTTTTGAGACGCTCCAGGATGTGGGCTTGTAAGAACTGTTGATTGACTTTGGTCAAGTTAAGTCTATCAGATGGTTTTATGTTCATGACACGGTGGAGGACATAGGTCCTGAAAATCCTGTGGCATCCATTTCTTTCACACCTTCACTGCCTGTGATCTTGTGTCAGACCTTTGTGGTAAAGGCACAAAGACTGCATGGCAAACCTGGGACGTGTGTCTCATGCCTTCCAGATGCTCAGCCAATACCCACCATTTTATACCAGTGAATTTGTAAATTGAACGTTATTTGTCTTGTTGTCCAATGTTACGCACCAACCGCCATGTCACCAGTTTACCTCAACGTGATTATAATAATAGTAATAATGTACGACAAGAACAGCACTGCTGACGGGGTTGATGAGGCAAGACTCGACCTATTTGCTCGGAAGCATCCTATGATGCTGTTCCTATGGTGCTATTCCACCTACAAGGTCATCCCTTACGCAGCACGTGCCATCTTGGAAAATGGCTGCCATATTGTTTTTCCATCATCGATACTGGGATTTATTGAAAATGTAGGTTTATTGCCAAAGTATGTTAGACGTGTTAGACTTGCGTTAGACTCCAACAGCTCGGCTTAACCCCTGGCACCGGGATGCCAGACCGCCTCCCATACATATATCAGACATCAAATAATTAGGCAAAATAGCTCAACGGATCAGAACATTTATTCATTGCTTTTGTATTACATCACAGTGCATTAGCTTTATAACAGTTTCATAAAGTAAGAGGAGATTAAACAGAGTAACAACAATTAAAGTCAGTATTTTACTGGATAGGGCTACATTCCACATACACACCTACTGTTTAATTAAAGATTAACATAGTATTTAATATCTGTGATACAGTGAGCGTGGAGGCTAGTTAGATAGGTGACATCATTAGTGCTTAACATAGTATTTTATATCTAAGATACAGTGATCATTGAGGCTGAATTTAGATAGGTGATATCATCAATGATTGATATAGTATTTAATATCTATGATACAGTGATCATGGAGGTTACAGTTAGATGAACCTGTTGAAAGCATATGCAAGCAGCTGAACACACATGAAATATCTTACAGATTAATATAAAATAACTCATATTTGTAAAATATTTATTTATTATTGTTACAATTCAGAGGGACTTCAGAGTCCCTTTGAAGCTGACATCCTGCTGCCGATTTAGAGTCTCGATTGGGGTTTCGTCATGGCCTTTATCTATAACATAGTTAGATTCAATGCACAATGACAGACAGTAACAAGCTGCACACTGTGGATACATACAAGACGTTATTGTTACATTTAAACATTAGGTTATGAATTTAAGCTCTGCCCTCAAACAGACGTAACATAACCGGTGAACAAACATCAGTCTCTGACAACGCTACGGCGAGGTGAATACCGGCGGAGCATTTCACAGACGACGGGCCGAGAACAGGCTGCTCTCCGCGGGCTGAGGTGAGGCTGACCGCCCGGTGCGGAGGTGTCTGACGGACCGGTACACCTCACATCCGAACGTTAAACAACTTCTCGCCTGAGAAATTCCTAAAATTACATTCCGTGAATTAAATATAGTAGTTGTTAACATATATGAGTATATGCCCTCCATTGTCACAATCTGTTGTATTAACTTTCCTATACATTATGTACAGTATTGTGTGTTAAGCGGTAGCCAATAGGATGCCCCTGAATGGACATGTGACCTAGGAGAGGTCAAGTGAACCTGCGTTCAATAAAGACGACTCAGTTCAAGTTAAACAGCCATGATGCTCCACTTGTGTTATTTGTACTTCCATAATATTCGGCCTAAAATTGGGTATGAACGCCGGGACCGTTGAGCGAACCATCTCTGCTAACAGTAGTATTTATAAACTTCGACCTACAGTTTACTGCTGCTCAGATAAAATGCATTCTGGTATATTTGGCTTTCTCAACGACAGGGACAGCGGACTTTAGAACTGGAACAGATTAACTCCTGGTTGCGACTGATGACGTTTTACGAGTCCACGAGAACTAAAGTCCACACAAGAACGCATATTGAGAAAGGACCACCTATTTATCCCGAAGGTAGCGACAGAAGAAGAGTTACAAGGAGAGACAGCCGCGGGGAAAAACTTGGGAAGAGAATCCATCGCTGAAGAAACTCTTCATCTCCAATCTGCGCAGAGACTAGGTATGTTTAACAAGCGGTTCAATTAAGTACTCACTCTCCTAAACTTTAAATCTTGAAAGAAATGATTCGTTTGTGTTTGTGCGTGTGAACTTGATTTTGTGTGGTGAGCGGTCATAACACGCAGCAGAAGAGCACCTTGTTGCCCTGGCGAGCAGGCACGTGCACAGATGGACCCCATGGTGAGCATCTGCCCCTTCGCTCTGGATAGCAAAAGTGCCCCTTCTGCTGGAGCCCAATTGTTTCATCATTCACCAATATTTAAGAATACAAATTATTCTCTCTGTCATGAATTTCCCGCAAATGTGTTTTTAAATCTGACGGGGCATTTATTTGAGTTATTGTGAGAATCTCGACCCGACATTCTCCGCCGCACCCGTCGTTCCTCCTCCTCATCCTCCGTTCCTCCTCCTCCGTTCCTCCTCCTCCTCCTCCGCTCCTCATCCTCGCCTTAGTGCTCGTGCAGTTCTGAGCGCCAAATGGCTGCAGCATCAGACACGCAGGTAATGACGGTGTTTGTGTAACCCAAGGGTGGTTCCTCAGTGAGGTGTGTATGCGCTTTAGTAATCAACAACTCACATGCATTTTTAGTTGTTAATTGTTGTCCCTGGACTTCTGCGTCGAGGGGAAACAAACGACTGCTGCAACAGAGACCTTTGCCCTTGAGTCACCGCCCTGCGTTCGCTTTCGCGTTCCCTTTCTGCAAGATGAAAATAGGGGAAAAGTATTGAGTTCAATCTGAAGGAAGCTCCTTTATTAGTTCATGCGGTTTTAATGTGACTTTCCTATCTTTGAGTTCTTTGCTTTCAATTAAATATTCTCATCTGTTTCAAAGTCAATAAATGGAAAAATAATCTGTTGATTCCATCAATTTGTTTTGTCCATCTTTTGGAACGTGTTACAGATGTTAAAACTGTGTATGCTATATATACTGTGCTCTTTAAAAAAGTTTATTAACAGTATTAGTATTAATATTTCATCAAATCATCAAATGGCAGCGATAAGACTATTAGGCAGTAGTCTACAGATTCAAAGCGTTTCTTAGATTTTTTTGAACCAAAATGAACAGAAAACATCAATTCAATTTTATTTCGTTTCTTTTCTTTGTAGTTTCTTGTGTTAAGCAATATATGAAGCAATGTCAAGGAGCTTGACCATTTTGCATCCGATTCTCAGCTTCCACAGCTGGCTCTCTGTTACGGAGTGTCACGGTGTGGTTCACTTCCTGTTGTATTTTGTAGTTTTCTGCCACTCGTGTCCCCGGGTAACTTCACTTCCTGCCTTGTCCCGTCATCCCCTGTGATCGTCTAATAGTTTCCACCTGTGTCCAATCACCTGCACCTCCCTTGTGTATTTAAGCCGTGTGTCTCTTGTGTCAATTGTTGTGTCATTGTCTATCGTCGTGGATGGCCGTAGTTTCCTGCCTGCTGTTTTTCCCCCTGGTTCCTGTGTGGTTTTTGGCCTTTTGACTATTAAAGTCTTTTGTTTTCCCTGAAGTCTGCATTTGAGTCCTGCCTCCTCCACGCATCCCATGACACGGAGCTGATTAGTTCATGCTTCTGTAAAAACAAAGAACTTGTTAATTGAATGTTATTTGGCCTGTTGTCCATGGTCTTATTGTCCAATGTTATGCACCAACCGCCATGTCACCAGTTTACCTCAACGTGATTGAGGAGTTTGTCGTAATAATGTACAACAAGAACAGCACTGCTGATGGGGTTGATGAGGCAAGACTTGACCCATTTGCTCAGAAGCATCCTATGATGCTATTAAACCGCCAAGGTCATCCCCTGCGCAGCACGTGAATCGTTCTAATTACCAAGCAACTGTATGTCAAATGCATACAGAGAGCCCTGCCAACTGGGGATGGCGCCAACAAGGTGAAATTTGACAATCAGTGTGGACGATACCTTGGCCAATTGCTCAACAACTGACAAAATGTGGGTGCGGGACTGTATGTTTTGCAAGATGCAAACGGCAACGTTTTGGCCTCAAATGCACGCAGGTGTGTGGCTGCAATTGTGACGAGAACAGTTCATAATCCGGACAAGGAGCCATCCATTCACTTCCACACATTGTATCTGGATATTGATACGGATCAATCCTAGTTGAGATACCAAGATCATCAACATTGGACTACCCAATGGCACTCTAGGTACATAACGGAATATGGTGGCAGCCAATTTGGAAAAAGGCGGCCATATTGTTTTCCATCGTGGATACCCGGCTTTTTCGAAAATATAAGTCTTAGAGAGAATTTCTACCAAAGTTGGTGCCAGTGATTGTTTCAGTAATATGGGCTAATGTTGGTAGTGTTCTATAACCCATTATTCTAAAAATGACAGTTCTTTGTTTAATATGTCAGTCTAGATATGTTGATTTGACTATAAGAGCTTTATTTTGCTTCATATCACTGTATGAGAGGAATAGTATTTATGTTCGCAGGACAGAATGACATGCATTGAGTATTTTAGTCACACTAGCAAAGTGACTCCAGGGACCAAGTTCATTTTCTAAATGATGATAAAATAAAGCAGAGTGCCGGGAGAAGGCCCACTTACACACGAGCAGAACATGCAGACTTCACTCAGAAAAACTTGATTGCAATTGTGAAAATAAAGATTTCAATGGAACACATGTTGTCATTTAATCATTTTTGACTCGTTAAGAAAAACAAGAAGATTTTGGGCATTGAGGTCAGCAGCATAATGAAGGCTCAGGCTGTGTAATGAGTGGATTACAGCAACAATGTTGAACACTGTTTAGGAGACACACAAGTACACACAAACATGCATGTATTATCTTTGAACAGAGTGCAGTTTAGTCAGTGGTAGCCGGGGTGCCTGTGGATTGCTGGCTGTTTATTCTGTTCATCACGCCTTCCACCGTCCTTGTTTATACATGGTGTGAAGACATTGTGCGACGACAAAACGCTGTTGATCTCTCACCAAAGTGACATTAGGGGGATTGATGTAAAAGACATAGATCATCTCTAGAAATAAATGCCAGTATTTTGTGTTGTCTCTCATAGATAGTTCATTCTCAGCTTAAGACATTTGATGACCTTTTTCCTTCCTAAAAAATAATATTAAAGGTCCTCAAGAGGGATGTGAACGCTGACAGGAAAACATTAATTTCGTGTGCCGCTTCAGTAAGTGAAGACACTGACGAACGGTTCATCTCCACGTGGATCTTCATGTGTTTGCCTCCACCGTGGGGCTCGAGCCGAAGAAAAAGACATGCGTGTGATGCACTTCTCCATCGTTGCCTACAGATGTCCCTAAAGAACAAGCTCACAGCTTGAGATAGGCACAGCCATAGCCATAGATGTATGGCAAGGGTTCGGCCAAAATGCATACGGGAAAGTTAAGAGTTCTAGCAAAGCTCTACTTTTAACTGCTGTACTGTTTGCACATGGTCATGTCAGACGTGTTTAGGAAGAGGAATTACACGGAAGTGAAATATTTTCATATTTTTGATTACTTTTCAGTAAGAGGAGGATTGCTAAAACTCTTGATTATTTCATTTTGTTTATTGAAATAGTGGCGGTTGTTTGAGGATTACAACATTTACATATTTCTTATATAAAGCTTTTTACCCTTCATGAAGTATCAATATAAAGGTTCTTTCGACGCCAACCAATTTAGCCAAGGTAATTAAGGAAGTAAAATAACGTCCTTTGGTTAGGCCGAGTAGTATTGACCAATCAGGGTTCAAGCAGGCTACACACTGACCACTGTGTGCAGAGTAACACAATCTCAAGAGCCTCGTCTATCACACGAGCTCGTAAACTGGCTGCTTAATTGTCGGGTCTCAAGTTGCTAATCGGAGTGTGAACAATGTGCAGCGTTTAGTGGCCGTCCCCCTGTATCAAAAGAGCTGTTTCCAGCTACCTGAATGGAACCTGCTTAACCAGGTACACAAACAATGTAATTTAGTAACTGTGTGAATATAATAAAAAGTTTGAAAAGATATTCGTGTAGTTATTTAAAAACAAACCCATGTCCATCACTAAGTGGTTTTGTGTCCCTCGACGGAAGCATGTGTTTCGTTGTAAAATCACAGCGCTAATCACAAGCTCACCACGTCGCTGTGCTGCACCCAGGGTGTACTAAAGTGACGCCGGGGGGGTCTGACCAAGAGGCAAAAAGAGAAACACAACACCTCGGATTAAAGAACTCTTTGTCTTCTCCAGCACTATGGAGTCGAGGAATGTGCATTTACCAGAATATCACACCCAAGGAAGTGCACGACCACAGTATAAAAGCCCCAGAGCGGGAGGTTCCTTCCCATACCATCCGACATCATGAAGGTCCTGCTCCCCACGCTGCTGCTGCTGCTGCTGTGCAGCGCCCAAGGTGAGCAGATGTCTTTGTTTTTTACCTAAAAAAAACCCAGAATGTTCAGGCGACCGTCGGATTTGATCATTGGTGGGTCGGTGATGATGCATTCCCTCTCACCACTCCTCGTGCTTCTTCTCATCAGTGCTCACGCTCAGGTGCTACACCTGCAGAGACGAGAGTGACGGCATCTGCAAGGAGGCGACGGACTGCCCGACGTCATCCCACTTCTGCAAGACGTTTGAGAGCGGTACGTCAGCCTCGTTTGTTCATCATTTAGGGCGAAGCCTTGAATATTACTCAGGCCGAGGGGCGGTTCAGACATCTCTTAAAATATTGTTGTTGTTGTTTTTCCATAGACGCTCAATTTTCTCGAACTTGTGAGGACTTCTGTGTCGAGGGACAACACACGACCTGCTGCAGCAGCGACCTTTGCCCTTGAGTCACCGCTTTGCGTTTGCTTTCCCTTCCTGCATGATGAAAATAGGGAAAAGGTACTGACTTCAATCTGAAGGAAGCTCCTTTGTTAGTTCATACGATTTTAATGTGACTTAGAATATGCTGAGTAAAGAAACTCTTTAAGTCTCTCTTTTAAAAGTGGGCTGAGGTCGGAGGGAATGATGGATTAGTTCATCCATTAACGGACATGCCTGTATTATTTATTTGATCGCAAGCCTTTCCGTATGTTTTCTGTGTCGTTCACATAAAACCAAGACATTGACAAGCAACATTATAATAACACAATGAAGTGCCTGAGCTGAATGAATGGCTTGATAAATCATACCCCCGTTGAAATGTAGGTCATAAGTGTTAATCCGTCCGCCTGTGCCTTCCTTACATTAGAGCGGATCAGATGTCAGAGTCGGATGATTGGCGGATTAATAAAACTGTGTTCCTGTGCTGCAGGTTAATACACGCACTCTGCATGTGGAATTTCTCCAAGAGACGAGATGAAAACTTAAAAAACACTGCATGGAAAAACTTTTATTTCATTGCAACAACTTTCCATCATTTAGAGGAATTATTTTTGACTTCTCGAGAAGCCAGTGTTTCGTACAAAGCCACACTTAGAGCACAAGGGGGAAATACTCTTCTCACTGCTGCCCACACAGGAAAGAGCCGTGGCTGCGGCGGAAGGTGAGAATTTGCAAGCGCGCGTGTTTGTCTAAATGACGACGGCGGACAGTAGATATTGAGATATAGAGTATGAGCTCTTGCTTTCACTTCCGCCGCTGCGAGGGATTTTGGCCCTAAATGAAGATCCGCGAAACAAAACAAAACAAAGCAAAAGGCTTTTAAATCGTCTCACAACTGTTCCTTGGAGAAGATGATGATGATGATGATGATAACGATGGCGACTGATTAGATTATTATTTCATGGCAATTCCAACATCTGCATATACATACATACGCGTTCTATGTATGTTGAACCACATAATTTGACATCTTCACTGATCAATTAGAACAAACAAATGTTCTATAGAGTTTAGTTGCAACTTGTCCCACCAGATAAAACTGTAACACACTGTTAAAGCAGTAATGCGCCAATTAACATTCTAGCAATGTCCTAAAATATATCAGTCACAGCCATCAGGGCCCTTTTTTGGGGGTTTTCTTTTCTAAAAGAGACCTCATTTCGTAAAATAAAATATTGAATGCAGTATTTTTACTTATTATTTACTAGTTATTGAATATTTTTTAGGGCTGTCAACATAAACGTTAACCTATGCGATTAATGTGGCCGAGATTAATGCAGCAAAATATTTTAACGTATTTAACGTGACCCGGAAGTTGACCGCGGAAACGAAACGGCCGATCGCTGCAGTCAGTTACATCGGAGAGAGCAAGACGGAAGCTCAAGATGGAGAGAGCTTTTTGCATTTGATGTAAAACAAACAGAGGCGGGCGACACACAGCGGAGAACTGTGCAGAGGAATTCCTCCACGTGTCAAACAGAAGGGGGGTGAGTGGCAAACGGACCACATAGAGCACCGCTAGGCTAAGCTAGCTGCTAGACATGTTTCGCCTGGTGGGATTCTGCCTCTAAGATGATCAAATGTGTGCAGTTTTGTGTTTAAAATAACATCAACAATTAAACAACAGTGTCTAAAATACATGCTTTCTAAAGTGGTTACCCATTACTTGCACCAACATTCATTAAAAACAACATTGCAAAAACAACATTCATTAAATGCGATTAATGAATTTCAAAATATGCGATTAATTATTATTGACAGCCCTAATATTTTTTTACATTTTCCTTCTGGTGCTTCTACTTAACAAAGTAAAGTCTTTCTTATTCCGACCTTGAGTTTCGGTTAAAAAAAAAAGAGCATGGACGCTGAACTAAGCTGCCCTGCTGAAAAAAAAGGAAAAGATTGAAAACAAAAACTGCCTCTGTTGATCCACCACTGGTGGGCCTGTGGTCAAGAGTGACTCCTGCAGCTGGGAGAGTAATGGTGGGCTATCTATTGGATTAGTGCAGGGATTTCACTGTGGTATTAATCTGAGAAGACAGCTGGCGACCCGGCCGGCTCACGCTGAGCTGTTGTGTCTCTCAGTGGCTGGCTGTCACTCAGCACGCTGCCGGCCAGCCATCGGACGCAACAGCACCAGCAGCCAGCATGAACCTTTTCTGCTTCTCGCTGGTAAGAGACACACTTTTGATTCATCCTGTTCGACCCAACGAGCTGTGGGTCTTTGTAGCTGATTGGGGGAAGAGGATTTTCGCCCTCTGTGGCAAATGTGAACTTGGCCACGAGCAACACATGCAAGAAAACTAAATAACAGCATTCTGTATTAGCAGATTAGAGTTTGGAGGATGTGTAAAGGTTTTTTATAACAGTGCTACTGTCTCTAAACGAGGTACACGTGTTCCGTACTGTAAGGTCTCATGTACTCATATAATAAGTTCTACTGTTTAACCATTATCAATTCAATTTATCACCTTGTAAATAAATTAGTTTTTCATCAGATACGATCAGGTACCATTTCTGATGCAGCGGTGCTATATTTCTACGGCGCACGTTCATGACTGGAGGCAAAAGCAGAAATAATGTATTAATGAGTGAAGCGACCGTGGTAAAACAAGTGCGTGGTGGAAGCATGTGCACGCACAACTCCCTCGGGATGCTGTTAGCTAGTGGGAGTGTTGTTGTGAATGCTGAATAATTAATCACCAAAAGTCACATGTGTGATGACTTAGTAGTCAATCCGTGAGTTTTTGCAGGATTTTGCAATTCAATATATTACAGCAACCGATTCGTATTAGTATTAAAGCAGCTGCAATGAAGAAATGCAATGCAAACGTTTGTGTTTTTTTGTGTAATGGATCTTACACGTTTTTATAAAAGTAGTCTAGTGCAGTTTATGCTGCAGACACGACGGGATGGACGAAGAGACGTTATTGACGCATTCCTAGAAGGAATGCAAAAATGTGGAGCCGCTTTTTAATCCACACTGAAATCTGCGCAGAGGAAAATTCAATCCTCCACTACATCGGTGGCTGATAAGCAAATTCAAAAGGAGCTTTGGAGCAGCATTATCCTTTCAGTAATATCAAATCCTCATAGCTCGACTTGTGATGCTCGGCCTCTGATCACAATGCAAACAGATTCATTATTGCTTTCTCTTAGATTTCTTCAGGTTCTCTCAGTTTGACGTTCTGCAAACAGGCATAATTTTAACTTACGACCATGCGCTTTATTGCATTTAATTTCCTTACGACTGTCAAAAAAACCTCCCTGATATGTGCAAACTGTGTGCAAGTATCAATCAGACCTAATCGAAAGATATGGATGAAATCCATCCATAAACCGGGCCCGCGTTCCCAAAGTTAAACGGTCTCACAGCTGCGTGTGTGTCTGTGTGTCCACGTGTGCACCAGGAGGGGTCCATGGACAGCCTGTACGAGGCGGTGCAGAGCTCCGGGGACGGCCCACCTCCACCCATCCCCAGCCGCTCCTCCAGCCGCGCATGCAGCCGCTCCGCCAGCCGCTCCTGCAGTCCGGCGGTGCTGCTGGACGACCACACCAACTGGCCCGGCTCCGGGAGGTCTATTTCTATGGTGAGGCGGTGGAGCCGTGGGAAAGACCAGGGCCAGATTGTGTCGGGTCACTTCGCAGGGGAATTGGGACTTTTGGAACAAGCAGATTGTAACTGTAAAATAAAGCTGATTATGAAATGCCGAACAAAGCCAGTTGACAGATGCAGTTTTTGATTCAGGCGTAGCATCAAATCTATTTAAAGGGGATGAAGAGTGCATATTGTGTTTAGATCGTGAACCAACATCTGACTGAAAATGGGATGTCCTCTGTTTTTCTTTCAGGAGATGCCACAGATGCAGGGCACCAACTCCAGTAAGAAGAAAAGAAGGTGAGCTGAGACACAAACATGGAACTATAGTGGCACCAAATCAAACTAGTTTCAACTCTAAATCTATTTGTTATACGCATCTTGTTGTATACGGACAATAAGATTGTATTTAAAAACCTTTTAATCTTTCCGTTGCTTTTGTTTGGATGTCCGTGCAAACTGCAGAGCAAATCTGCCGTGCAAGAGCTTTACCTTAAAGTAATAATATTGCCTGAAAGGATCCCGGTTTATTGCCACTGGGGGGTTAATACCGTAAATCCTTCGTGGAGCAGAGCAGACGAGCTCTTGAGCAGTGCTCCTCTCCTCAATCCCATCAGTAGTTCATGTGGTCTGGTGGAATGCAATGCTGTGTCTTAAGAAAATGCAATCACAAAAAAGAAAAGCTTCACATACTGTGCGAAATGTTGAGTTGGTATATTGAAGCAGTGAAGTTGGGACTGCTGGGAAAGCAGAAGGCAGATTATAGCTTTGGGCTACTTGGAAGCGGATTTAAATGTCCCTCGTCGCCTCCACACCTTCACTCCCCCGGCTTTACAGCTGCACAATATCAACATTCTCCCCTTTTGTTGGATGAATGGAACCTCGTATCACATCAGTGGGATTGTTGTGGTTTGCTGTCAAAACTAAAGGGCAGAAACATGGATTAGAGGAAGCTGTGCAATAACATTTATTTGATTTTCATTAACTTTCAGAACACACATATCGAAATCTGCATCGGACAACGAAACACTGGGTGAGTACAAACTACGATTGATTTTCGAGGATTGTGTGCTTGAACATAATAACCATGACACTAAACTAAAACTAAATAATGTACCTTTTCAAAGCTGTATTATGTAGATGAAAACCTCCAATAACGCACAAGGCTGTTTGCGACTTATAAAACAATTTCATTTAGTGTCTCTGTGACCCCCCCCCCCCCCTCCCCCCCGACCCCCTTTCATTTTAAATCCTTAGTGTTTGTGATTTGTCTCCCTTCACGTTAGATAACCTCGGCTGTAATACGGCGGTTTGGCAGCCCGCCAAGAGCCGGGAAGATTTAGTCCACACCACCAACAATCACAATGAAGGTAATTAGTAAATAGGAAATGTGGAGACGTTCATTTGGACGCCAGAGTTTCACAGCTTCCTGTGCACCCTCTTCTTGGGAGTTGGGTTTTCTCTTGGTTTTCCGGCGCTTCACTAAGCTGATATTGTAATGTGTTGTGCCCCTGTAGAGATGAGGAAGACCAAATACAGAACAGAAACCAGAGAAGTGAAAGGAGCCCGTCATTCTGGCACAAAGAAAAAGGAGAAACCGCACTCCAGCCAGGTACGGATGAAAAGAAGATTCACTTTTCATCACTTCACTAGTTAAACGTATGGTACATTCAAGCAGATCTTAAAATATATTCAACAGAATACCGCGTGGGTAACAAAGAATAAGTCGTGAGCCACCAGTAGATATATGAGGGACCTCAGAGACGCCAGCGTGTCACAATGCTGCAAAAAGAAGCCGGGGCCCAAATGGGGATTGGTGGCGAATATTGTTTCATATTTATATATAGTATAGATATTTTTATTAAAAAATAATCCGCGTGCGGTTGTATTGAGCTGAATGCTAATCGACATGCTAATGTTCCCAAATGAAAATGTTTATATGCTAACGTTAAGCGGTTTAGCACGTGAGCTTTAACTGCAAATTAAGACAAACATGAAGCAGAACCCTTCACATCATTCTATGTATCTATTGTATGACTCCTGCATCATATTGTCAATATTGAGCAGGCATTTGGTCATAAACCATAGCATTGGAAAATACATGTTTTGAGCCTGATGTCAGAGAGTATTTAGAGTAAAAAAGTCTCAAATTCGATGGCACTCGTGCAATCATTGTTGAGGTGATTCGATTTTAGACAGAAATGTAAACCTCATGGTGGCAGTAGAGGAAGAGGTCCAACAAAGTTAGCAGGATTCACCCTATGGGAAGAATCGTTGTATGTACCGAGATTTAAAGGCATTTTGATTTCAGTCGCGACAAGAGAACCAGAGAGGCCACCAGCACGGCTAAAAACCGGGTCGTGCGACGGGTGAATTTAATTTAGAAATTAAACAATTAATAATGTGTTTTTAGTGTTTCCAAGGCAACAGCTCGGCGTCAGAGTCCAAACCTGCGGCCAAAAAAACCCAAAAGCCCGGAAAGAAAACAGGCGGAAAGAGCGGTAAAGAAGGCTCAAAGAAAAGTCACAGCTCAACAGGTGAGACGACTTCCAACAACAGCGAGATCAAAGTGCCCTTCGTCCACGATGAAACTGTCCTCTCTGACCCCGTCTGCATCTGAATGACTCATTGCGACCAAACTTGCATCATTCTCACAGTAGAGGAACAGACTCAAAATGCGACAACTCTGATGCAAAACGTTTCCTCTCTGATGCGTTCTGAATTGTACTTCTGCTTTGAACACCTTTAGCTGATGTGTTTCTGGTACAGGTACGCAGAGGGCCCCTAAACAGCAAACAAGCAAAAGACAAAGGCCATCTTCATCTTCATGCTATTTCCAGTCACAAGGCACATCTTCTAGGTCTTTATGATCGGCCTCCTGTGGAGTAAAAGTTAAAAGAGACAGAGCAGTTCTTCCTCGCGTGACTCATAAGCGTGTCATGTGGTCACCATGTCGTGATGGCGTTACGACAGCAGGCACGTTGCTCTAACGTGCAGCTCCTCGACATGATTCGTCACACCACCGGTCAGCGTCTTTCTTCGTTCATGCTCTTCTTTCTCCACTCAGTGCAACCCCCACCAGGCGCCATGAGCCCTCCCATGCGACCCCCCTACGTGGACATGCCATGCATGTCCGACAGGAGGCCCTACCTGGGCAAGTCCTCCACCCTCCCCGCCCAAGAGAACGCCACCCCGGGCCGGCGAGCGGACGCCGTCGGCCTCCCCGGCGGGGCGACGCCCACCCACACCCACCGCCAGCGGTGGAGCAACCCGGGGGACGGGAGTCCCGCCTGGGGGGGCGTCCAGCACACCTGCCGCAGGCCGCTGACGGAGTATCGCGCCTACCCCCACGACTTCCCCGAGCCCCCCGAGAAGGAGTGGGGAGGAAGGCAGCGGCAGCCGACGGACCAGAACGACGCCCCGCCACGGGACTGCAGGCCTCGGATTCCCCCGAAGGTGTCGCGATCCATCACGGACGCGGATCTGTCGGAACCAAACGTGAGTGTCGACTTGGAGGCCGTTAGATGCAGAGTTGGCAGAAGCAGAAGAACAAAGGCTGAATGGTGCATGAGGGATATTTAGAATACTTATAGTATATAAAATAGCTGTTTGTTACGGGGAACCAAAGCCGTGGGATCCACACACGCTCTCCCCAAAGCCAGAATCCATTAGAAATAAAAACGTTAATCCCCCGAGATAACGGGGGCCTTGATCGGTTTATTTGTTTGTGGGTCCGTGAGACCAGATTAGACGTCGTAATTTAACTTCGTAAACCCCACGGACCGAAGGGGCGGGTCCCTCGTTGGGAGGACGTCCAAAGGACACGTCTGGAGGCCTCGGTTGTTAATTTATTTCTAAACTAATCTTAGACTCTCCCTTTGGGATTCGATCAGTGGGCTCCTCTTCAATGCAGCCAGTTCGACCGCCACGCGGCCCTAATACGGCTCAATAAAGCAGATTGACCCCCAAAGGTTGAGCCTCGACATGTCTGGAAGCAGAAGACCTCTGCTGAGCCCCACTGAGCGCGTGCAGAGGACCCCCCCACTGCGACACGGACCAGTAAAAGCCATGACTTGGGAGGAAATGGTCTAAAATGAAAAGGATGATCCGTTGAAGAGACTAAGATGACCTTATGGATCTGTAGCGCTGTCGATTCTTGGGGTTAAAATGTCATGAAACGTCTTGACGTCCATCTTTGATGACCTGATTGCTCTTCTCCAAGTACATTCTGTCTGCTCACTTTTAGATGGAACCTTTGGCCTGTAATTTATGATCAGTTAAATATCTGAATACACTTTAATTCTAAACACGCCATACTTTTACAATTTATATGATCATGTACCTTTACTGCAAATATGATGCCACCCGCCTCTGAACCTTGTGCAAAACATGGCGTTGACATATTCTAGCAAAGGTGACTGCAGATGTCTAATTGTAGGAGCCACTGAATGAGTAGGTTAGAAACCTTAATCTGGATTCAAAGGAGGTTGATTGCAAGCAGTGGGATTACGCGACGGTTTTCCCTTTTCTACAACTGGTCGAAATCCCTCACAATTTAAACACAGCAGTAAAATTCCCCACATGGCCACATCGGCGGATCGTAATGTCGGATGCTCCTGCCGCTCACATTCACAGATGGCGCAATGGTTGTGTGGTTAAAACCAAAATTCCGCCGTAAAAGCATCTCATCTTTATGTTTTAGTGTAGACAAAGTAAGGGAATGTGTTCTAACAGAGGTAAAGAGAGTAGAGGTGAACTGGAAAATGTTTCGACACACGCGAGTTCAGCTGTTCCTCTGCGCCACATCAGCACTTCCCCAAATGTGTTCACCCGCGTGAAGAAATTACTGCATAAGACTCACTGCAGCATCAGTTACCATAACCGAGTTCCCCATTGCTATTAAAAGGAGAAAAAAAGAGGAATATCCGCCTTTTTAATTTTTATGTTTTAATCTACTTAATCTACTAAATGAACAAAAACACAGCTTTTACGGTAAATCTTTGTAGAATAACCCTGTTGTGAGTTTCTCACATCATGACGCACTGAAGGCCACACAGCAGCTGATATCAACACATCTCACATCTTGTGAAAAACACAAACACCGCAAATATAAAACCCAAAACACAGCCGTTCCTGGAAGTGACTTTTTTTCAAAACGCAAACTCAGGCTTGTGTATTTCCCTCCCTGAGCAACACCGCTTCGAGAGGCTCAGCGGCGGTTGCCTCACATCCTGTGTGTTGTGAGGAAGTGGTCCGTCCAGGCCGTCAGACAGGCAGCCGCGCAGTCAGTTAACGCTTCGCTGACAGGGGAGCAGACGGGAGACGAGAGCAAAGGCCGAGCGATCCGACCGCAACCTGAGAAAAGGGAACGCGATGTTACACAGGGCGGCCTCCAACGTGTCCGACAAAGCAAAGGGCGGCAAGCCGAAGGTACGTGCACTCGTGTCGCTTTGGACGCGGCACCATCACAAGGGAGCAGTATTTCAATTTAATCAAAAATCAGATCAGATCAAAAAAACATCTAAAAAGGAAAATGTAAAAACGGGTTTCTTTGCAAAATACTTAACACTAAAAGACTGTTTGGCAAAACTAGATTTTTTACAACTATATACAGTGAACTATATTTTCCAAGGTACCTTTTTGAAAACAAGCAGTAATTTACACAAACGATAAGATGACAATCCCTTTATGAATGTAGTCGTGCTTGTGGAGGGAAGCTGCGGTCTGTCAGACAACATTAAATCAATCCACGGAGGGCCGTCTGGGAGAACGGAGCTCATATTCATCCAGGGATTACTCATTTATTTAATTATTCAGGAGATGACGGGGCGCCAGGAGAGCTTATAATGACTTTTAGTTTTATGAAAATTGGAGGGGGAAAAATTGGAAAGATGTCAAACTGAGCCCGAGGGAAGCGGGAGGCCGGTGTGGTGAGGCCTTTGATCCAAGCGTTCATCCACTCATTCTCGATGTGAACAGGTTTGTTAGAGCAGCTCTCGTAGAGACGCGATTTGACACACAACCACAAATGCACCACATATTGGCAGCTCTCGTTTCAGAACACTAGAAGAAACCGACTGATCATCAGCTGCACCGAATACTCGTACTGCCTTTCATTGGCCTTTGTGATACATGCTGTTTAAGTAGATGAAGGCAGAGGAACCCGGTGCAGAGCTTCATATTTCATCTCTAAATTCCACCGGTGTCAATGATGCAGCGGCTTTTTGGAGCTCGCACGTGTTGTTGCGTAACGCTGGTAAACCTCGCTGCACGAAACGGGGCCAGTTGTCTCTGTGACATCCTTTTGTCTTTTAATCCTCCCCACAGCGCTCCACCAGCTTCGGCAGGTTCGAGGGACTCAGAAACCACCCGACACAAGCGAAACCCGAGGAAAATGGAACAACCGCGGTGCGTAGATTTGTTCTCGTTTTTGTATGATGGAGAACGAAAGAGCAAAGATGAGAGCAGGTGATTGTCAACAAGCACACGAGGTGGAGAACGCCTTGGACACATTGAAGTAAAGGATTTTTCTCCTTTTCACACTTACGATGTGTGACACTACGATGTGATTCTCAACATTATGCAACATGCCGGGTCTTGCTTCAACAGCTGCAAACATCTGCTCTGTCTTATAACTTTTCTTCACTCAATTCATCGCGTTTCAATCTTTTTTATTGCAGCACAATTGTTTTGCTTGTCGAGACGACCGACTGAAGGAAAAAAGCTGCCGTCGATAGTTTTAGTTGATAATGGAACAGAGTCTAGTTTGGAACAAAAAGTAGTGAAAGGGAGAAATATGAGGTGTGATATCACTGCAGTCGGTGTTCTGAACCAGCTCTCCTCACACAGCCGACAGATGAAAGCGAGACTTCGGACCAGAACAAATCGGCCGGACTCGGAAAGAAGATGAAGGCGATTTCACTGACTATGCGCCGAAAAATGGGCAAAAAACACGCCAAGTCTTTTTGTGAGGAGACGGTGAGTCTCACACACACACACACACACACACACACACACACACACACACACACACACACATCAGGTGGAGGAGGTTAAGCGCTTTGATCGGAATCCGCTTTAATCCAGAAAGGTACAGATTAGAAAGTCATGACAACAATTTGTGAGACAAACAGATGTATGAAAATAACAAACGATATCTTTTCATCTTTTCATTTCACGTAAAGTTTGAGACTCATTTAACCTGTTTGTTTTCTAACGAGTCTTATCGCTCTTGTTTCTCATAAAGCCACATCCTCCGAAATACGAAGCGGTTTCTGACAACATATTAATGACGCACTTGACTCTGAGCGGCACTAAGTAACTGGCAAAAGGACATTTTTCTGATTAAATTCAACAAAAATGAGAGATAAGAGGACTTGAGTAACTTTCCTACATCTCTACCTGAAGCGCTTTGTTCTAACTTCCTCAATGTCTCATTTTTATTAAGATTTACTCAATGAGTTAACCTCGACGTTGCAAGCTTTTGCACATCATATAAAACTGCATATTTGTTAAATTCTCCTCGCAGGGTGATGACACGGACAAAGAGCCGGAGGCAGAGACAGAGAGCGGACCCGCTGCTGAGAAAACTGAGAAGACCAGCAACTCCTTGGAGAGTCTCTACAGTGGCCAGAGCTCCTCCAGTAAGCATCTGCACGCGCCGTATAAAATCACACAGTCCTCCGCGTGGAAGTCAGCCGCCGCTGTAACACCACGAAGTGCCGTAGCGTGACGCTGTGTTCGTTGGTTCAGGTGGTGTCACCAGCGAGTCCAACGGCTCCGGTCAGAGAGACAGTCTGCGGCTGGAGGAGGACGGCTCCTACCAGGGACAGTTCTGTTGCCGGGCTCGGGTCCACACGGACTTCGTTCCCAGCCCGTACGACACGGACTCCCTCAAACTCAAGGTCGGGCGCGACAACGTTCACCTACACACAGCTGCCACGAGGCCCTGAATTATTCTCCAAATATGCTACATACCTTCTAATCATCCACTGGATTTTGATTCCCAGGTCGGCGACATCATCAGCATCATCAGTAAGCCGCCGATGGGCATCTGGACGGGCATGCTGAACAACAAAGTGGGCAACTTCAAGTTCATCTATGTTGACATTGTGGCGGATAAAGAGGAGGAAGAGGAAGTTCCCAAGATCAGGCAACAGAAGCTCTGCAAAAGACCTCGGCCTAAAACCCTGCTGGAGTTACTGGAGCGCCTGAATCTGGAGGTGAGGGCGGGATCCCACTCGCTCTAATTTAACCCCGAGGGGCAAGCGATCGCAACAAGCAAGTTGACTGGATGTTGTGTTGGCTCGGTTGCAGGAGTACGCCTCGGCCCTGCTGCTGAATGGGTACCAGACGGTGGAGGACCTGCTGCACCTGCAGGAGAAACACCTGATCGAGCTGAACGTCAAAGACCCCGAGCACCGGCGCAAGCTCCTCGCCGCCGCCGAATGCCGCTACACAGGTCAGCGCAGCGAGCCGCGACTCAATGGCTTACGACTTAAGTATTACCAACGGCGATTAACCACGCATCGCTAATCACTGTTAAACAGCGACAATGTCAAATAAGCCTCCCTATTGGTCTTAAGTGGCTTATTTGAACACTTATTACCGGCCCACCTGGCATATTTCTTTACCTGTCGTAGCAGTTTTACGAGCTGGCTCCAGGAATGTGAACAAAAGGTTCATTCAATGTATAATTAATAATGTCAACACAAGACAATGGAGTGGGTGGATGAGCAATTAAAAGAATGAAAGGCGATCGCGCCACCGTATAGGTAATAACTAGGTAATTACACTGCCACAAAAACACGGTAAGCAAAGTGAAAATGACTCACATTCTGTCACATTCTTGCGATTATCAGGAAATAAAAGATTGTGTTCTTAATTAAATATTGGAACCCGAAGCTCATCACCAACAAGTGCGAAGGGAGGTGGCAAAATCCCTTTAAAGCAAAGGCAACAAAGCGCGGACTGGAGCGGCAAACCTCGTTCACCAGCCAATCAGCAATGAGCTTTCAACAAAGCCCCGTAACCCGAGTCATTTGGAAAAAAGCTTCTCTTTTAGTGATATTAAAAAACAGACACAGAGGGAAAGATAGTAATACAATAACGATTATTAATCCCCTTTCAAGTTATCTTTCAAATAAATGCTGCACGCTGAGAGATGCTCATCTGTGACTTCCTGTTACTCAGAAAGAAAGTGTCGATGGGGCAGAAAGTGTTTCCGGCAATCTGACGTCTTGAAGCAAAAGACGGGTAATCGCTTTGCGAATGAAAACAAAACCCATTTCTAAAGAAGGAACCGGCTGGTCGTGTTCGCTGTGAGCGCGTTTTTATTGCAACAAGTGCAAATAAAAAAAGGTCATTGCCAGTTTGACCAAACAGATGGCGAGCGGCTGCAGCAGCGTGACCTCCCACCCCGCCGGGCCCGTCGACTCACGCGAGATGCCAGTAATTTAATCAAGCTAAACTCCATTAGGTTAATGGTTTGCCGACCAGAGCGGGAGGATTAGTAGCTTCCATCAGTGAAGAAGGAACGTGAATATGTTTACTCTGGGAAAGTGGAAAAACAAGAGGACGTTAAATCAGGAGCTGTTTTCCACGGCGGCCTTCTGGGTCGCACCTGAAGTCCTTTCTGTCCTTTTGCCTCTCTGGCAACAAAACGTCGCCTCCGGTTTCACTGTTATAACGAATCTGCATTTAAATGTGAAGGGTTTTTTTTTTTTTCTTCCACTGACTGAAGCACTCGTTTTTCCTCTACAATGTGGTTGAAAACAGAAGCTTGTAATATTGCGACATTTGATTTAATTTCCGTTTGGTTTGTGGGCCACAGGCGATGACGTCAGGGACGCCGAGGAGCTCCGATCCTCCCACGGTCTCCGGGAAGAAGACAGCGACTGTCCCAGAGACTCGGGCTGCTTCATTCCATCAGAATGTCCGGAGGGCAAAGAGGAGGCGGAGCGGCTCGCGGACGCCGTGGACTCTTGAAGCGAAGGACACTTTGACGGACGGGGCTGCAAAGTGTGTGTGGTTTTTTTTTTCTCGTGACTGGTGGTTCTAACAATTATCCGCTCGAAACAGATTTATTATTATGCTTTTGAAGTTTGAATAATATGGATTTATGTAATTATTAAAAATCTTTTGGTTTCAGAATAACTTACAAATATGCAACTCAACTGTCAAATTCTTACTGTGAACTTCTGTTTCCAAAGAAACCATTGAAAAACTACACACAACCTGACAAATAAGGCTGATACATTGTAACAGTAACAGTACCGTTAGCAGATCCGTGTATCAGTGTAGCGCCGCGGTCCGTGTTACACACATGTGCTTACTTACTTAACTACACAGTAGTTAGATAATGATCAAGTTGGACTTTTACTTAATTTTTCTGCTGTTGAGAAACTGTTTTACTGTTTTAATAATTTTATTGATTAACGTTGTATTTATTGCATTGTAAGTCATATAATGCTTTTTTCTCCATATAACGCCTTTATTTATAACATCTGCATCGTCAGCATTATCACCAGATCCAATCTCAATTGTTCAACACGCAGTACTTTTTTTTTTACCATTTTCTGTACTTTGAGTGTTGTTGGTGAAGGGATGACTTTCAAATGTAGTGTCTGGGTTCTAACAGCATATTCAAATCTTGCCTATAAAATCTATATTGTACAGGAAATCACATGTTATTTTCTAATCGTGTTTGAGTGAGTGTATGAGAGAGCCTGTGTATAAACGCATGTGAAAGTTACCGTCCAATTGTTTTCACAACTTTTGTAAATAAAATCAAAGAAGTACAATTAAAACCCCAATTATTGTAAGTCATAATTATTAAATTCATCTAGCTTCATGAATAAACAGCCACAAATTAAATATGATATATGAATAAGCATTTAATATAAGAGGGGTTCCTGACAAACTGACAATAATTAATCAATTCAATCTTGAATTGTAAAAAAAAAAAGTTTTCTATAAATTTAATTAAATCGTGTTTTATGTGAAACATCTCGTTTCAACGTTAGCCTCCAGGCTCAACTGCTTGGCTCTACCCGATTGGTTAAGAAAATAAACACGTCAGAAAACGTTCGGACGCCCTTAAATCTCGCTAGCGTTGATGGGAAATGTAGTTTAATGTAAGCAACGTCCCATCCGTGTTAAATGCCGTAAACTACATTACCCAGAACCAGTGACGGCGCAATTGAACGTTGACGTGTATTTTGTTGGTCGACCGGAAAACTCCTATTCGCAGCATCCAGTTGTAAAAGCCGACAGTTGGCCAATATTTAAACGCGTATTGAACAACTCAAAGGACATTTTGTGATTTTATTTTAGCGGCGGAAGGGTACGCGTGTGTCTGACGATGTCCGGAGAAATTTCTATGATCGGTAAGTTAAAGGACGCTTGTTTTTCCCCGCGATAGCTAAAGCGGTGACTGGTGAGCTAACGCGTGAGCTAACGCGTCTGGTCCACCTCACGCTCCGCAGGTTCCGTCATCCTGGCCCTGTTCCTGGCCGGATACCTGGGCCAGCAGTACCTGCCGCCCCCCAAACCCAAAGTGATCGGCCTGGATCTGGGCACCACGTTCTGCTCCGTCGGGGTCTTCCATCCGGGCAGCGGGGAGGTGGAGGTGATCGCGGACGAGGAGGGCAGGAGGAGCATCCCCTCCGCCGTCTCCTTCACCGCCACCGCGGTGCTGGCCGGACATGAAGCCCTGGAGCTGGCCGACGACAACCCGCAGAACACCGTCTACGACGCCAAGAGGTTCATCGGGAAAATATTTGAGCCGGGGGTCCTGGAGCAGGAGAGCGCCCGGTACCCGTTTAAGGTGGGGCTCGGTCCAGCTGGATGAACTACAGTGAACTAGTGACGTCAGTGGTGGATCACGTGTCCTGGGGTGACTTTAACACTGGTTTGAGAGTTGAGGTGTCCAACAGTCTGACCAACATACATTTAGAACAAGGCGTTTTAATTGATGACCACATGTTACCTGTGATTTGCTTCCCAGTTTGCATGTCTTTATGTCTCCGTCTTCACCCGTTTCTTTGCGCCTCTTCCAGGTGATCAACAATAATGGGAGCGCAGAGTTTCTGCTCTCCACCAACCACACCTTCACCGTGAGCCCAGAGTTCATCGGCTCCAGGCTGCTGCTGAAGATGAGGAAGATGGCCGAGCGGCATCTCGACGCGCGCATCCAGAAGGCCGTCATCTCGGTGCCCGCGGAGTTCGACGAGAGACAGAGGAACTTCACCGTCAGGGCCGCCAACCTCGCCGGTCAGTCCTCCGATTGTGGTAGTGGTTCATTTGACGAATTGGGCATCACCAGAAGCATGAAACGTACCAGCTACACGCACGCACACACACACACTGCACACTAGTAGTGTAACATGCATGACGCGTGCATCCCTTGCAGGCCTGGAGATCCTGCGTGTGATCAATGAGCCCACGGCGGCAGCCATGGCCTACGGCCTGCACAAGGTGGACGTGTTCAACGTTCTGGTGATCGACCTCGGGGGAGGGACCCTGGATGTTTCTCTGCTCAACAAACAGGGAGGCATGTTCTTCACCAGAGCCATGGCAGGTAATGTGTTTCACCGCTTCAGTAATAGGAGGATGGAGCTTTTCCGCTTTTGATTGGAAGATTGCGTCCCAGTGGAATTTGGCTCACAACAATTTAAAACGATCAGTGTGGTTCCCAGTAAGAGAGGGTGTTTCCAGATGATGTTCAGATGATAATCTGGTTTACCTGTTTTCTTTCGGCAGGGAATAACAAGCTGGGGGGTCAGGACTTCAGCCAGAGGCTGCTGCAGTACACCATCGAGCGAGCGCGTCAGGAGTTCGGCGTCCCGCCCGCTCTCAAAGAGGACATCCACCGTCTCCGACAGGCTGTGGAGGCCGCCAAGCTCAACCTCACCCTGCAACCCAGCGCCGCCGTCAGTGTGGCGCTGCGCCTGCGCGGCCCCGACGGCTCTGAGGCCGCCGCTCCGGTTCCCTTCCGGGCCGTGATCACCCGCGAGCTGTTCGAGGAGCTCAACGAGGACCTTTTCCAGAAGATCCTGGCTCCCGTGGAGACGGTGTTGGCCGAGGGCGGCCTGGAGAAAGTGGACGTGGACGAGATCGTTCTGGTCGGAGGGTCCACCAGGATCCCGCGGATCAGGAGGCTGATCAGCGAGTACTTCGGGAAGGACCCGAACACGTCGGTGGACCCGGACCTGGCTGTGGTCACCGGTGTGGCCTTACAGGCCGGCATCATGGGCGGCTCCTGGCCTCTTCAAGTGAGCGCTATAGAAATCCCCAACAGACACCTGCTCAAGAGAAACTTCAGCTGATCTTTAGAAAGATTGTTCTATTCTTTTACTCCTGTCTGTTGCCAACAAAAGACACGGTGACCTTTTGAATGAAGAAACGACTTTGAACAGTTAACTTTTCCTTTTCACGGCGGCAGAACAATATGTGATCCCGTTTTAAAACTCCAGCATTCCTCTCGGATGGGTAACGGCTGCTGAAGGGAACAGTTCCGTTTGCGCTTCTAACGTCCAAGCTGCTTTAGTGCTTTAGGTTTTTTGTTTAAAAAAAACACAGCTGCCTATTGAAGAAATGTGAAATGAAGCCTGTCACTGCAGTGAAGATGCTCATTCGTGGTAAAAACGTTAATGCTGCTCTCGGCCTATTGAGGGAACAGAATTTCAGAATAGCCAGTACGTCTTCAGCGGTTTTATTTATTTATTTAATCCCATTGTCGCCGTGTGTTCTGACATCCTTCCATCAAAGGTGGATGTACAGCGTCGCACCGGTAAGCTGATGTATTTAGCTTGAATCAAAGCGTTTCTCAGCCAGCGCATAAAGACATTCCAGACATTCCCTGCGTAGGTCATAAAAGAAATGAAAAGTATTGTGTGGAAAGCCTTCATGTTCTCACAGTACTGCCTTCCATCTTCCCAGAAATCCAGACTGGATTAAGCTGCACTTTGAGGACTGTGTGCAATAATGTGCTTTTATTTAGATGGAAGTCAGTTATATATTTGTGCTTACTGGTGCCTTGTTATTGGATATCAAAAATGTGTTCGCCACATTTAATTATAATATCAGGGTGCATTGAATATTTATAACATCTGCTCTTATTTTGGTAAAGTGGTTGTTGTATAAAAGTTGATCTCCATTTCGCTTTAAAAAAAAAACTAGTCAAATATAATTTTTTTTCATCAAAGAACTCGTCATCTACCTTCAACTTCCTGTCTTATTTCTTGGGAAAACAAGTGAGTCCACGTTACCCATCGATAAGAGGCGGCAATGGGTTGATTGTTATTTAAGACCATGAAACCAAAACACTATTTAATAGAAGAATTTATTTATTTCTGAGGCACAATCCCCAAATAAAAACAAAGCGATACACTTGCTGACCCTGTAGCATCCTTCCATTAGATTACAGCTTAATTTTCACATGTAGCACCCACTTCATTCATCTTACAGCAGTCAATTTAACACCAGCAACCAACACTGAAATACCACAGACTCCACTGCACTCCAGAGGCTGAGCAGGAAGTGAAAGGGCTCCCGTCATATTGCTGTTATTATTAATCTTCACCGTCACATTGAAATGTACTGCTTAGTTGGCTGGAGCGTCTCACACGCTCTCACACTGGTTCACCTTTTATGTACAATAATACACTCTGCACTGCACACAGGGTAAAAAAAAAGGTATATACCCATCTGGAATACACGCAATACACTGTTCACATCTTATAGAACAAATCTGAAACACATTCACATTAACCACAAAAGAACTCTTTACCATCTCCAGTTGTACTGGGAGCACAGCTCACATTAGTCCATTACAGTTACATGCACTGGTCAAAGGTGGGGGGGGGGCATTCAGCCTATATCAAAATGAGTATCTTACATTTACCATGTGAATATTTCACTTGGAGGAAAAGGCAGGACCTCTGTAAACAGCTTGCTCTTATTTATTTTCTCTTTAAATATAAATATTAATGTTAGTACTTTTGTGGAGCGCTAAAGGAAGGCAGGAGCGTGATGAGCTGTTAGCTTTTAGTCCCATGCTGCAATCAAGCCTTAGGAGAAGGAACTGTACAGTAGTTAAAAACAAAAACCGCTTTGGAAAATTAGCTTAAACCAACAAAGACTGTGGAAACGCATCTTTAAAAATAAGCTGGCGTAACTCATGAGGGGCCTCTCGCACACAGAAGCAGGAGAGGAGGCCACAGGTTGGAGAATTCCATCAATTGAAAAGTGCGCGTGGTCCCGTGTGGTTTGCGCTGCGCCCGTCAGGCGAGACACACAACTATTTACAGAATGTACACAAAGCGGCCATGTGGTGGTTTGCTCTCCATCGGGGTGGAGCGGTCCGTCCCTCCGTCAGGAGGAGGAGGAGGAGTTTCAGGCTTCACGATGACTTGGAACGCAAAAGGATGCAGAGACCCGAGAGTCTCACTCCAGCGGGCCGGGGGCCCGATCACGGGCCGATGCCGTGGTTGGCGTAGTAGTCGTAGCCATTGTCCCCGTACAGCTCGTCAGCGCCGCCAACTCCGTTGCCCACCTCTGGGGGGCGCCACAGGATAAAAAAATTTAAAAAAGAAGGCAAAAAGTCAGTGTGCCGTGTGACGTCACGATTCCATTTCAGTTTGCAAGCAAAACACTCAACGCGTCAAACGTGAGGACAAAATAAACCACGGAAGAGTCAAATTAATTGAAATGCATGGAAAGATGGAGATGAGAGCAGCCACTGATGAGACTCACCTTTGACCCCACCCAGCACTAGAGGCTGTCTAGACAGACCGGGGCGTCTATAAGCCCCCCTAGGCGTGCCGTTGTCTCCAGTGGGAGGGTAGTGGGGGAGGTATTTTGGTGCATGAGGTAATGGATGGGTGGGTGGGTGAATGGAGGGGAGAAGAGGCACAGGGGGGCACAGAGGTGGAGGCAACGAGGGATGCAACGGATGGGTGGAAGAGAGGACAAAGTCCCTGCTGGAGGTGGTGCACATCACACAGGCCGCTACTGCGCTTGACCTTCAACGGGGAAGAGAGGAAGAGGAGGAGCGAGAACATTCACACTCAGCGCAGACGCATGCTGGGATGCAGAGACATGCTAGGTGGAGCGTCCCGGATCTCAAAGTGGTCCGTTGCTCATCTTTAGCTCAACAGACTTTTCTTAAAACAACACAGAAAGTGGGACGGAGGTGGGCGTGTCCCGCTCGCCTTACCAGAGAAGATGAGTTTCTCCTTCATGACGTTCAGGTCCCTGCTGGACCTCGTCACGGCGGCGCTCACCATGTTCTGCTCGGGGTTGTACCTTCCCATCCCGCCCACCCGGTACCCGCGGGGGGGGGGGGGGGGGTCACATCGCTCGGTCAGAGAGCTTCCTGAGACAGTGATGACATCACTAAGTACTGCCGCCTCTGCTCACGATACGCAGCTCAGGCTCACGTTGAGGACCAAAGAGGGATCTAATTTTAGAAAGGACCTGAGGACTTTGTGTACCGACTGAAAGGGACGTAAGGACGTCTATCTGGTTCTTTTTGGGGAAAACCGGTTCCTAAATTGCAGCTCTTCGCGATTTGGTTAAAAAGGAGACTGATTTAAAAAATGTACTTAAGTTGGCACAATACTACAACATCTATCATCAAATCAAGGTGTATAATGTACAGTTTTAAGTTGAGGAACACGCGATTTAGGCTAATCAGTAAATACAGGGGAATTAATTAATTCATAGACGGATTATGGTCCACATCAAACCTGACAACACAAAAAGTTCTTTCCATTGTCCGTCATTACTAAACGACACACTAATCAATAACAGGAATAGCAACCAGTCTTTCAGGGGGGCCGTATTAAAAAGTAGTACCGATATGTGATATTATCACAGCTGCAGTAACACTTTTGCACAAATGCAAACAAAGTGGTCACAGAATAGAGCCTTTTTATTTAGAAGTCATTTTATAGCTATTGAAAAGTTCTCCCACATAATTAAATACCAAACATTTTGTCCTATTCCGTGATCACTTGATTAACATTTGCTTTCATGAAAAGGCTTTTTTTTCCAATTACTTTAACCGACGAGCATTTATCACGATGAACTAATGCTGGGAGGAAATTAGGAGGAGAAATGCAACCAAGCGAGTTCATCAGCATCAATAAAAGCCAATCCTTCCCCTGATGAATTCCTATCCGTACTTCATCTTGGACGTCAAGTCGTTTGGCCTAATAGGATAGATAATACATTTAGAAACGCATTGGCCTCTCAGCGGTGGGTATTTCGGGCCGTCTGGGTGCAGAGCATTAGTTTGATCTGGTCCACGGGGAGGAAGACGCGAGCTCGTCGGCAGCAGTACAACGATTCGGACGGACAGAGGTGGAAGAAAATAATCGTAGCATGACGGTGGAAAGAAAAACCGGATGGAGTTTGATTTCATAACAAAGGCAACAACAACAAATACAAAATAAGAAATAATGGAACAACGTGAGAGAGAGAGAGGGAATGGATGAAGAATGGTGGACAGAGACGGTGAAAGGAGAGAAGACTTTGGGTCGCAGGAAGTGACCCAGTTACCTGATCATGTGATAGCTGAGAGAAGAGGCCAGAGTGCAGCAGAAGAGGAGGAGAAGTGCATGCACGTCAGGCAGAGGAGAGAGGACGAGGAGGAGGACGGAAGGACAGCAAAAGGACAAAAGAAGGCGGGAGACAAGAGAGGTCAGTTAAGAAGCCGGCGGGAGCTACAGAAGACCTCGGCTAAGCAGAGCGAACCATCCGAAACAAACAAAGAGGGGGAAAAGGTCCGTGCCAGAGACAGCGGGAGGACACGCCATCTGTCTCTGGAGTGCCACAGAAACAAACAAAACCACCCTGTCCTGCAGGAAGAGGACACAGTGCAGGAGTGTGAGAGGTTTACACTATTAAACATCTATTAGAGCGAAGAGAAGACATGCTCATTCAATCAGTACATCACCGCAAAAAAGAAATCACATGAAACACGCTCATTTGATTTGTGAGTGTTCTCTCCAGCCAAGGCTTTTTCTGGGAACATTATTAAATACAATGTAGCAGAACACAAGGGATCCGTGTAAATATGTATGAGCCGTTATTCTAATGATGATGATGATGTTGTATGTAATGTAAATGTGCGCTCTGCATGAGTGAAACAGAACGACACGGCCGAAAAACAAAAAGATCAGCCTTTCCTTTTCTCTCTGAACACCAGCGGGACGTTACGTTCAAAGCTCCCAATAAGCACTCGACAGTTATAGCATCAATTTGCTGTACTTACTTTTGGAAAATGAATATTCCTATGACGACAGCAAAGGAGATGAGGTCCATGGACACCCACATCAGGCAGTATTCATCTGGTCTCTGGAAACACACACACACACACACACACACCACTGGGTGGTACCATACGCCACAATACAATCTGTTGTGCTATTAGAAAAATACCTAAAAAGGCCCATTATTATGAAGATGCATGAAAAAGGCACCAAATCCTTCACATGATGTAAAGTAACATTTGATTCATTTAATGGATATAAATAAATAAATGCTGTCCACAGGCTACATATTGGATCCCACAGCACTGCAGATGCCCCATCAGCTTAAACCCCCCCACCACAGCAGGGGGCCGGGGGTCACGTCCACATGTCGTCACAGGGTCCCCGTGTGGTGCCTAAGGCGGGCAGACCAGGCTGGCACGCTGCACAGGGGGCGCGAGGCAGGTGAAATCACACCAGATGGGCACAGCGTGAGCGCCGGCCATGTTGGGAGGCTCCACGAGTCGCGCTCTACACAGGATGCAGCGACAGGGATGATGATCGTACGAACCGCGTGGATAAAAACTACGGCTGACGAGGGGAAAGAGAAAGCTACACGCAGAAACCCAAACAAAGAAGAAGGAACGGGTCAACTGTACGTCCTTACCATGAGCCAGATGGGGTTAGGCACCTTGTTGAGGATATGTGAGGCCTCCGAAGAGACGGACGACACCCCGCTGCACCACAGCACCGAGTACAGCCAGGGCTCGTTGATGGTGTACAGGGTGAGGGTGATGTTGCTCTGGGAGAAGTTTCTGCAAGCAGTCGCACACATTCAGGCGGGTCTTGAAACAAACGTCGGCTTGTTTATGGTGCCAACCTGATAACGTGTGTGTGTGTGTACCTGATTTCCTGTGTGCTGGCCTGGTTGTACCTGAGCAGCAGCCTGCTGATGCCGTGCTGCTGGAGGCTCTGGGGGCTGCGTTTCTCCGCGGAGGTCTGGATCAGACCCGGAGCCCACTGTCTCACCTGAGCTCTGTGATCATCTGGAGTCCACATCACCTGCACATCACACGGGGCCGCGGTTACACTCGTCTCCATGAAACGTGGTGGCTGGGTCTACACGCTCGTGAGTAGTCAACGTATCCTCCGGCAACGGTGGTCATGGTATCTGACCAAAAGGTTGCTTCTGTCTTCACCCATATTCTGCATTGCCACGCTCAATCTTTTCTAAATAAACTTGTCTTGTCACTAGACACAATCCGGTAATGTTCAGCCAATAAAGTGTCTTAGTTGGGTTGATGAAAAGATCTACGTTTCGGTTCAAGTAACTATTTAACAAATAAATCAACATTAACTTTTGGTTTCAGGAACAAAGGGCGGTCCGCTGGATAAAAGCTTGGCGTTCCTTGAATCAACCCCCCCCCCTCGCCCTCTTCACGTGGACCACTGCGGTCTTAATGTTACTACTGATACAAGATAACGTACAAAATGACTGGGACTCCCATCCTGTTTGCATGCCATACTGGGAGGTTTGAAGTAATCAGCTGAGGTGGCCTACCAGACCCTGAGGAACCCCGGACTGCTGCACAGCGTGCAGAGTATCATTGATCCAGCTGTGGTAGCAGGGGTGCTCCGGAGGAGGTCTCCTCAGCCGGAAAACCACTGTGCTGTTGTGATAGGAAGCCAGCTTCAGAAGCTGCTCCAGGCTGCACACACTCTGGTTGGCGATCAGGTCCTTCTCACGCGGGGAAAGCGTGCGCACCATCCAGAAAGGGTCCTCCTGAGGGAGGCGGGGAGGGACACGAGGGTAAAGATCGCGGGGTCTTGTCCGTGTACACATTTACAGTCAAGAGGACACGTCGTTTTTTTGACTTGACTGGAGGGTAAAGAGGCACACAGCAACAAAAAAAAGCCATGGATCGACAATCAAGTTAAAGAGGATAATCTGGCCCCATAGAAGGCAGCGTTCCTAAACAATTCTCAGAATTCAGTTTGTCAGACACCATTATTTTTGAAGCACCTCGTTGAGCCCAAATTCACCGTAGTGGATCTCAGTGCCGACATGACTTATTGCACAAAACCATAAAAAAATAAAAAAAGAGAGCTGAGACCGGCCTACCTTGAGGAACCACCGCCCTGCGTTGAGTTGCTGCAGATCGGTCCAGTTAAAGGACGAGGCGTCCTCCATTCGCCTGTCCGGGAAAACCTTGTCTACGTCGGTGGTCCTCCGCAGGTTGTGGTCGTGCATCAGGAAAGGCACTCCGTCCACGCTAGTGGGGAGGGGGGAGGAGGAGTGGGGTCACAATAATACCTCTCAGCAGAAGAGACAGGAGTTGATTGGAGCGTAAACTCAACAAACGGGAGTAAAAGCCAAATGGGGAGCAGGAGACTAAATGAGAGTTTGTCCCAATTGTGATGATGATTATTTGGTTTTCTGATGAAATTGCACTTTTTTGTTTCTTGCTCGTGAATTTGTATCCCTCTGGTTAAATGCACTTATTGTCGCTACCACCGTCGCTTTGGATAAAAGCGTCTGCTAAATGACCTGTAGTGCAACGTAAAGATGCTGCTCAATATTTTTACACCAGTGCGAAGGAAAGAGTCCTCTAAATTTCTCAATATTTGCCATTCAAATTCTTTGTTGAAAAGTTCATCAGATGAAATGATGAAGGCTGTTAGCAGTGCATTAATATTTTATTTTATATTTTACTGTATAGGCGTGCATGCTGGCAAAATGCATGTCTCAGTTAAGGCAGGTCTCCACAAAATGGATGGGAGTCAATGTAATGGCGTGTGTGTGCAGACGTCTCAGTCGCTCTGGCTGTCATCAGGTCTAATTACTCGGCCCAGTAAGGAGCTCACCTGTCAGCGGCCATTCACCTGGTAGGACTGTAACCGTAAACACACCACGTTGCTGAATTAAGGCCGACCCACAACACACACACACACACAGGGAAACAACGCAACGACTCCCCCACACGAGCCCTCAACCTCACTGAACATTCAGGAGTAGACGCGTTCACCCACTTTCCATCATACACCACGGCCACACAGACCCCTCCAACACACACACACACACACACACACACACACACACACACACACACACACACACACACACACACACACACACACACACACACACACACACTGTTCTTCCAAGTCTCTCTGAGCTGTCGCTTCCCATCATGTCGGTGATGCAGCGCCTCCATCTACTGCTCCTCTGTAGCCTCACCATCTCTACGGTTGTAGACTGAATCCCAAGTGTTTCTTTTGTTATCCGCTTGCTTCGGTTTATGTTCAAAGAATATAATTTCTTTGTCAAAGACATTTTGCTAAGAAAGACTATTAGAAAAAGTCAGATATTAAAAAAAAAAGGCAACACATTGTCCTGATGGGTATCTAGTCCACTGTGAGCTTTTTCTAGTCCAGGTAATAAGAGCTTCTGGGAAAACTAACGTTCCATAATCAATGAATGGAAACCAGCGAGGCAGAATCTGGACAAAACGACCCGTCATTTGTTTGGCTCCGTCATTCTGCTGAATTGATTGTCTGTGTGTTTGTGTACCTGATAGAAACGTCAGCCTCAAACCCAGTGACGTTCATCTGCAGCGCTCTCTGAAAGGACCACATTGTGTTCTCTGGAGCAATCTAGAAACACACACACAGCGTCATTACACGGTGTCTTGTAACAAACAGTGATGTAACGGGGGACTTTACTGGAGCCCCTGGAGAAAGAAATGAAGGCAAGATATAGAAGTCAATTATAATTTATGTTTATTTATCAAGGTTATGTTGTTACTAGTCAAAATAAGGTGAGTCATACTGGAGCCAGAAGTCATAAATGAGGTGAATTGCAGATGTACGTGAAAACACTACATACTGAATTGCTTTTAGAACCTTCCAGTCCAGTTAATGGCCGATGCAAAATCAATAGGTTAAGCATCACTTACTAGAGAAGCTGCCTCCTCAGAGACCCTGTGAGTAAAGCTTCCGACTGGGACACACAGGGTAGGAATGATGCTGTAATCAATACAGAGTTCTTCTGGGAAAGTCCAGTCATGAGACCGTGAGTTTCTCACGGCCTCGCAGAGCCGCACCTAATGCTAGATTCCACTGTGCGGATCGATCGCTTTACACACATACCACCCAAAGCAGGGTGTGTTTTGGAGTATAAATAACCAGAGATCAACCTTCATTTTCCTTCCAAGGGTTGAATAACACAGACAAGTACACGAATCCTTCTTCAGGTACCGTTGAAAAGCAATAACCATCAAATGTGAAAAGCAAAGATGTGCTTCATCCCCACAACAAGATGCAAAGTGTTTGTCAAGCAGCGTCGCACAAAATCCCCCAGAAAATACAACCCTGCCAGTCGTCAGGCAGATGGAGCTCCGGGCTCCCTCAGCGTTGTGTGTGTGGACTATTTTCAGTTGCATGACCACAAGGTCATTACTAGACCAGAATAGTCTGGGTAATGCAGGAGAAAAAAAATAAAATAATGAGAAAGAAATGCAACAAATATCTACAAGGGCAGCACAGTTTCTCCTGTTCACCAATTCACAATCAAGTGGTAGTCGACCCTCAGGGTTAAAAGCTTCATATCCGGAGTGGTTGCGTTGGTGTTATCATTGGTTTAAAGTGGCCCGCTTCACATTCCCACATTCAGACGGGACGATAAGAGGTCAGCTGACTCACCATGGGGGCTCCCCGGTGGCCAATGACATCGGGGCGCTGCTTGAGGGTGCTGGGGTCCATGATGCAGGGCGAGGTGATGCACAGGGGCACCATGTAGAGTCCCAGCAACAAGCTGAGATAGAGCAGCACCACCACCACCTGGAACACTGGGCGGAGGAGGATGAAAACACAGCTGCAGAGGGTCAAGGGCCATTTTGGGCGATGTGCGCGTTCTCCTCCTTGGCGAGAGTTGGATCAGAGGATTGATACCACCAAATGTCTGTACGCTGAGAATGAAGCTGGCTAGCTCGGGCATACAGGCTGGATGTTGACTTTTCTTGTCCAAAAACAGAAATTATGAGTATTTTCTTGTGATTAATTTGTACATGAAAAACATCTCTAGCAACTTCACCTGGGAGACCAGTGACGTGTGTAGTTTATAGGCCAAGCTACTTTCCATAATGCTTTTAATGAACTAGAGCTAAATAACTAATCAAACCCACAGCTGACATTACAGAGGAAATGGGTTTAAATATTTAGCGTTTTGAGGTGAAACTAGGGACTAATTTGAGCACGACCACACTTAATTGTCAAAGAGAATTATGATGTGAGTCGTTGCTGTGAAAGGTCCTGGACCATGCGGAGCTAATTACAGACTGACATCAAGGGCCCCATGGTCTTACTTATGAGGATATTTCATTCATATCGGGCTACAGTCTCTTAAGCAGCCATTAACACGCATATAAATAGCACCGACTTTGTAATTCTCATCAGCAGTGGCAGCGAGCGTTGAAATACACACAAAGATCTGCGTATCCTTAGTGAGACTCCAAGGTGTCTGGCTCGAAAACATCACATGAGCCCGTAGGAATGCTGGTTATCTCTGACACCCTGGGTGGAGGTCCCGGCCTCTGTCCACACCGTGTTAATCATTCACCACTCTGGATGTGTGTGTGTGTGTGTGTGTGTGTGTGTGGGGCGGACGGGCACGGCAGGTGGGCAGGTGGGCAGGTGGGGGGGGGGGGTCACTTGTATTCTGTGTTGCGGGGGTAAGCATACTTGTTTTTTCTGAGCGGGCGACTTGTCCAGCCACAATCCAAGACAGCGCTGTGACCGCTGCGAGGGCGCCTACATGCAGGAAGGGACCTGTGGCCTGGACAGAGGACAGAGGTCAAGGGTGAGAACAAGGAGAGAGGATACAGTAAAATGGAGACGCACGGTAAAGAGAGACACGGATACAAGACAGAGGCAGGGAATTACAGAGATTATCTGGGGTTCAGACTACGGCGACACTATTCAGAGGTAATAGCTATCATTTGTGGGAGCATTCGCTCGTAACGGCGGCTGCAAATCACACGTTCATGGTGGTGCCATGATCTCACAGGGCACACTAATTATGAGCTTCTCACAACTCCTCGGATATCGCTGAGCTGTTAATTAATAGTCGGGTGCGTGCGGATTCAGTGTGCCGTCACTGTTTCTCATACTGCGATGTCAAATATGAAAACATTCATTACAGACACAGTAACTCACGGCTAGAATGTAAATTATCCACTAAAGAGTTCCTGGACTTTTTTCAATCCATGTAAAAGACATTAAAGCCTAACGGTCTTTTTTTTTTATCTAGTTGCTTCAGTCTGCTGACCTGCAGGGAGATTGGGACGACGTCCCACTCTTGCCCCCATGTTTGATTGACAGATATCACCCCGGCAGTGGTGGTGAGCAGAGCAGCAGTCACTCCAATCTGCGCAGCGGAGATACGGGAAGAAAAACATAATTCAGAGAGTGCTGTCACTTTGGATACACGCATGCAATTTAACCCCAACAGCCCCAAACCGTGTTTAGTCCGAGTATTTGTTCTGCAGATAGCGTTTTAGTTCAGCGTATTGACTGCTTTCACAAGCCTCCCGGGACAGAATGATCCAAACTGTAAGTTCAGGATGAGTTCAGCTAATCAGCAAAGAACACACACACACACACACACACACACACACACACACACACACACACACACACACACACACACACACACACACACACACACACACACACACACACACACACACACACACACGCCAGAGGGCCAACAGCTTTGTGTAAAAACGGAGAGATACGTGGGTAAACCTCCCCCACCAGCACAGCTACTCTGCCTCACATTTGGCACACTTACCTTATGGAGCCAGTGCAAATTCAGCTGCTGCCCGAGTGCAACATGACAAAGTGCTAAAACCTGAAAAGAGAGAACACAGTTCACAAACGGCTACAGCTTCAAGGATGTCGACGTCACCGGTGACACACAACCTATTCAGGAGGTGTTACTTCACCGATAATACTTGCTGGTGGACTGACCATTAAAAACGCCACGTAGGTGAAGCCAGCAGCGGTGGTGGCCAGGATGGGAACGGTGCCATCGCTCCACTCCCCGGAGCGGTTGTAGAGGAACCTGCAGGGAGGAGAAGATAATGAAAAGTTCTGGATACAAACGTGGTTAATTAACATCACTATTTTCTCATGACAAACACCCTAAAAATTTCATTTGCAATTCTCAAAACAGTGAAGATTCGCAAAGAAGAAGTGTGTGTGTGTGTGTGTGTGTGTGAAATGCGTGTTTTGACACGACAGCGAGGGCATGCGGCACTGATTACTTTCACAGACTTATCAGGGATTGTAGTGGCTCCCTGCAGCTAAATCACTACAACACATACGGAGAGCAGTGTCATCCCCATCTGTGGAAACCAAACAAGAAGCAGGAAACGTGTACACTTCCTATTAGAAAAGCCATGCCGACGGAGCCAGAGGCACATCATAAGCGGGGAGATTGATGATGAAAGTCAAGTGGGGTGATGTGCAGACACGGAGAGTAAGAGCTCTTGAAAGAAAATGGCTATTAGAAGGTGAATGGGAAAAGAGAACAGAGGGATAATGGAGAGAGGGGGAGTGGAATGTAAGACTGCACAGGGAGAGGGGTGTGAGGAGAGGCAGTGGAAGCGAGCAGACGATAATAGGAGGGAAAAGGTGACATTGTGGAGGTGGCTGAGAGCAGGAAGAGCGATGGGAAAGACTGGTGGAGAAAAGGCACAGCATGTGTGACCGTATGGGACACAGCCAGTCCAAACCATTTGGTGCTACAGCACATTTAGGCCAAGAACCACTTAAAAGTCACCGAGACGACTGGGAGGTCATTCTGCCTACGAACACGCACATTGGAAACAGATAATATTCTGCTAGCGGGTCTGGAAGAAGTCCAACCTTTTGGTAGTTTATGAAGTCTCTTAGTCACGATGCAGAATCCTTTACAGTAAAAAGGGAAATGTCAGGCGAGCCATCTCCGTTACGTAACGCGGTTAATCTGTCTCCGCTCAAATTGAAGCACGGGACGGATTAAACGGATGATTTGGGGAATCCACGTGCACGGACATCATTTATTTACGGCCAAAAACAAGACGGCGCCGGGCGTCTGGCTCCAGTTTGACCCCGAGCACTTGGCTGGGCGGAGGGGGGGTCGGGGAGACTCACCAGTTGAACTCGTTGTAGTCGTTATGGGCCTCCCACCAGAAGTAGAACCAGACCAGCAGCAGACAGAAGGTAAAGAGGAGGATGAAGGACCACAGCAACTCCCACTGCGCACACACACACACACAAGTTTAATTTGAACAGGCAAAAGAACAAGGACTTAATGCACAACAGCGCTGAATGCTGCCAAAACTAAAGAAAAGTATTAAAAGTGTGAGTCAGAGAGCTCATTAGAGGTCAACTTTCTACACAATTACCTAAATGGAGCACGTGGTGTCGAGCTGCCTGCCGACCTTTGGAGAGAGTATCCCCTTAAACACCGTGCTCATCTCCAAGGAATTACTGTTAATAACTTCACAAGCAAGCAGAGTAATTACTGTCCTCATCTGTGAGGAACTTTTGTACCGCGGCAGATATTTCATATCTTCAGAAGCAAACCAAGCTCATCCTTACTCGGGAGGATTGGTGCAGCCAAGCATGTCCATATATTTCTACTAAAAAAAGCTCTACGCATGACTTAAAGTCTCAGAAAACCGGTTTCTTTCATGGGAAAGAAAAAGTGTAATCACTTGAAAGCGTCAGCTGTAATTGTCGATATTACACGTGTCCCGAGGCCTTTGGCCCAATACATGGGAACACATTCTATCAATACACCGAGCTACGCAGCCTCAGAATATCTGCCTCTGTGTCGCTGCGCCGACGACAAGGTTATTATCGCCTCGGCCAGCTCAGATCTGCTCTCATTCCCAGCGAGTTTGGTTTATGTTTTATCGAATTCCACCGCCTGTGGAAGTCGTTTCAGACGGCGCAGCATTCGAAGGTCATATTTTGACCGCCAACTTGTTTTAAGAGCTTTGAGTGAATATGTTTTAATTAATTTCTGGCCATGGTTTGATGGCATAACAGAGAACCGTTGTACATAAAAGGGAAACAAGCCTGAGGGATTGGATCCCCCGTCCCTCATATTTGGACATGACCTCTGAATGAATTTCAGACACATTATGCAAGAGATATCCCGGGCACCAGAAAATGGGGGCAGGAGATTACCCTGAAAAGTAAAAGCTAGAAAAGCACTTCCTGCCATTATTTTCTTCAGCAAATACTCAAATACTCTGAGTACAAAGACCCTTTTTTTTGAAAACTAATGGCATGTTAAACCGTAAACACGTTCGCTTACATCCAGATACATTTTAGAACAAAGGTTTATTGATGAGAAAAGCAGCGGCCCTCGGTTCCCATGGTCCTGGATGACCACCTGGAAACACCAGCTTGCTCCTGAAGGAGGACGCCCTTTCATTACCGGCGACGGTTTAGGTCCGACGTTCTCTTCCGAGCTGACGTGACTCGGCCCGCCCTCGTGACATCATTCCCATTCTGCAAGGCCGGCACTTCACCCGAGCACAGCGGCCCAGGAACAACAGAAACGTACCTCTGGGAGTGTAGAGAGCAGTGTGTGCCAACGGCCACCAGGGTCTAATGATCACTAACCACGGGAGGACAAGTTCTCCTTTTGGGGGGTTATTGAATTAGCTTTAATTCAAATCAACTCACGAGGTGTCCTGTAATTAAAACCTTATTCAAAACAGATGGCAAGGACTTTTTAAAGCCGTCGAGGAGCCTTTCTGACCTCTTTCTACTGGAGTAATAATGTTCAATGAGAACAAACCACAGCTAAGAATAGAAGGAGCGAGGACAAAATGAATGGACCTATAAAGCATATTACTGGAATTCCTCCACTTTTTAGCAGTGTCTTTATTACAGAAGGTTTTGCTCTGGCAAAACTTTATTAAAGGACATTGGAAAAAAGAATAGCGTGGAAGTGATGATTGCGGTCTAGCCCCTGGGCAGAGGAAATGGCCACGGTGATTTAACATCTGGGAACAGCAGGTGGGGGAGTAAGAAGGAGACAGATAACTGACAAAGTGACAGCGGCAAAGAATTTTGTAGCAAATCAAAAAGAGAGCATCTCCGCCGTTGTGCAATAAGTTAACAATGCGACCTTCCTGCGTCCCGCTGAGGTTTGTATTCATCTCGACTTTATTCAGCTCACACAGTCCAGTGTAATATGATCCAAGCAGCCAATAACTTATTTATTAAACAGGGTTATTGGATTTGAAAAATATCGTCACACCCTTGGGGGAGGTTTTTTCTTGAAATGATATCACCGATGTTTCTGTCGAGCAGACACCGTCAAGCTATTTAATTTCCTCACATTTTGAGATCACACCTCAAAATACATGGTGCTCCTTTACCTCCACATGCCGAGTCTCACACTGCGGGTCCAATAACGCTTACTTTTCATTTTCTGTGTTTTTGTGCAGGGAGTCATTTTATATTTTATGTATTATATATATATATATGCATCTTATATTTTGTCTACTTTTCAGTGCAATAACAAAAGCTGACGATAAAGCTGTTGCCTGAACGATGGGTTAAGGCTCTTATTCCCCCCCAGGAGCGCTTCAGTATGTCAAACGGGACCAACGTAGACGGGATGAGACGTTACAAAATAAAAGACCTTCCAATACAAAAACTGACATTTTTACCAGAGCCGACTGGTTATTCGCTGTCAGAGGACTACATGAGTAAATCCTTGCATGATGTACAGTAAGACGCTGTCACACACACAGGCAACCTTCTGATGTTTATGGGCTTCTGGCTGCAGCGTGGTCTCCATGTGGGTCAAGGTTCATATTAACTCCCAGCCGGAGGGAAGACAAATAGTTATTACGCTATTGGCGATCTACGAAGAGAAAATGTCTTTCACCCACACTAGAAGAAGCCCGAAAATCAGACCAATTTATTACCATTTACTAGTTTATGATCCGTTTCAGACATCAACTCAACGTAACATGACTTTGATTGCTGAGATGTGGATTTCCTGTGTTGACTATAATTGAATGCATCATTCAACTGTGTAGACAGCTTGACTCCGTATGCTGCCATCTAACGTGCCAACAGTGAGGAGAGAAAATCTGCTGTGGGACGGTCCCGAATACATTTGCTGACAAAGATAAAGCCTGACCGATGCAAACAGACACAAACACGTGGGAGTGTGTGTGTCTGTGTGTGTGTGTGGATACACTCGTGTGAATGCAGGAAGGATTATTTCCAGCAGGAAAAAAGAAAAAATCATTTTGCTGACGGTGCTTCTTTCCCAGCGAGGGCCTCCATCTTCAACGGATTTAAACACCTCAGTCCCCCGTCACATTCCTGGCATTTCACGAAAGCAGTGGACTGCTGCATAATGCAGCCGATACTGCACCTACATCATACTGATCCTCCATTAACGCCATTCATTGTAGCGCAGGGAAGTGGATTTTATACCTTCATGCAACAGGATGATATGCTGCCACGTAGAACATGGGTAGAATACGTATTTCACATTGTAGGTGTTTTGCTTTTTTTTTTTTTTTTTTTAATACGGCAGGTAAAGTAAGTATGGTGTTCAGCAACGACATAACTCATCAGAGCAGCTGGATATTTCAGACTCTGCAAAGTTTGCCTCTGCTTTGATTCTTCCACGGAGCGTCCTTCCGTGCTGCTTAGACACATTGACGCGACCGCCCTAAAACCAGGCGCTCTCGTGTAAAATTAAAAAAAAAACTGTTGATGGAGCTACATATTTTTTTTTTTTGAGTGTCAGATTACAGTAAAAACACCTTCATGAAGACCAAGTGCATCAAATAAACTGGGCAATAGTTCATACATATACATGATCATGTATATGTATGCTGTATGTATGCTGTATGCTGTATGTATGCTGTATGCTGTACGTATGCTGTACGTATGCTGTATGTATGCTGGACCAGCATGCTGGTCATGTATATGTATGAACTATTGCCGTTTCCGGCGCGTCCCTCTCCCCCCCCCATCTCGCCCTCATCACCTAGTCAGCTCGTGTGTTTTATTGCAGCTTGTGACCTTTCAGACGAGTACGTGATCAGGATAACACATTGAAAAAGATACTAACAGCGGTAAAAAATGACTGACATAAAACAAATCAGACAATTACTATTTACCTTCGGTATCGTTGACCTTCTAAGCGTTGTTATCCGCAGTAAACAAACAACAATAGGCCATTTTGGGAAGTCAAACTGGGTGAATCTGCTTGTGTCGAGGTACCTCTGTGGTTTTAATTGTCCCATAACTCACTGGCCAGGGACAATGGAGACCGCGGGATAATTGACAAAAGGAGGCAAAGCTGCTCTGCTTCTATTTTAGAAGCCTTTGTGTGACTGAATGGTAAAGACTGGCTAAATGGAAATACTTTCAATTATTACTGAGAGGCCGGATCGGGTTGCAGCGCCTGACGTGGGCCGTCTCCCTGCGAAGCACCTCGAACACAGACGGCAGCAGGGAGACGGGCGGGCCGCCCCGAACGGCTCGTCACGGGCAACGAAGAGGGGAAAAAAAAGAAGAAAAAAAAAGGAGGAGAAACGGCGCGATCCGCTCGTCGATTATGAATGAGTCTACGGTCGTTCCAACGCCAGATTCTCCGGTCGCACGCGTCTTTGATTCAGGTCCGGTTACATGTCACCGAAACCCGTCCTTGATTGGTCACAGTTTGTTTACTGGATTTGGATGTCTTATATGACATCACCTTGTCCTATTCTAAGAAGCAGCCTCAGTGGAAAGGAGAGCGGTCTGCTCCTCAGAAACTAAATACATATTAGTAGCAGATTGTACAACTTTGCTATTATTGGTAAAATTGCTACAAAGTTGCACTCTTTGTCTGTAAAATTATCGCAGTCCTCCACATTTCGCCTCAATCATTCCTCATGTAAACTAATTGAAAACCTGTTAAATATTTACTTTCTGAGATCTATGGTGCATGTTATCGTGTGCTTCTCACACTGGGGGTCAAGACAAGCGCCATCCAACACCACGCGGGCAACACAAAGGATGAGCACCGGGACCAAAGAACGCTGACTCGCCACTATCCTATCAGTGGGACTGAAAGACAACCACTCGCATCAGGAAGCAGCAGGAAACTGGACACCGTGTAGCTGTAACAGAAAAAAATGAATAAAATCCCTTTATTGTGTTCCGCGATGCTTTATAAACTATTGGAGAGAGATTAAAATACAACCAGCCATCCGTGCCGCTGTTACCTGGCTCGGTTTGATTGCACGTTATTGCACACCACATATTTTCAGAGGTGTGCGGACTGACGTGAGTCTATTGTCCGTGTCCTCGGGCTGCGCTCGTCTGCGCTGTGGTATGCGGGCATAAATAAATGATCCCAGCTAGTGTCTGAGCGCGTGCACACAAGGTGCGGTGCCGTGTGTTTGTTGCAGCAACATAACCTGTGTGTCCTTCCTGAATACGGAACAGAGATAAAAAGGTCAGGACACATTCCTCATCTTGGGTACGCTGGAATACTTTAAGCTATTCAGTGATTTTTGGATTGGAGTAAAATGGGACTTTTCTGGGAAAGTTTAACTACAAATTGAAAAGCAAAAAAAAAAGATTATTCTGGCATAATTAAGAATACATTTGAACGCTTAAAAAGATTTAAGGCGCAACTGCCAGGCTCGAGGCTCAATACAGGTGCAGACTATTGGAAACAGTGCATGTACAGTACTGCAATATCAAATTATCTTCCATGGTGAGAGCTCAAGGTTATCGAGTGGGGTGAGGGGGGGGGGGGGCAGCGAGGACATATTCGGTCAAAGATAATTGTTCATTGTTGATCAATGCTGAGAGACAAAAGCTATCTGGGGACCATTAGGAACAGATGCTTCTATGGGTTTTATGTGGTTTGAGAGGATGCAGCCATCTTGCTATTCAACGCTATGAAAAGACTCAGTGGATGATGTCCCACACAGACAGGAAAACCTAAACGCCGAATTAAAATTCACTTCTAAAAAGGACTGCCATTAAAAAAGAGGTGACAAGTGATATTCTACATCGATCCCCCAGGACAGTGCAGTTTTCATTGAAATGACCTTAGCGGGACAAATTACACAGAGATTGACAAAATCAGGTCTCATTCACTGCCAACGTGATGTGAACACTCAGCGTGTGAGTTAACAAAGGTCAGCAAAGGAGGCCTGCACTCCATTTCCTTCAACTGACTAACATTCACTGTTTAAAAAACGAGAAAAAAACCCTCAAACATTATAAAACGGGTAGTTGAAATCCAGCGTTCTGATTGGTTGAGAGTGCATTGTTCAGGTAAAAGGTGAAAGATTCCTTCCTCTCCCTCTCACCTTGGTGGTGTCATCGTGGGATCGTTGGTAGCGTTTCCAGCGGCAACCGTAGATCCCAGTGATGCAGGACAAACACAGCTGGCGCTCATAGACCTGGAGGGGTTGGTGTTTCACCATGCTCCTTCAGTCAGTCCTGCATCTGCAGCTCGAACATCCCACTGACCACGACCACTCCTGTGACAACAAAGAAAGAAAAAACAACGTGTTAGCATCAACAGTGGTGGGAACAACATGCTTGCGTAATGTTGGAGACGCAGATACTCCATGGATCAAACTATTACTACAGTAGACGAGGGAGTCTGGCACTTTGATAGGAAACACACGCTGACCTGAAAAGCACCGCCCGTTGATACAAAGCCAGGCCTAAAATTAAAAAGACCTTTTTTCCCAGCACCCATTTCCAATGACAGCTGAAACTGCTCCGCTTTCATTAATATGAAGGCAAGGAAAAGAAAAAGGGAAGTTCTATTGAAAAAGGGTGAGCCCGCCATCTATTGAACATCACATTAAATCACAGTAACTATGAATAAATCACACAGCGCCTACATATCTGGGTCAAAAGACAGCATGGAGGCACCATCTTTCCCTTTCATGTCACGCCCAGAAAAAAAGAAAAGAAAAGAAAAGCCAGGTGTAACAAAAGGATGTTACACAACGGTGACATTTAAGCAAAACGCTTCAACCTACAGCATGGAAAAAAAACCACAACGTGGGCTGCTTTGTACAGCTGTAGTAGTAAAACAACAACCAAAACACGCAAGCAGACTTATCATGTGATACACTAAACCATTCCCCTCTCATGCCTGTCTAATGCTCGGTTAGCGACCTTGGCAAGAAGTAGGGAGCTGTGAATAATCAGAGTTATAACTCCGTGCACCCATCGAGCGCCTGCTGATTCAGCACGCAGATTCTGCAATCTGCTTTAATAACAATAACTGTATTATGTTCTCGCATCTCCGGGGACACGATGCTTGCTGCGCTGCCTCAGATCAATCCTCAAGCGCATCCTTTTTGATATGAAAGACATAAATTAACAGAGCATAATTAATTCTATCTTTCCACCGGTGAGAGTCTAACAAACATGATTAAAGTGTGCAAACACACAAGTTTTCCCGGGTTAATTTTAACCCACGATATCAATCGCTTGCGGATTGTGAAGCACAGCTCATACGGCTACATGAGATGTTTCAGAGTATTTATGCATTTTAACTGCTCTTCCCGCAGTAATCAGGCCTTTTGAGGCTCTGAGCAGCTGCTCATTAGCAGCTGCTGCAGTGGCCTTGCTTCCTGTTATTAGTAAAACGGAGGGCGGGCCTGACCCGAGGGCATCGAGAATAGCGCCCGCCCACGCACGACAGCAAAAAGGTCGTGACGGGCAGCGCTATTCTACGCCGCCAAATAAAAAGTCTCACACTTCAAATGAACCAGATAACGCAGCTGCTATTACAAATAATGTGCAATGTAACAGAGAAAACAACAATGCACCAAGCCGGGTGGCGGCAATGAGAACCACATGGTCATTGTTGTGCGTTATCCACGGACTGATAGGGGGGGGGTCAAAGCCAATACACGACTGTGGGTTATCATTAATCCATCTTACTTGGAGGCCGTACTATCACTTAATGTCCTCATTAAACTGTCACGAAGCCCAGCAGGGATTTAGACCTTGATCAGATCAGGAGCTGTATCACTTCTGGCGTCGCCAGGAAGCCCGTCTGATGCGTCTGCTGAATAAATCATGTCGATCGCGGCTGTGCAGGCACAGACTTCGCCGTCTTGAGTCCGGTATTTGAGGCAGTGTATTCCACCTCCTCTGCGTTCCGCCCGCCGACTGTTTATTGAGTTTGACCCAAAGCAGCTCATCTGTGATCGGCCAATTACCATCAGACGCTTCTGCTGGTGTAGTTTGAATCCCAAATGACTGTAAATTGGATTATTCCACATTAATAACAATAACTGTCAATGATGATTGCGTATGATCAGCAGCTCATAACATGATGAAAAACAAAACAAATATCAATGGGTCTGGGCATGCACACCATCCGGGCAAAGTGACAACCGCTCTGTGCACGTCATGTTGACACTTGTAGACAAATTAGAATGTTCAAACCTGTATCCATAGCAATGCCTCCGGGTCTTTATGGCTAAAGGCCTCATTGCGGTTTATGTCCAAACAGGTTTACCTCTTAAAGCTTCTGTTCATCCTCAAAGTCTAAAACACATCGCTGCTAGAATTTCATTGGGCGGAACAACAAACACCTCTTCAACTATTTGAAGTGGAATATTATCCTAATGTGGAAGAGCAGCCCCGAGGTCGCCGATTTGTCACTTTGAGATTAAATGCTCATTAATTTTTGACGATGTAATTCATTTGTTACGGCCCTCATCCGAGCAGCACAAAGACGCAATAAAAAGTGCTGCGCTTAATCCCTTTATCAGCGAAATGACCCAGCCGCTGGAGACAATTCAATCTTTTACTAAACTGCAATGAATTAGCAGAAACAAGTTCAATTCAGCACCAGCAGTATAGTTCTGCTCATATTCATCCAAGAGTCAGCACTCGTATCATTGCAGTCGTATTTTTGCCAAAATGCATGTGACACATGTCACACACACGCACCACAGTAGATGCAGCAGAAGTGTGACCACCGCTCGGCTGTACTGCCACGGTCACTCGCTCGACAAATTCGGACAAATAGGAAAAAGACCCGTCTTTGTGCGTAGTTTAACGTCAAAACTCTTCTGTGCGGAGCCTTTCACCACCACTTACACCACGTCGGCTGGATCGACATATTTAACAGAAGTCAACAAGTACGTTTTGTGCGTCTGTCACATGTTGTCTGAACCAAAGGAGAAGATAAAAGGGGGTCGTGCAAACCCAGCGACGGCCGTCACCCCCTTTTCTGCTGCCGCGTTTCCTCCAATCAAAAAGGTCGCAGAAAGGGGAAAAACGGTCTGCGAGGGAGGAAACGCTTCAGCAGTTTCCCTGCAGACAACAGTGTCTTCTCCTGACCAGGAAACCGAGGTAGAGGCCTGGCAGCGCACGACTATCGGCTCCAACGAGGGAACAGGAAGGCCTTTTAAAATGATAAATGCTTTCAGAACCAGCACACAATCCCAATGTAATGTCAGGAGAGTGGACTGGGTTTTCCACCAGAGCTATAAAGCTTTAAATGGTCGTTCGCTAACCCATTAGAGAGGTACTAAGCCGGTTCACTTAAATGGTGTATAGATAAATGAATACATTATGTACATACATACTATAGTGCAAGATGTTTTTGTTCAAATATCATACATTTTAAATTAGAAGTGAACGCCTTTGACGCTGACCGACACGGCAGTAAAATGTTTAGATAATTAAAGTAAAAAATACAGCGCTTAAATATCTTAAGATATGTATCACTTCTGCAAGTGGTGATGGAGACCTGGCAAAACCACGCAGCATCAAAAGATGCTTGTGAGGGAGTTAATTAGTGACACATGGATGATGGAGCCCATTTGCTGTAGATAAATACAAGCTTTGTAGACGGAGAGGAGCAAGTAGATAATAAAGAAAGACAAACACAAATGCAGAAGCTTCTCACCGTCACATGGAAACATAAGCTAAAGAAAGCAAAGCCAGGTCAGTTTCCTGGGAAACCAAACATCCAGTGTGTTTTTAATGGTTCATAAGTATGTGTATGTACGTACAAGAGTGCACACTGAGCGACATATAACCACTGCTCAAGTAAAGAAAATGATTTGGTTAAACTACATTTATTCATGAAGAAGATGGAGAAAGAAAAATAGGGAGGTATACGCTCTCCAAAAAGTCAGACTGCAGAAAGTACATTAAATTATAGCAGCGTCAGCGTCTGATCCCTTTGTGTCCACCACGGCAATTAGCGTAATTACTTTGGAGGCCCTCAGAGCTTCCACTTAAATGGACTTTCTTTTACAGTGACGAAAATAATAGGCAGACCGTTTCCCCCATTATGTGTTGACGATCCTAAATAACACAAAATAACCATTAAGTGGATGAGCAGAGGATTTAACCACTAAACACCCAGTCTCCTCCCTGCAAGAGGTTGTCCAACGAAAAGTCAAATTTCTAAATTTCTAACCGTATGATAACTTGTCACAAGAATGACCAGAAGAACCAACGCCATCCGGCCATTTCTAATACTAATACTTTCTCTAAAAACATCAGACAGAGGTTTCTTCCTTGCAGATCTCGACAACAACAAACTTCCACTTGACAAAGTAAGACGCACTCACAAAACTATTTAGCAGTGAAGCATAAACACAGCAGAACAAAGCAGAACGCCTCTCATCATCCCAAAAAAAAAAAAAAATATTTGCCATGTTTCCATCAAACCTCGAATGCATAAAACATGAGCAGCGTTACACAAGTTAACGTAATCAAAGCACTCCCATGAGTCATTGTGGTGGAAAGCCACGAATTAATGGCCACAGCCTCCAGCCCACAGCTCCTGCTCATCCCGTGTTCATTAAGTCCCACCACAGAGCGCTCTCGAACGGTCCCGATCAGTTGCGTCAGTTAGCGACAACGACTGCACGCATCAGAGGGAAGGTGAGTAGAGGCAGCGAAGAAAGGAAAACCATCTTCCGTCTCCAAGCCTTTCAGTCAGGGGCCCGCATGGGTCACGGCCATTCCTTCCACTGCGTTTGTGCTGCTACAAATAGGAGGGCGTTATAATTAGCAGCCTGCGCTCACACAATGTTGTAGGATGAGGGGGGGGGGGCAGTTAATTAGCTGACAGCGGGTAAGCAAAAAGCAAGCGAGACGCACTGACCGCGCAGAACGAGCTGCTTCCTGGCGAACGACAGGGAGGGGAGCTTTTTCTTTCCATTGATCTATAAAAAATTCTTATCTGGATTTTTGCCTGTTGAGAATGAATTTGAAAATGTCTTATTTTAAGAGTTTGGCTTAGACAATTTATATTAGACTCGCAGAACTGCGACCGACTGTGCCGCCCTGCCAGCGCACGACACACCTGGTGTCCCGTAACCGGCCCACGGGATGCTGTAAAGCTTGTATGTACCAACGTCTGATACCAAACAACCAGCCGTCGGTGGAGAATGTTTTACCTCTTAAACATCCATGCGGTGGTGAAAAAAAATAATAATTGAGTTTTCACCCAAAATCCAAAGAAGGCTGAACTTAAAGCATT